TCCCCCTTCTTTTACTGTAGTGCCTCAACGGCGCTGTAGAAATAAATAAATAAATAAATAAATACATAAATGTGTGCACATGTGTGCAGAGAGTTTCTGCACGGCCGATGTGACCGTCATAAATGGAAGAGACACAGTGTATGCATACTGTCTTTATGTGTGACGCAATGTGACGGCGGCTTTGCGTTCTAACCAGAAAGCACGTTTAAAAGCGTTATATCGTTTATGGCCTCTATATGTATACTGGTGAGCAGACAGCGGCGAGGACGAGCTATCGTTCGTGACCGAAGGTCCAATGATCGGTCTGTGAGGGGACACGAAGTGCAGACCCTGCCGTCCTTGACCCTGTCGGTCCTCTCCCTCTCTCTCAATATATATATATATATATATATATATATATATATATATGCGCGCGCGTGTGTGTGTGTGTGTGCGTGTGTGTGAGTGTCTGTGTTTAACTTTGCAACGATGGTATTGTACCGTATTATTTTTTTAAATGCGCAATCGATCGACATCGAGCGTTGTGGCTCGATGTCGAAGTGAAAATCACGGCCTATCTAAATGGCGAACGGCCCAGAGACGCTGTAGTTTTCTGAGAGTATGGGAACGGCGAGGCGTGTCTTTCGAGCGCCCGGCCTTCGTGCCTTCCGCCGTGCTTACGAAACTCCGAAGCGTTGTCGAACGTAAGAATAGCGAGAAGCTCGCTCGTGCTGGAGGCGCGTCAACTGAATCTCCCTTCCTGCCTCGGTCACCTTGTCAGCGATTGTAGACGCCGCATTCCCACTGCCTGTTGTTCTCTTATTTCAGAAAGAAAAAAAAAAAAAAGAGTCTCGTGCTACGTGATCCAACCTTTGTCGTCTTTATGTGAACGCGAAGCTCCTACGAGCAGAAGCCACATTCCGTTCACCCCTAAGCTGACAGTGCGGTGGAACCTACGCGCTCGTTGAACCAGCCGTGCGTCTACCTTTAGCCACGTGATCCTGTTCCCGCCCATACCCACGCGCAGAGGGCGGAGTCAGGCGGTGAAAGGGAGGCGCGCGTAGCTTCCACCGCACTGTCAGCTTAGGGATGAGCGGGTATGCCAAAGAGAAAAAAGAAGAGGAAGTCAGGACGGTCCTTTACGGAACGGACGCTTCTCGAAGGTTCGAACATGCGACGACGGGAAGAGTGCAATGCGACCGTGGTCGCCGGCCGCCGTGCAGCATCCCAGGGCGGACGCGAGAAGACTCGAGTTGCACTCCCTGCAGTCGTGCGGGGGGGAAACGCGCGGCCACATTCCGTCCGCACAGACTGACCTTCGGCCTTGGAGCCCTTCTTTTCCTCCACAACCCTCAGTCGCGATCACAATCGCATCGCGTGCGAGACTTGTGGCCGCGTGTGTTTTTCGCTTTCACGTTGCAGCATGCATGCATGCATGTCCTAGCTTGCCCAATACCCCCACGCACGTCCCCCCCCCCCTCTCTCTCGCCGCCAGATAAGATGATTCCAAAGACACCGAGAGCTCGCTTGGCTTCCTCGCCAGCGACGCCTCCCCGCGGTGGAAGGAAGCCGAAATTCGGCGTCAAACGAAATGGGACGCAAGGGTTTCCCACGGGCTTCCTCCGAAGCTTCCTTTGTTTCGCGACCAAGAAAGACGCTCTCCTTGCGTAACCGCGGAGGGAGAACCGCCCCTCGGAGGTGATTTGCTACTGCACTCTTGCCTCACCGCAAGGAGGGAGCTATGTTGGATGAGCGATGGGGGTCATGAAATGCTGGCAGTCCATGTTGCCGAAGATTGCGACGAACAAATGTCGGGCCAAAATCTCTCTCTCTCTCTCTCTCTATATATATATATATATATATGTATATATAAGAACGCGCCGCGTTGTTAACGTTTCTTGCAGCGCCGAAGATTTTCTGGGGCGGCACTGAAAATTTTCTGGGGCGGCGGAGAAAAGCTCACCGAAAAATCGTCCGAAGCGGAGAAAAGCTCAACTACGAATCTACGAATCGAGCGTTCACTCAAGTGAATTACGTTCACTCAACTGAAGTATGCTGGGGTGCCTTATGCAGTCAAAGGTGCGGGAACGCGTGCCCTTTTTGAGCGCGGACCAAAGCTGTGCGTGCTCTCACCTGCTCTCCCCTAAAATGACAAAAAAAGTTGTCCCCAAGTAGAGCAGAATTTTTTTTTTTTTTTGTAATATAAAAACGTCTTGTAACACGTCAAACGTTGCCCGAAAAAAAAAATCAATAGAACACTAATTAAACAAACAACGGAGGAAATATAACCAGTGTAGAGGGCTGCTGCTCGAGTAGTTTCTGGATATTTATTTATGAAATGACGTATTATGTAGTATACCAGCACCGTATTGTCAAATCTCCACATTTCACCATTTATTTAAGAAACAGTGCTTTCAATTCTTACCTCATTCAAACGAAAAAAAAAAAAAATACAAGGTAGTTATTCTTTTATCCCGCCTACGTCAGACTTAAATATGGTGACACTCACCCGAAATGGGTTGACATCAAAGCGGAACGCGATCTATAGCCAGGGTGGAGAATAAAAATCACGATAATTTAAATCGTGATTTAAATCAGACCGGTTTTACTAGGATGATTGTAATCGGACCTTTCCAGCAAAAATAATCCCAAAATTGTTTCATTTTTATTTACCGTTTGTTTATCATTTGACTCTCTCAATATGCGCGTATGTTCTGTATTTCAATCAAAGAATCATAAGAAAGATTTACATCGGACTGAACAGGAGCAAAAAGCAGTGGCCGGTCTTCGGAACAAATCGATGCGTCGAGTGTTATTTCTACCTTCGACTTCGTTCGTCAGTCACGTCCCATCTTTATGCAATCAAATCAGAACGCAAAAGATAGAAACGAAAACTCAGAAAATAATGTCATACTGCAAGAAAATCAAATCGCGAATATAAAAAGCCCAATGCAACTTTTTTACCTTTTTTACAAAAATGCAACTTTTTTACAAAAAAAGTTGTTTTTTTGTTTTAGCATGGCGGGGTTTTCTTTAACAAGAAGTTCTTCAAATCGCAGTAATTATTTTTTCCGCATTGTTTCACTGATAGGTCAAACAACCTGACGTGTTTAAAAAGGAATATAGTAGTGATAAATAATAAATATTTTCTTTTAGCTACAGTGATATTAGTCTGACTTAAATCAAATAAAGCTAAATTAAACTTTAAAAAAAGGTCTAATCATATTGTTTTATCCTATTTTGTTCACAGCAGAGCGACCTGCTGTGAAATGAATAGATTGCGTGACACTGTAAACATAAACAAACGACTTTTTTTTGTTTTTTTTTCTGCTTATATATTAGTGGTTGCCAATAAAACTATTAGTGCGGCTGGAATGGCTCCTTCGGGGCACAAACTTATGCGATAAAAGTTTGACGCTGATCAACCCATTCTAGAAGTAAAATGCCGAAAAGCGCTTCGCGCTAACTTGTAGGGTGCACCGCCTGCGTGAGAGGCACCTAAAACCTCGGTGGCACTATACTGTTATTAAATTATAACGATAACTTTACATAATAATTAAATTTGAGGTGAGCTTTTCTCCGGGTTTGTCAAAAGACTGCTGAGCTTTTTTCCGGACCCGTACAAAAGTAGGTGAGCTTTTCTCTTGTGAGCATTTCTCCTGTGAGCTTTTCCCAGGGCGCATGTATATTATGGCGGTGTCGAAACCAACATAGCGCGACACTGTTAACGCGAACAAAGAGGTCGCCGGTTTTTTTTTTTTTCCTTTAGAATTGAAAGGTTGTCATCGATTAGTGTCGTACGATAGAAAAATGGGCTAGTTAGTATGTCGCAAGAACACTAAAAGCGCTAGGGAACAAGGGACGATTTGTCTTCTTTCTTGTCCTTGTTCCCTGGCGCTTTTTAGTATTCTTCTTGCTATTAGTATCGTCGTAGAAAGGACTGATTTGAGGCATTGACTAATCTTAGCGATGGATTTTGGTGCACGACTGTGCCCTTTCGAAATAAAAAAAAAAAAAAAAAAAAAACTCCGAAGTCGTGTTTGCGCTAACATTGTTGCACAGTGTAACTCGCAATGTAACACGAAAAAAAAAAAAAAGGCTTAGCAGTCGAGTGATTTTGAGGCGCAGGTGTAAAATATAGTGGTTTAAACTAATGTACTTGACGAAACAGTGATTCCGACTTATGATTCTAGCATCCGAATTACACTTCAGGAGTGTGCAACACTCAGACTCTACTGACGCAATCGCGGCTCAACATAGCGGATATAAAAAACAAAAAACAACGAGACTTCCTCGAAGACGAGTCTCGGTTTTAGGAGGGAAGCTGCCCATATGCCGATGGAAAGATTTCGCCAGACGCGTCTGTGAGTCCACAACTCTCGGAAGCTTCGGCTCGCTTCAATTTGTTCTCCGGCTATCGTTATCGCGGCTCGCCGCGTCAATCTTTTGCAAAGTAGTCGGGAGAGCCGGATCGATATATCGGCGCCGTGGTCTGAGCGCGCCTCTTCGGTTTCCTTCCGCGGTTCCGTTTTCTCCGTTTAATCGGCTCCTAGTGAATTAGGCAACTCTAGAGTTCCGATTCGATTCCGTCCCTTTTCGACGGGGAGTCAGAACCTGCAACCAGCTTTACGCCGCAAATTTTTACCCGAATGACTCGTTTCTGGTCAGTTCTGTGGTCTGGTGTATCGATTAACTACATAGGAAAGAGAGTGCAAGACGTGTGGTTCGTCACCTTCCAGTTCCACTAAAAAAAAACAAAAAAAAAAGAAGTTTTTTTTTGTTTTTTTTAAGTTAGTGGAAACGCGCGGTGCACAAGGCGGCACAACCCAGGGACGGTGGATGGGTCCCGTGGCCAGCGGTGGGCGCACGTTCCCTTTCGCATGATGCCAGTGCCCGGCGACATCAATCGATGGACCCACTCGTACACGGCCGAGAGACGCCATGCATGAAGCAAGTTGCAGGAAGGGGAGGAGGACGCCGAGGAGGTAGGGGTGGCGGTGGACTTTATTTTTAGGCGGGCGCTGATGTACGGGCGCCGAGCGAGCGGCGCACGTGGTGCGTCCGTTTGTTGTGCCACGTGACGCCGCTCGTCCAATCGTGGGCGAGGAGGAACCCCGCCCTTTAAAGAACGCACAACCGCGCTCCGAGCGGCATAACACAAGGTGAACGTTGAGCTGGCGAGTAGTCGACTGCGGAGCGAGCTATCTAAAGATAGGGATTTGCCTGAGTGATCTACCGTATCCTCCAGGTGAGTTGACTGTTGTGCTCGGGCCTGGGGCGCGGTCCTCGCGTTGCGAACGGGTGGGCGCGCGCGGTCGCCGGGCCGACTGGTGCGAGCGTCATTGTGTGGACTTCGGCGTCACGAGCGCTGGCCGGCGAGCTACATAGTTTCAGGCCTAGCGCAGCTGACGCTGCCGTGGGAGGCTTTGAAAACCGGATTTACAGGAAGTCGGGCTCGGCGGCAGTTTAGTGGAGTAAAACGGAGTTCGCAGTTGGCCTCGCGCTGCGTCGTCGTCGTCAAAGCCATCGGAGCAGTGCTGTGTCGTTGGGAGCGTGCGGGCAGCTCAGCAAGCACTAGTGCGTTCCGGTTTCGTTGGAAGCGTGGCAAAAGCCGCCGAGGAGAAAGAAGGAAGCCCCTCGAGAGCTCGCTCACAGAACGTGCTGTCGTGCGAGTCTCGTCGTTCCCGGCATGGATTCCGCTCTGTCCAAGCTGTCCAAAAAGGACGTTCCGTACGCGAAAATGGTGCCTCTGCAGAAGGACAGCGACAAAAGCGAGTTCGTGCAGGCGCAGGACGAGAGGTGGGTGACCCCGACTGACCACGGGGGCCAGTGCTCGATTCCGCGCTACGCCTTGCGTCCTCTCCTCGGCGCGTCTCTTGTGCGTCGTGGCCACTCGGAGACCGAGCCACGGCGGAAGCGGCGCCCTTTGGGGCCCCGCGCTCTAGCAGCCGCCGAGGAGGCCGCCGAGGGGCCGCGCGCTCAAGGCTCCAGCGTCCGCGGCAGCTTTAACGCAACCCGGGTTCGGGCTCCGGCAGCCTTGGTGCGCGCTGTGGTCGCATTCCGCCGCTTTCGTTCCGCGCTCGAGGAGACGGAGACCCCCGTCTTGGCATGGGGTTTCTCGGTGCTGCGTACTCCTTCGTTGCCTGGGACCTAGCGTCGAACGTTTGTTTTCGTTGTTTCCGAGTTTCACGGCAACGATCGAGCTCCCGATGAGGTGGCCCACGGCCAGTTTCCTATCTCGAGGTGATAGAGTCCTTGCTGAGCATTTAATCTCGATGCCGTTCGATGTTTCGCACGGGAAAGCTGATAATGCAGGATGTGACCTGTTGACCGTTTGAAGAGGTATGTACGTGCTGCTTCGCCGCACCTTGAATTCAGCGAATATATTGAGGTCATCGATAGCTGCCATCGACTCGAGATTGCGAGTCGACGCATTGAAAAGCTTTTTTATATATTTTGTTTTTAACACCGAAGGTCAGTTGAGGTCTTGATAGCTTATCTTGTGGAGTGCAGGAGTGCCCCAATGCGGCCCAATCTTTTAATCTAAAGATGCCTTTATTTTATTGCAATCCGACACCTTTTTCTCGTCGGTTGAGCAGATATATAAGCTAGAACTCTAGAAGAGAAAGTCTGCCCAGAGCACTTCCCTGTAGCCTGACAGAGATTTGAAGGAGGAAATTCCTGTGGGTATGGTCCTTTCTTGGGCTAATCTAAATGGCACCTATGCCTGCCTTTTACTTGCGCTTTGTGCAACAGTTGTGTAACACACTGATATCCAGCTGCATAGTTCGCTTTGCACCCTTGCCCCAGGTGGATTTTTCTCTTTTGTGGCTGCCAGCCTTGAAAAACCAGTTGGAGCATTTCTCTCCCTTAATCCATTTTGAGCATCCAATAGGTGATCTAAATTTGTGATCTTTGTGCGGTGATTTCTGGCACGTCCCGTGGATCCGGTATGGGCTTCTCTAACCCATCAGAATTAATGTGTGCCCTGATAAGGCACTTGCAGGCACCTTAGCTGCCAACTAGGTCATGTGTGCACTGTGACGTACCAGCTCTTGAGATAGTGGCCCATTGCAGCGCTCTTGGCACTCTGGGTTTTGTTATGCATGTGTCCTCTTTCTCGCTTCTTCAGACATAGTCTTTGAGTGGCTTTCTGAGAAGTGAGATACCGGGCATTTTATTAGGCAATTTTTGCTGATTTATATCAGTGAGGTGAGGGATTTGTTACAAATCAGGTTAGATTCCTTGATCGCCAACATAAGTGTTATGGACTCGAGGTGGACTGTGTTCAGAAACCCTGCACAGCAATCTTATGTGCCTATATAATGTTTGGCTCATCAGATGTGTGCTGTAATGTTTGCTTGTACATAGCATCTCCTCTTCAATTATAAGACGTAAAAATAACAATGATGCGTAAACCTGTACTGCAGCTGTTTTGGTCAGTGGGGCTCTTGAAAGGTGTGATGGAGGCAAAAGTAGGCAAAATATGTGCTTGCAATGTTTCGGGTGATCGGGCAGTGCGTTTTCTACGTAGCTTGAGCTATGCATTGGGTCTGACCATCAAGTACCCTAGACGGAAGAAAAGGTAGTGCAGCTGCACGTTATGGTGGCCTGTGCATACCCAGTCTCCATTTCATTTATTAGTCATTTGTGGGTGGCAGGTGTGGATTGTTGCTCACGGGCTTCTGTAAATGTCCTAACTAACTCAAAGGTATAAGAAGAAGAATTTGAATAAATGCAATTGCCCTTGGGCTGTTGCACCTTCTTCTGACCTCAAAGAAGGTGTAGCAGTCCAGTGCCTTGCATTGGTTGTATTATTTCGAGCAGTTATTGGTAGGCTTCCGACGGCAATATTGTTTACAAGGACTAGTTTCAGCAGTTGCTTCCAGGTGCACTTGCATTTTGAAACATAGATTGTGCTGTCTTTCCTGATTGTGACCGCATTTGTGCAAAAGTTTGAAAAGCCAGATGTACTGTCTGCCGGATTTTATTTTTTTGACACCTCACGGTAAGGCGGTTTCTGAAGAAAGCGATTATAGCCATGAAGATAGATGCGATCTGTGTGTGATGCAATCTTTCCGGGTAGCTGTAAACACAGCTTGCATTTCGCAGCTGGGTTTTGCTTTTGTAGGTTGGCGGGAAGGATGGAAATGAGTGCAGTTGTTGTTATACCACGGTCAAAATAATCCACGGCGAATTGAATCCTTTCTGAAATTTGCATTCTCTGAATTTTTCTGCCTAATGACCAGTTGTAATAATGGTTCAGTAATATAAAATTATCTTTCTCTTATTTGTGGTTGAGTATAATCTTAAAGAAAACTAGGGCAGGTTGAGAGAAGCTGCACAATCGTGTCTGTTTTATCTTATCGTTCGATAATTCCATTTTCTGCTCCAGAAACGATTGTGGGTAGGGACAGACATGCTCTCCGATTTATCCTTTTGAGTGAACTAAAGAATTTATTATCTGAACAGCTTAAGAATGTCTAGTCTCTTTTTCATTCCTCTGAGGATTCCACGTTGGTTGCAGTTAGACAGTACTGAAAGTTTAAACACTGGGACAGACAAAATGACAGATCTTTTACTGGTCTTTCATTTTACCATCACTGTGTTTATACTTCGTTTTATCGGAAAATATAACATGTATTACTTCACACTTGCCATCTCGGAGGACAGGGATCGAAAAGTTGTTTGACCTAGCTTTTATCACTTCTAGATTTTAAAGCAAAGAAAAAAAAAACTGCTCACCTTTTTTAAGGATTTTCCCGGTCTGTTATCAATGCACTTGGCATAAATCACATAGTTTGGTTGTGGTAGTATAAAGAGAGTGAACAGATCAGCATATATATATATTTTTTTATGAGGTATTAAATCCAAAAAGGTTAAGAAATGCACAAGAGAGGACAAGCGCATGCTTTGTGTTGTTTACTTGCCTTGTGTATTTGTTCCCTTTGTGTTCTTCAACTTTGGAGTATTCTTTATCCTGGTTTGTAGAGTCGAAAGTTACAGCTATAATTTTCTTCGAGTCTCACAGCTTTTTATCTTTGCTGATTTAAATGTGACAGCTACAATAACATCTGGAGATGCATGTAGAAGTAAAAAGCAGGTAAGCTTGAGCTTATATGAAAAATCTTTTTGCAAAATTTTTACATTAAAAAAAAATTATTTATTAGCTACCGCACTTACAGAATAAGCATCTAGCTAACACTTCTTTTTTTTTAAAAGTAATGCAAGGTCCATAAATCTTATTTTACTGTACACCAGCGAGACAATTTTAGACATTTGCATTAGTAATTTTTTGCATGGAGCTATTATTGTCTTCCAGCTGTTTGCCTTGGCCCCTATAGTCTGTGGTGCCATACAATAACTAGGTAAATCTAGTCTTCTGAGCAGATCTGCTGTCATTAAGGTCAGACACGGGTGATGAACGGTAGGGTGTTGCAGCAGCCATTCTTGGAAACAGTGTGGTAGCCGTATTCCAGTAGCATTTCCTGGTTTTAGAGAGCCCCAAGTGCTGCCTGCACAGTTTGTGGTTGATGTGTGTCATTGGCAGTCAGCTGGGTGCTACGAAACAGCCTGCGAGAGCTGTATCATGAAGGTGGTTCCTTGATGCCCAGTGCTTATAAGCTAGTTAGACGCAGATATTGTCTGAGGCATCAATAACTGGTAAAAAAAAAACACCAGGAATGTTTTGTCTTGCACTTATGTACAGGGTGTCACAAAAGAAAATTTACAAGATATTTGTTACCGCAAAAATAAACTAGGCATCGCCGAACGCTCATTCTCCGCCCAACGGTAGAGCTAGAGGTCACAACCAGATGCCAAAGTTTCAGCCCGATCCGATAACTTCATCAAAAGTTATAAGTGATTTTCTGAAAATTTCAATGGGAAAATGGTGCCTATTTTTGCCCATTTTCGGATTCTGGTGCCATAGAGCCCCATGTGTTTGAAAACTCCGTCGGCCGCCATTTCCCCATTGAAACTTTCAGAAAATCACTCATAACTTTTGATTATGTCAACGGATCGGGCTGAAACTTTGGCATCTGGTTGTGACCTCTGGCTCTACCTTTGGGCGGAGAATGAGCGTTCGGCGATGCCTAGTTTATTTTTGCGGTGAAAAAAAACGTGTAAATTTTCTTTTGTGACACCCTGTACATTCATCTTGGTTGATGACAGCTAGACAGGCGCATCATTGTAGTCCTAAATGTCCTGTATCAGAACTTTAATAATAATTAAAGAAAAAGGTAAAACTGACAATGTCTGATTAACCTTGCTTTGGTTGCTTCTAAATGTGTAGAATTTGTCTTCCTACTGTTGCTTTCACATCTGATGATTGCAGTGTGTGCTGTTTTTGTCACGTGATGGCCCATTACATGGAAAGTCCTTGTCTTTCCTTTCAATCCAATCGTTTGGGTGATGGTCTACTAGCTTGGTGACAGCCTTCCAAACATTAAATTGGTAGTAGTTCCTTCATTCCTAATGCTAAAAGAATGAAAACAGTTTATGAGCATAACATAATGTGTGCTGGTTGCAGCAAGTTTTTTTTTTTTTTTTTTACCTGGTTATTTTGAGATTATTAGGAAGACTTCTGCTCTGCTTAGGTGGCGTGGACTGTTCATTGCAAATGAAGTATCTATGTGGCACAATTGCTAAGTGTATTTAGGCAATCTGAAAGTAGAACACAACAATAAACAGGCAAAGGTTTCTCAAATAGGCCTGTGACAGACATGCTATTTTGGCTCCTTGCTCCACCGCTTTTGTACTTATTTTTTTTATTCCCTTCCCTTTGGCGGTGTTCAGCTTAAAATAAATGGAGAAATTTGCGGAGGCAGGCAGCTTCCAGGAGAAAACTATGGGGTCAGGGGTTGTAGATCTATTAATAAGGGTCTCTGGCAGAGCAAGTGGGGAAGAAGCTTGCAATATGTTTTTCTTTCTGGGGCAGAGTTTGGTCGATACATTTTGAGCCTGGTGTTTATGAACTTAAGTGGGTCATCGGTAGAATGCAAAGATATACCAATCAAATATGTTCCTGAAATAATATTTTTGTCGCCATGTTTGTCCTTGCCAGGGGAATGCCTACAGATACGATGGACGACATCGAGCTGAAGAATGTTGAGCTGCAATACCCTCTCATGAGGTCCCTTTCGAGGAGCGACTCTTACACACAAGTAGGTTCATTCTTATCTTCCTCTATTCATTGGAACTGGCCAAAGCAGTATGTTTGTGAGTCATAAGAACTGTGCTCTACATGAAATTTCCTTTGGGCACAGGAGGATCGCATTGAAACGGACTTCGGGGCCATGGTGGTTGCAGTTCAGGGGGACCGGAACAAGCCGGCCATTTTCACTTACCATGACATTGGGTTGAACCGTAAGCTTCTTTTTCATTGTACCTAGGCGATCACTCTAACATCGGGGGGGGCCCCAGCTATGTAGGTGTCTTTTGGTCCTTACTAATTAATTAGGGCTGTAATTTCTGTACTCCTGCTGTTGAGAACTGAGTTTTTTGCCTAACCTGCTTTCACTTTGATAGTTGTGGATGATGGCAAAGGTTTAGAATGTCTCGGTACCTAGTGAAGCATTTTCCCCCTTTTCAGCGTGCAGTCTTTAAACTACATTGATATATCTGGTAATTTACGTAATGAAGTACCAGTACTTACTGTCCTGTTTTGTTTGCTTGCAGACGTCTCCAATTTCCAGGCATTCTTCAACTACACCGACGTGCGAGACATGATGCAGAATTTCTGCATCTACCACGTGAATGCGCCAGGGCAGGAGGAGGGTGCAGCACCCCTCCCCGAAGGGTTAGTAGCTTCTGTCAACCTAATTCTAGGTGTGCCCAGCGGCCTGCCCTGGTTGTAGCTGTGTGGCTAGGATGTACTGTGTATGAGTGCAACCAGCATACTGTAGATTTGCATGGAGGCCTTTGTTTGCCATCTTATTTTCTTAACTTCATCTCTTGCACTGCTGTTTGCAATGTGTGCAACATTCCTCTGCATACATGTTTCTTGTCAGAGGAATGTTGCACGATGCCAAGAATTCTGAGCTACTCTTAAGACTCGTAACATTCATGCTCTGTCCGTTTTTGGGGTTGGGCACCTCTTCCCCACGATGGCAGGGAAAATTGGCCTTCACTGTGGTGCACTATGCTGCCTGCACTGTGAGCGCTAACTGCGAGGTTAGTGCTAGCTGCGATGTCAGTGTCACTGCATAGCACAGGAAGCGGGGCCTCTGCTCTGCTGTCAGCACCGCTGCCAATATCAATTTTGTTAGAATTAAGCTATAGGGTGGTTTCGCATTACATACGTCCAGTCCGAATTCTTGCCGGAATTTATACTGGGAATGCTTTCCCTATGCCCAGAATGAGTGTTTTCTAAGCCGCTCGAGTTCTTTCGAGTTGTGATCTACTGTGCCTGCCACAGTAGTTGGTGACCTCAAGAAACGTCGGCCGGTACAAAATTTTTATACATATTGGCCTTTATCTGGAGTGAAGACGAGCCAATGATTGAGCAGTTGGGCTCGTAAAGTTGCCCTGGCTCATGCCGCTGTGTCTACTCCAAAGGCGAAGGGAACCGAGTAAGCAGGAGTTTATGCGACGCAAGTATGTTACCGATCATACTTCTCGAGTTATTTTGTTGACAGAGCCACTCGCCATGCTTCTGCGTTTTACCAACTCCTAAAATGACGCCATTAACTGATGATCTACGAGCAAAACAAATGGAGAAAGTGGCATTCACCAGCATGGCTGCGCACACAGCTTACCAGAAGTGAAAAGGTGTTTCATGAAACTGTGCTAAAGGGAGTTGCCATGAGCCTAAACCTGGTGGAACATTTTTGTCTCACCGACAGACAGAGAATCCTGAACATTGTTGCTTCTCATGGAGCAGTACCATTACCTTTTTCTTGCATCATGTTTTTTTGGTTTTTTTTTCCCTCCCAAAGGGGGCTTTATAACATGCTACCCGATGTCTTTTCTTTTTTTTTTTCAATGCTTCCATATTTTTTTATTTATAATTTCAAATTATAGGCTAATTTTAGCTGTGATGTGCAAAATGCATGATGATTGTGTTGTAGAGAGAGAACCATTTGTCAGCTTCTGCAGATAAGTGTGTGAGAGTGGAATGCAGCATTGGCTTGGAGATTTGCTTTGTAGGAGGGAGGGATTTTAAAAAACCTTTGTTTTCAGAAAACTTTCTGAAGTGTTTTCTTGATTGAATCCTATATTTAACTTGTGGCTGCAAAACAACCTAGATGTTTGGGCCGTGCCATCATCCTCTCGCAGCTCATCCAGATGTTTTTACAACAGATGTGTGCCACAGGGGAAGAGACTAAATGGGACCTTCCATGCCTTGTAGTAGTTGAGTGTAATACTGCCCCAGTTGATTGAAAAAAAAAAAAAGGAATCATTTTTTTATTTAACTATAATTCAAAGCGTTTTAAAACTTCTTACAGTAGGCAAGAGGTTAATGACTGAGGCTGTCAAGCACACTACATTAAATAACGATAGCAAAACTGAACTGCACCACAGCTAACTAGAGAAGAGGAAACATATCTAACTATGTGCACCTCTAGTAATCAAGCAACTGTAGATAACCAAATTGGACCTTCCTGTTTGCTTTTTGTAGGTATGCATACCCGTCCATGGAGACACTGGCCGACATGTTGCTGTTGGTGATGAAGTTTTACAAGTATGTAGCCAATCTTTAGTTTAGGGGTCTTGCTGCATTCAGGTCGATAATTGAAACCTGCTGTTTTCTGCTCTTTCCAGGATCAAACACTTCATTGGATTTGGCGTGGGGGCAGGAGCCTACATCATGGCCAAGTTTGCGGTAAGCAGTTCCTCTGCGAATGTAGTATTCTGCGCTGTTAAGAAAATGGTGCTGTTTGAAGGGGTACCCCGGCATTTTTTTTTTTAGCTATCCCAACTAACTATATTTTCGAAATGCTGGCCTTTACTCTTTCCTGCATGCTATTTTGTATTGCGAAATTCAGAATAGCTATTGTGTTAATCGCCAAATGAAAAGGACGCCAAAACCAAGATTCAAATATACCCATGCTTTTCAATGCCGTGACGTCCGAGCGGGCAGCCTAAAGATGGACTATGCCGAGCATTTATTTTGTGCTGCTCCATGGGAGCTGGAGCGAGCTTCTAAAGCATTCATTTGACACCATGAAACTGTGTGTAATCAGTTGGGAACAAAGTCTACAGTCCAAAGAGAACCCCTGCCTTCCCCTGACACCACTCTTTCATTGTTGCCAGAAAAGCCTTTCACTTTGAAAAAGCATGATGAGGACCAAAATTGTAAATTCAGTAACTTGTTTGCAAAAAAAAAAAAAATATTTGGCTTACTATTTCAGCGATGTTTGTTGATGCGTTAAACAAATTTTCAGGCAAATTGGAGACTCTGAAGAAAATGCCGGAGTACCCCTTTAAGTGGAAGCTGTGATGGTACTGGGCATTAAAAGTACTTGATCAGCATAGCACAGTTTAGTGCTTTCCTTATATGATGTGAGGCGTTACTGCAAACTTGGGGCCCTATCAAGATTACTTCGGTAAGGACTTATTCACCAAAGGGGGCAGTATAGGTCCAATCCTTCCATTCTGGTTCTGGCCCACTTTTAGACTTGTTTTCTTTGAACTGGGATTTGTAAAAGCCTGCTAAGAGCTTACAATAAATTAAGAAAAAACACTTCTTTATAGTCTAACATGAGCTTTCCTATTCTCTACAATAGGAAAGTCCCAAGAAAAAATGCTGCAAAGTTGGGGAACATGTCTACAGTCAGTATGGTGGTGTAATGAAATTGGCATTCGGATCGATCGGTTGGCAGCTGGCTTCTGAGCAGTGAAACTGAAATATCTGCAGTAACTTCAGTCTTTGCGAGTTCCTGAGCTCAGGCGGGGGGGGGTTGGGGTTGGGGTTGGGGCAGGGGCAGGGCTGTGGTGGTGCTGTGCTTGAAGGGAGGTGTAAACAATGTGCATTTGTGTGTGCAGCTGGATCGTCCAGAGCTGGTGGATGCCCTGTTTCTGATCAACTGCACGGCCACCAAGTCAAGCTGGACCGAGTGGGGCTACCAGAAGCTCAACTCTATGCACCTGCGCAGTTCGGGCATGACTGCTTCTACCCTGGACTACCTCATGTGGCACCATTTCGGGAAGGTTGGTGTTTTACTACCGGCCCTGCAGCTGCCCCTTCATTGCGTGCGCGGTGCTACCCAGGGAGTGTCAGTTCTAGTGGTTTCACTTGCTTCCAGCTGAACGAGGAGCGAAACCACGACCTGGTGCAGGTGTTTCGTCAGTACTTCAACAAGACCATCAACGCTCAGAACCTGGGGTTCTTCATCGACACCTTCATAAGGTGCGTCATATAGGAGTTACATATGTAGTATGGAGGAAATTTCACTGAATACTGGAATGATGACCCATTTAAAATGTAATAGGCAGTGTCGTGGAGCGTGAGCTAATCCCAAGTCGGATTTGTCCTTTAACCATCATGTTGCGCACCATTCAGCACCGATTAGTTCTCTTCTTTAATAAACAATGCATACAAATATCTAAATACCTTGGACCCGTAGCTGACTTTGCTATGGACCCATCTGGATTATGACCATGACCAGTAGACCACTAAGGCATGAATGCAAACTCTTTTGCTTTCACCCTGTTTGTCATAGGAGGTCAGATCTGAACATTACTCGGGAAATGGACCCTGCCAAGAAGAAGATGGTGAAGAACTTCAAGTGAGTGTTTTGGGTCTTTGTCATTGTGTATGAGATTCATATTTCCAGGTTCTCAAACCTGGAAATGGGATACATACCCCTTAGGGGTTAAAGGCGCTAAAAATCGACAGACGAATAGAAGACACACACCATAGAGCGCAACTTACAATTGGTTTAGTCTTAAGAAAAACACACCCACCGCTAAAGATAGAACCAGTTGTAACTTAAGCTCTGTGGTGTGTGTCCCTTCTACTCATCCGTCGTATTTTAGCGCTTTTAACCCCTAAACATGTTAAACCAACTTGCCCAAATTCAAACCCTTCCAATACATACCCCTTTTTGCCTTTTAAAATATTGACAAGAACAAATACTGCTTTGCACACATAAGCCCCAGTGAGAGGCCTTTCTCGATTGAGCAGAACACGAGTGAATCGCCGAATTCTCTCGTGGAACCTATCGATAAACGAAAAGCATGTGCCTAAAAACTGTTGCTTGTGACATTTCGGTGTACACCTGGCCCATCATAGTCTAAAAACTGTTGCCTGTGACATTTCGGCGTACACCTGGCCTATCATAGTCTGCTTTGTTAGGTTGATGACATTTGTTTTGGCTTGTGGCAGGTGCACAGTGATGCTGGTGGCTGGAGCTCTCTCCCCACACCTGGACGACACTGTCAACATGAATGGTCGGATGGACCCCACAACTTCATCTTGGATGAAGGTAAGGCCCACTCGTTTATCTGTCTTCTCTTTTTAGTGGTGGCTTTCGTAGAGAAGGGTTGGCTCATGGCGAGTCTGTTTTGGTGTGCTCAGATTTCAGACTGCGGCATGGTGCTCGAAGAACAGCCGGGGAAGGTCAGCGAAGCATTTAGGCTCTTCCTGCAAGGACTTGGATATGGTAAGCTTAAAAAAAAAAAAAGAAAAGAGGCTTTGACCCTTTTTGCTTTTGTGGTCTATAGTATTTTGTAGGTTGAGAAGTGCCGGGCAAGGGTGAAGCTGCTCTGTCTCCATTTTCACTTCCACTTCATGACCGCCAACACTGGAGACAGCCACCAGTGGTGGTGCACAAAGAGGGAGGGGCAGAGCACGAGCTTCTTTGCTCTTTTCCGTGCTTTAACTTGCAGATATCGCCTACTTCTTCCTCTTTTGCTTGTCATCTGCATGGACCGGAAGGGAACTTACCAGAGTCTTTTCCTTTCTTTTCTTTTCTACAACAAAGCCTTGAACTCGTCTCAGCGACGGTCCTCTGCGGCTTCCTTGAATGAAGGTGAGTTTTCTTGACTCTGGTTTATTCGGGTTTTACTTGAGGAATGAGTGGCAGCAACTTATGTGAGGGTCATTGGAAAGAAATGTGCCTCTGGTGGTGTCCGGGGATCGTTGTTTACGCGAGTAGGTATGGGGATAAATTTGGGTTTGTAGAGGTAACTAATAGAAGAGTTTCAATTTAACCTGCTTTACTCCTTCGTGCACACATTCATTCTTTGGGGTTACAAATAGCGACTTTACGTATTGGCATGAGAATTGTATACACGACAGCACATGATTCACATAATGGACGAGTGCACTGGGCATGTGGCAGCAGTACGGATGTCCAGATAACGAGCAACGGCATGTATAATACCGTATAAACTGGACTATAGGTCGAACCGGAATATAGGTCGCGCCCTAATTTACAAGTTGCAAAAAGCGATAGTTTTTTTAGCAAGAAAATGCAACCTCACCTTGGTAACAAATTCGGCCAAGCATACCGAAGGACGAGAAAACACTGCACATTTAATTCCTTCGCACGGAAATAAAACCGGAAGTGTGCGAGCATTACTACTCAGATTCTTCACATCCTTCGTCCGACGAGTCCACTAACGCAATTCAAAGGGACGATGCCGTCCCTTTGAATTGCACCCTTGAGAGCCCGGAGGCACGAGCGACCTCGATGGCTTTCGTACGGATTCACTCCAACGTCACAGGTGGCGATCTGGCGTGCAGATTCCGAATTAAATTTGCCACCGGGGTACACTGCAGTCCTTTCACGAAATGAAGTTTTCTTCGCCTTGCTGCACGCTGCCAGTTTTTGTCTCTGGCCTTGCCAGTAGCGTATGCTCTTCTGATACACAGAACTCGCTCTGCGCTACAAGATTCCCGTGGATCTCTGCATAGGCGATTGCCGCCTTGAAGGCTACCATGAACTGTCTTCTACTTCCGCTCATTATCACTCCGGGAGCGGCAACGATAGATGTTACAAAACAAGGAGCGCAAGTGAAAGTGAATCGTGACCGTCGACAAGTGGACGAGTGCTTGGCTATTGCAAAGAAAAACAAGATGGTGGCTTCAGCCACTCAGTGGTGCGATTATTTTTTTCTTCTATTAATGACCGTTATACAAGACGAGGGTTGACTTTTTCGGGTCCGTTTTAAAAAATGAATTCAACCTATATTCCGGTTTATACGGTAGGTGCCCGCCATCCAACACAAATCGTCAGTTTGAGTGTTGATTTATGACTGGTAGGTTGCATGTTTGTAGTCTCACCCGAGAACTTAACTCTGCCACGTGATAGCTTGATTTTGGCGGTTCTGGTACGCTGCTGATCATGTGGTGTCTGCCGTTGAAACCGCCTCTTCAAAGTTCTTGCTCTGCAGTTGTCAAGTTGCCGGCAATTGCTCGGCAATCTGCTGATCATGTGGTGGCATTATGTTTCTCTGGGTGTGCTCTACGTAGCCATTCTGCTTTGTGGCCCACTCTTGATTTTCAACATGCCCATAGTCCAATAATGTTGATTCAGCTCTTTTTTTTTGCTTAACCCATTTTTTGTTGATTCCCCTGCTCAGCCCTGGAGATGCGTCGCCGATCCTCCCTCACTGCTTCAGCTCACAACGCAGGTTAGACCCTCGTTTTAGTTTTGCTTCATTTCTGCCGAAAAAAAAAAAAAAGTTTGCGCCACGGCCCAAAATGGGATGAAGACAGAAGAGAGCAAAAGCGAGGGGACCCCGCCAACACAAGCTGCCGGGGCGGCGGCACAGCATGTTCCGTTCTGCATCTGGGCCAGTAGCAAAGCGCAGACGTGGCACTTGCTGCACACGGGCACTATGTGTGCTCAGTTTGGCCAGTTCTTTTCGAGTAGTGTGCAGGCTGCAGAGTTGCTTTGGCAGTAGCTTGCGCATTAGCCTTTGTTGAAGCCACTGCAACAGGTGTCTCCTTTTTCACTGTGATGCACCGTTTCTTGAGGCTTTCATCACTTCGTAGTATTGGTACCATAGTTGCTTTTTCTTTTTGTGCTGTGGGAGTAGCGATTGTTCAGGGACCTTTAAAGCACCGCTGGTTGGTTTGCAGGACTGGGAGTGCAACTTGAAAGTGGGGCTCAGGTTTCAAGGTGTCTGCTTTTTGTAAACAATGGCCTGTTGTAGTTGCCATTTTCAAACCAACCACAGCTACTTTGTTTTTTCTGTGTGTAAAGCTTTTTTCCTCAGTAACTTTTGTGGCAGACGTCCTTGGGGCAATATGCCGCTAGCAAGCTTGAACTAGCAGTAGTTGCAGAGGTTGTCTCACCGTGTCTCAGGCCATTTGTGGCAGCTTGACTATCATAGTGTAAATGTTCCTAAGTAGGCAATGTCATGCTTTTTTTTTTTTTATCTCTGCTCTTTGTGTTCTTTCTGTGCCATTGAGCACAAGCTGGTGGCTCTTCGTTTTGCCCAAAAAATGTGTAAGACTTGCTACCTGATTCTTTCTCTTTTATTTCTGCTTTGGGCTTTTTCTGCATTGCACACTTCTTCCAAGTCTTTTATCTATAGGTTTGTTAGCTACATATGTTCTGGAAGAGAAGCTTATTTCAGTTGGGGAAGGACCATCTGGGTACAGAGGTTCCGGGTGTGTGAGCAGAGTTTAAAAACACCATGCGTAACCTTGTGCACCACACACCAAAATGGTGTATCGGAGAATGTTTGGAACCTTATTTTGGCTGCTTAACATCTAAATTTAATTTTTGGTAAAAAAAAAAGTATCGTCAGAACTACATGCACGCAGGGCTCTCGAGAATGAAAAGGTGTGAAAAGCCAAACTATGAGCGAGCCTGCATTAATTTGTCTGCCTCACATTTTTCTGAGGTCTTATGGGCATGCCCCTCTTTATACCTGCTTTATCCAGACATTCCCAGTTCCAATGGAAAAAGTGTAGGTTGGGTCTAAGCCTTTGTTTTAGCAATTTACAATGTCCTTCTATGTTCAGCCTTCCTATTTTTCTAGTTAATGCATTGCACATTGCATCCTAGATGTATTGCTTGCTGAACAGAGTTAAAGCACTGACTTTGCTAAGGTGCTGCTGCTTTTGCTAGTTACCATCACCATAATTAATCATTGCTGTACAAAATGAACTGGTAGTTTCTTACCTACTGTAGGGATACACAGTAGCTTAAAGTATCTGTGGGCTTTTGTCATGTAGCAAAATAAGTTAGAGATCTTGCCAAGGGTAGTTTGTACCATGTACATGTATGGTCAACTTTTTGTGCTGTTTTTCCTGAGTAATTTGTAACGCGCACCTGCAATGGACCGACTTTGCAGATGAGCTAGTGAAAACCAGGGGTGGCGCGAGGCATTCCTGTTTAGAAGCCCCCGTCCTTGACACCGCCTGCATTTCAATTGCATTTTAGCCATTTTGTTTTTGGCGGTTTACCGAGCCTGCTTGGGACGAAGTCTCCCTGCCTGTTCTCAAGTTCTGTTTGTGTTGTTTTCTTTGTCCTTTCTTTTTTTTTTTTTCTTTTTCACACACTTTCCTTACTTGCTGGTGGTTTGGGCAGACTAGTGGCCTCAGCCTGGTCTTGGGCAGTAGTATGTCTCATCCCATTTTGTGTGCGTGTGCGTGCAGGCCTGTGCAGAACTCCTGTTTCCGTTTTATGTTTTACTTTATGAGTTGTTTCTTCTAGATCTGAATTGTTTTTGATTGTTTTTTTTTTCTTTCCCCCGCCCCTCTCCCCCGTTCTTTCTTTGGCTCCCTCCCACCTCCATGTAGTCCCTAGTCTCGCTGGTCAAAAGTTGAGCTCAGTGCGTCAGACTTCGCTCGAAGAGGAGGCCAACGCCAAGCAGGAGGTACACATTGTTGAGAACCCCATTAACCAGCATCAGGTGAACTGCTAAGCACGGGGCGGAGAAAATCAAGCGAAATGGGACGGCAAGGGAGCTATCGTGGCAGCGCACCTGCTAGCACGGACGCGGAGAGACCGGGGTGGTCGCGGAAAAAAGGGAGTGAAGAAACGCTAGACACGTGCAACTCAAGTGGACAAACCTGCTAGGACTGCATGTGGCCATGCCGCACGTCTGTCGGTACACTCACACAGACACAGAGGCATGCACACTGATGCCTTGCGTTTAGTACAACATTTTTGTTTCAACCTTTTCTCATGTTTTCCTGCCCAAAGGTTGTAAGAGTGGTTCTGTTGGTGTGGTTCTTGAAATTTGCCACCCCGTAGTTCCAATGCCTTGACTGAGCCACCTCTCAGTTTCGTGTGCAACTTTTCCAGGAGGAAATTTGAGTGTGCATGTGTCTCTTTCTGTGCGTGTGGCCTTGCTTGCACCGTTTTTTGACGACGAGCTAGCTTCGTTTGTAGTCTACTGCTCTCCAAAGTACAACGAAAAGAGAGCCACAGTGCTCGCTGGTAGAACACATGGACGCTCCTAATGCTAGACCCGAGATGACCTAGGAGGACCAACCTTTTGACGCTTTTTCACCGGGCTGCTTTTTAAAATGTGCGCAGTTCAAAGCTGCACACTACTGTTTCTCGCAGGCTGGAGCATTTCCGAAAACTGCCCGCCGCGGGTTTCTCTGTGTGTAGGCTGGGTGTATACATGCTAAAAAGCATGGTCATTATATGCAAATCTGTGTTGTGCATAAACCAGCCAGCAAGAGTGAAAGAGGTTGTTTCCGATTCTTTGTTCCGTTGTTGCAAAAGCAAGTGTTGAGTGTTGTTGTACTTACACATGTGTGACCAAGGTTAAACAGGATGCTCGAAACTTTTAATTTCTACTGACGTTGCCTTCCCATTTTGGTGTTATGTGAATGCGGGTAAATGCAGACGAGTCCATGCACTGTATTGGTTTTGGAAGACTAAAAAGAGAGTAAACAAGGTTTGGGTCTCTTTTTTTTTTTTTTTTAGAGGTAGGGGCATTGTTCGGCGTTTCTATTGTAGAAGGCGGATTGAGATGGTGTTGTGTATAATACACAGTGCATAGATGACTGATGCTTGCTACACAAGAAATGTATAAATACTTTTACTTCAGCTCTGGGTATATATTATATTACATATGTACTTTTGTGTGCTGCTCTTGTAAGAGAAACAGCCCGAGAATTGTATTTTTATTATAGTTTGTTCCTTGCATCTGCATGTGCAATAAAGTGCATTTGTGTTGCTATGCAGGTACATGCACATGGTACAAATAAAGTAATGTCATACGCAAGTCACTCGTACTGTTGTAAAAGTGTTGGCACCATTCTTGATTAACACGACTCGGCAGTACAGCCAGACAGTGGCTGGTATAAGAACGCTTTTGAAAGAACACTGGTTCTATTGCTCAAATTCTCACTGTAGGTATCCACATGTCCCTTTCGACGGTGGTGAGCTTTGAACTTATTGCCCGCTGAGGTCAACTGAAGGGCCACATGCAAAGACCAGGTGTGTCTGTGGTGTCCCGAGAAAACAAACTTGTCCTGTGCTAATTCAGTGTACAGAGAGATGCCATGGGGGTAGTACACTGCAAAACAAAGCAGCAACAGTGAGGGACGCAGATGCTTTGGTTTTGCATGTGGCCTCTCAATTTGTACAGTGGAAATGATGCTATAGGGAGCAGACGTTGGAAGGGGGGACAAGACCCATCCACTGTACTCCGGTTCACCTTACCATGGACTAGAAAGGATTCTAGGACGAGGAGCACATAGTCACATAACATGATCACAACACTGGATTAGATGGGATGGCTCTTAGTGTCTACTAACATCACTGTGTGCCACCTTCATACCTCTTTGGCCACAGCAGTAAGTAAGGTTATGCAGCGGAACCTCATTGATACATTCCCGGCTTTTACTTTCGGAAGCGCCAGTTCCACCGAGCTCCCATAGGAACGCGTGTATTACTTTCCTGCTTAGTGCGTTTGCTTTTCCAATTCTTGTACTCAAAAAGCAGACACCGCCGGTCAATTTACACAACTGACCGATTCGCGGAAAGATTGCTCACCGGACGACACATTTTCGGATCGTCCAACTCCCAACTGCATTTACACGGGGAGACTAGGACAGCGAGGATCGACCGAACCACTTATTGACTGCACAGTGGCACTGGCGTCCAAGTGTAACGTTTGTTGCTACGGTCACGGCACTATTGCAATATGAAAAAGAACCTATTTTGTGTGGTTGTTCCGTGCTGCATGAGACGGAACACCGCGAGATGCTCGGCACGAAGCATCACCACCTTCACTAACCCAAGGCATAACACAAGTGTGGTCCTGCTCGAGAAGGTTCGGAGTAGAAGCGACTGAGTCCTGGGCTTGCGCAGGGGTGTTTGCCAATGTCCTCGTCCCCACGCACAACACTTCAATACACCACGGGCTAAAAAAGGTCTTGCTCAATCTCATTGGCTCTTGGTCTTGCCAGATAAGAGGCTGGATGGATGAGCAGGACAGAGTATGGAGGAGTACCGGAACCTGCAGCTTTCTTCACCCGTAGAACCAAGAATCGTGCAACAAAACAAACCAGCGAACAGACAAAAGGAAACAATGCGCCTTTTCACTTGCAATTTTTTAGAGCACAGCTCTTAGGCGCCCGGCTTGAGCGGCGTCGGCGTAACCGCAAGGTCACGTGACCCCCCCCCCCCCGCGCCTTCCCCCCTCCTCAAGAGCTGTGCTCTAATTCGGCGTTACAGGGAGTTGTAAACGGCTTTTTTTTTTTTTTTTTTATTTCATACACGTGTAATTTAACAACAAAGGATTTTTTTTATTTTTTAACTAGCAATAGGAAGATGGTGCATCAGTTTGTTTTCTGGTCCATGTTGTCGCGTGGTTCTTGGTTCCACACGCGAAAGAAGCTGCAAGAACTGCGCCCGGCTCACGTGCTGCAGGTTCTGGTACTTCTTCGGGGCCGTGTAAAGAAGCTCCTGTCAAAACTCGTCTAGCACACCGCAATCTCTCCTGCACATTCTACGGCATGTCATCCAGCGAAACCCTTTTTCGGCTTTGGTGTACAAAGTGTTGTGCACTATTGCGTGGGGACAGACCAACGAGGACGTCGGCAAGCGCCCCTCCGCAAGCCCAGGACTCCGTAGCTCGACCGCGTTTCAGTCGCCCAAAGCGCCAGGTGGAAATTACAAGCTTTTTCTGACTGCATTAGAGTTCACACCTACAAATGTTTAGAAACTTTTTTGAGCCAATTTGAGTTCACACCTATGGGGTGCAACCGTAATGACTAACACATTTGGCATGCCTTGCAAAATTTGAATTCCAAATGGACATACCTGAAATTGGGCATGCAAACGGTTTCGAATCAAGTTTTATTGTCTATATTTTTTTTTTAGAGCTCAATTGTGAGGTAGTGAAATATTAAAAATAAAGAAAAATTGTAGACCGTGTATTTTCTATACCAGCCTGTTTGTGTGCTCGCCGAATGCAAAAACGCTAAAAACCAATGGCAGAGGCCGGCGATGAGCAAGATAATCATGACAATGAATACTTTATTTTAAATGTATGAACAATGGCCACCTGGGAGCAAGCTTACAAACCAGTAAGCAGAAGACAAACATCCGGTATAGGGCATTTGAAAGGCACAGTCGCCGTTTTTGCTTTATTTTGAATGCTGTCTCAGACTTGAGCTCTGAAAAAAATTCGGGCAAGACTTCTTGCGAAACTATGTTCGCATACCCAATATCAGGTGTGGGTCATTCCACGCCAAACGATCTAGCCTTTAAATCGATAATCACCGATTCAATATAAAAAAAAATTGTAGTTGCTCGTGGTGACGTAAAAGTGCCCTTCCCGATACATTTTCGCCGAATAAATTTTTCTTTGCTCTTTTGGCGATGCTATGATTAACACGGACAACAGGCTTCAAGGGCCACAGGTGCTTTTTTTTCCCCTGAATGTTCTCAAACTAGGCCATTAATTGAAGATGTGTGTTTTGAATTCAAATTTTGCAAGGCGTGCCAAATGTGTTAGTTCTTACGGCAGCACCCTCTATGAATGTTCGCGTAAAATAGTCTCCTTACAGTTGCTATCTGTCTCATCTCTAGCGCCCCCCAAATGGCGCTTTCGTTCCTTGCATTTTCCCGGATCGCAGATTTTGTCTCCCCGGTCCCCCGAAAAATGTATCAACGAGGTTGTACAGCATATTGTAACCTTAAAACAGTTCGGAAGAGCTGGAATGCCTTGGCAGCTCAACATTAATAGGGGCATGTCTGTGTGTCTGTGATGACAAACATTTCCTCCACACACTAACTCCCGTAAATACTGTAAGCAGTATGACACTGGACAAGGTTACCAGGACGGCTACTGGCACGACAGCCAGGTCTCCACTTGGCTCGGGCAAGGAAAATGTCAATATAACAATGGCGAGGGGCCCGTTCTGGATTGCAGTTTCGAGAGAGACTGCAATGATCTGCCTGGGATTCAGGCGTGCCAGCCAGGCCATGCCGGCGCCGAATGCAAATCCCGAAACTACCACTACACTAGCGGCTGCAACCTCCAGAAGGGTTATCAGTGTAGCGATATACCAGTAGCTGTAGATGCCGACAACTAGTGCCACCAGGAGAATTGCAACGGAGAAGGGCTTGACTATCCTTTCTGATGCCTTCCCCCATTTTGGGCGCTTGTACTGGATCAGCAGCCCAATGCCAAGTGGTATGGTGAGGGCGACCAGGGACACTATCAGGTTGCTGAACGGCACTGCTGGCGTCGTAGGGCCCGAGAGCTTGTGGCCCAGTGTGTGCATCCAAAGGGGCATCATGCCTGCAACGAGAATGGCGGAGCAGATTGGTTTTGGCATGCCATAATCTGCATTCTTTGACTTGTGCTAAACCATTATGCGAGTACCATGGTTACTCTGCCTTCAGCATATGATTTGTGCCCGTTCTGTCCGTGTTGTCACAGTCTGCTATACTGCACGGTCTCACTTTAATGTGAACTTTCGCGAGGGCTATACATGCAAGTACACATGTAAGCGGGAACTTCGGTAGGTGCTGCTAAAGCTGGAGCATTCGTGCAGCCGACACACGTTTTAAAGTGAGGTGTGCATGCTTCTATTTACCAGAGTCCAGATCAAGGTGGGACGGAGATTAGAATTGGCTCTTGCAACTGGCTGAAGCACTTGTTGGAGGTTGCAAGCTGCAGATGTGGAAAGAAGTGCTGTCCTCCACCGTCGGACTATTGCTATACTCAGTTCATCCTTAAGCTGAGACTGCATCCAATGCCACAAGCACGAGAGCTCAAGGTTGCTGCCTTGAAGTGTTCTCCCGCAGAATGAGCACTCGCGCTAGAAATGCATGTCTCAGAGCCAGGAGCGCGGGCTAGCTCGCGCTTGTAGCTTTGACTGCAGTCACAGCTTAATGATAAATAGAGTATAGAAGCCACCAGAAGCCCCTATATTTTTTCCTTTCACTGCATTGTTGTCTATGCTGAGAGGAAATGCAAATTAAAAGGTTCTATGTCCAAATCTACAGATCCTTGTTCTGAGGTCATCTTGATCCAAAGTAATGATCAGCAGTGGTGCATCCGTGAAAAATAACGCTGAATGTGTAAGTAAACGAGACCCCAGCAAAGGCGTTTAGAAAAATGCCATATGCAAGCAAAAAAAAAAAAAAAAAATTTTTTTTTTTTAGCAGGGTGCAATTAATATTTTATGAAATAATATATGCTGGCTCGCATATCAAAGTAATTTATTCTAAATTAACCAACTCCTTGCACTGGTGCAGTGTTTCTGTCGCTGGTCGGTTGTGGTATGGCTATTGTATCTACTGCCAAGTTAACCTATTCTTATATGCGGGTACCTCGCTGATCCATCCAAATATGCTACTGTATAGTCTGCCAAATTCCCAAGTCAAAAGTTCCATCTTGTATTCTGAGGCACTTTTGTATGGGCATTATTTATTTTATTAGTTTTCTTCTGGGTGTGCACACACATCTCCTGAAACAAGTTTCCAGGTACGGTTAGTGCTACAGCATGTTTCACACCCCTTTTCTGTTTTGTTGCAACCTAGTGGGGAACAAACAAATTAGGCTCTTGTTTAAGATTGTTTCCACACAAATTGTAAACAAGCACACAAATTGTAAAAAAGTTTTGGGACAAATAAACTGTGTAACCCTACATTTATGTAGGACCAGTTTCTTGTTGAATATAATGTCTCCAACGGATTAACCATTTTGGACGAGCCTAGCTTGTCAACGTGGAGCCATCCTCAAACTGTCCAGGACAAGTATAGCTCGCCTGCCTTTCCCAGTTCACAAACTCAACCGTTTTGGACGAACCAGTCTTACTCATGGCTTAGTTTGTGGCTGTACCAGCAAATGGCAGCACTGAATTATAAAAAATAATTTGCTCCCATTGTTTGTAACTATAAATTTCACTGTGAAGGCAACAAGTACAATTTTGAAGAGAACAATTGAGCAGTTGTGGGGTCAAAAATTCCCCAAAACTAAAAAAAGTTCAGGGGTTAAAGAGGCACCAAAATAAACCTACACACTTTGTTCTTTATTTAAATATGAAGTATATGTTACTGCTAGGGCTCTGTGTCTTTGGCTAAAAACGATAGACTCTTAAAAGTACTCGGCAGTAATATTTATATATATAATAATAATAGTATATATTATTTTTTTTAATAGTAATTTAGCTTTACTGGTTGGTTGCGATCTCAGGGAGTGAAGAAAGGGGGGGGGGGGGCTACGAAAGACATAGGGGCTCTGCGTGCCGGATGCCCTAGCTATGCCACTGCCAGCACGCGAGTCGAACCAGTGAAACTCGGGTTCAACATAGAACTCCAAAATTCCAAACCCCTCAAGCTTAAAACTTGCAGGTGTCTGTTTCAAGCTAGCCAAGAAAGTTTGGAGCATTTTTAACCCAACCTCCACAGACAAGCATCGTACCTACTCTTCTGCACAAGCTTTAGTGGCACAGTTCATGATAGCAGGATTTGTGGAAGACAGCACCACACACCGAGTGCTCCAACATTGCTGATGAAGGTCATGGTGACACTAAGGTCGAGATCTCCCTGCAAGAGCAGGGTGTAGAAGTTGCTGTAAACACCGCCAGGGCATGAACCAATTGTAAACAAGCCCAGCCTGGTCACAGGGTTTTGCAGCAGCAGTGTGGCCATCCCATAGGAGACCTGTGAAGATACCACAAAAACTGGCACGAAACAGACCCTTGGGCAACTACATTAACACCGAGGGTGTACTACTCTGTGCCAATTTTTTTTTTATGCCATGTTGTTAAGGCTAGCATGGCTTCCGCTGTGCTCGCTGCCAAAGCCACTTGTGCAAACATGCGGCTGCGTTCGGTATCTTTTCCGCATAAGAATGCGTGCGAATGACATGAAAGACGAAGCCACATGCTTTCTCCGCAGTACGGGGCAGCAGTGTGGAAGTTACGCTAGCCTTGACAACATAGCAAAAAATAGCTGAGGCCAAGCATAGTGTCAGACATACCAACACCTTGAGAAGCCCTCGGGGCATGATAGTGCATACATGTTGAATGGTGGTCACCAAAAATAATGCTGAGCAACAGGTGGTATTCACTGGCCACCGCAGCCGAGCTGTTGAGCATGTGCCGATGGCGAGCTTTCCACAAGGCCTTGTGCAATGCACATTTCATGCCGTCAAGAGTGTTCTTGGCAGACGATAAGGAAGAGCTTTTCCGGAGCATACACTGCGAAGAGAGAGTTCAAGTATGGCAGCCAGTGGATACCACCTGTATGCAATGTTAACTTTTTTTCATGGATGCTGACAGCAGGAAGTTAGTTATTATAATGACAGGAAGTAGTTATTATAACGACAGGAAGTAATTATTACACAACTACACACCAGTACATTACTTATCTGAATCGAAACTGGCAAAATAAAAATGGTGCACACTGGGTGGGCAAGTGAGCTACTGCCGCTGCAGTAGAATAGACCGATCTCGCAAAGCATTCGGCGCATGCTTGACGCCGCCATAACTTTAGTTCACAGGAGGCAGACGGCAGTGCACGAGAAGGCTCGTGCCGTCTCGTGCTCTACACTTACGAAGCTCCAGCAAGGTTGTCGCACATGCAAAAAGACTAAAGTTCCCTCGATGCATTGCGACAGCATAGTCAAACTGGCAGGTGAGATCGGCCTATCATTCGGCATAACTGACCATATACATGGCTGGCGCCGACGTCACATCAGCGGCCATTGTGGTGGCCTTGCTGCCAAGGGCGTAGCTTCTGCAGCATACATTTCATGCACACCTAGTTTGTTTTTCTCGGCAAGAAGTTGTAGGAATGACAACAGCAATGACGTCATATGCAAGCCATGTATAGACTGTGAAAGCTGCAGGCAATATTCTGTACTGCTGTGTCTCAATTCATTGATGGATGTGTGAGCACCTAAAACATGAAGTAGAACAAAACTGGCTACACAATAAATTTACACATTGTTTCATTTCATTCCAATAGATAATTTTCCTCTTCGTGCGTGTGCGTGCGCGTCTGGAGAGGGTCATCTTTTTCTCGTGCGAGGCACTGCCTGTGAGGTGCGTGTAGGGCCTACTCACGAGAGGCATGAAGACGAACTGGCCCAGCATGCCGATCGTCGGGGCAACGGGCTTCTTCAGCTGCGCCAACACGACCTGCATGTCGAGCTGGCATCCCACATTGACGTTATTCAGCGCCACCAAAAGTCCGATAATGGCTCCGAAGCCCATGGCAAATGCTGTTTGCTCCCTAACCACACGCATACTGTGGATGCCGGCGGAGCTGTCATTGCCAATCTTGTCGACGAACTCCCAGGTCAAGTCCGCGTAGCCGATCTGAAGCGGCGTCAAGAGCGCTGAGAAATTTTCGCCGGGTATAAGTTGCGAAATCTGCATGCTGGCGGAGTCCAGTTGGACCACCGAAGGGTCGCTCGAAGTCAACGTCAGGACGACATCGTCCAGGGGCTGATCGGCGTCGACAGTGAAGGTGAGGTTGGCAGCTTCGTAGAGGTGCAGTTTCGTGTCGGAACTCGGAAACACCAGAAGTGAGCATTGCGAGTCGGCTACGAGCGATAGGACTGCGACGCAGAGGAAGAGAAACATTGCAGCCTCGAGCTGGAAAAGCCGAGTTTATGCTGGCCCGGAAAAGGATGCGCAGCGCGATATCGAGGTGGGGTATCAAAGAGAGAGAGAGAGATACAGGGCTTGGCCCACAGATGAACTTTCCTTAGCGGTCTATCTCGAACTCTTCAAAACAGTAAACAAGGCAGGCTGACTATTTCGGATCATCGTTTGCTGAATTCGCAAGTCCCATCGCAAGTTGGGCGATTTCTCGCGGTTCGCGGGTATGGCTAGTGCCATACCTAGCTTTTTGCGGAAGCTTAGAAGAACAAGAAAAAGAAAAATCTAAGCTACGATCCTACAATGACCTGTCATCATAAGCGCACAATGGATTCAAAATTAATCCGATCGCGTTGCAAGCAACAGAAAGTTCGCACGCAGACATACCGTGAAATACGAGAAAACCAGCTCAAATCACGCAGCGCGGTTTGCTCATCAAAGCCAGCTCTATCTGGCGCAACGCTATCGAGGACATCGAGCACACACAAAGGACGTCGTGATCGAGTATCGCTGCTCTGGGGGTAAATAACAAGGATGGAAAGATATGAGTGCGGCTTCGATTAGCAAACAATTCTTCATTGCCCCCGTTGACAAACCCGATCGCGGAAAAATCGATTAAGACATATCACGTTTCCACACGGTCGTGGCAAAGGACGAAATGACTTGCAGAACTCGCAAACGGCTAATGAACCTAATGACTCCAAATTAAATGTAGCTCGAATTACGTGCAGCTCGACTCGGCTTGGTTTGGCTGCTCTGTTGGCTCACAATAAACATTAGAAAACTAAATTACGGAGTTTGTTACGTTAGGCATATATTATCAACTAATAAGAATACTTTTTTTTTTAAATAGTTATATCTGAGTTGTGTTTGCGTTACAGGCTTGTATCGTAGTCTTCCTACGCCTCACGTTTGGCACCTTTTAGATCATACATGCCCGCTTCGGACAATATTCTGTCTTGTCTGCAAACTTTGATCGTTGCGCTCCGGAAAAGAAAAGCTGCTCAGCAGCTCAGCGGGCTCAGCTGCTCGTACTCGTTTCATTCGTTCTTCGGCCCGCGGTCTTTTGCGTTGTGAACTCCGTAATCAGCCTTATCAGAGCAGCTCTATTGAACCCCGTCGATAGTCTTTAACTTATAAATAAGGACACCTATCTCTGCGTAAGCACTTTTTGGCACATCTTCGTATGTCGTCAGATCAAAGATTTCTAATGATTTACTCCACTCGCAACCGCTGAAAGGTAGGTTCGTCCCCACAAAATTGCTGTAAAATTGAATGTGAGAGTACGGCATTGATCGTTTAACATATTTGCTTTGATAGCCCGATCGTTTCTTAATGTATCGGTTGTTGCCATTTGAGTGGAACCTTGTTCGCGTCAAAAAGCATAATTTTTTTTTTTTTCTTTTGCGTGTTTTGTGTATGCTACAATGCGCGTTTGTGGGTGTGCCTACGCTCCAGGTGGCAGGAGGCAATGAGCTCTGCGTTTGCGACCTCAGTTGCCCTCATCAACGCGGGAGATGTTCGATCTCTCGAAAGGTCCCTCAACGCGAAGCTCGTAAGCCCTGACGAGCGAGACGAGGTAAGGCAGTCGACTTGGCATGCACACTACGCTGTGACATTAACGGCCGTACAGTCGCGGTAAAAAACAAACGCAAACGCGTTTATTTATTTATTTTTTTTCGTCGCAGAATGGACAGACGCTGTTGATGGTAGCAGCTCAGTGTGGGCAGCTTCCGATCGTGGAAGAGTTAATCCGACAAGGGGCCGACGTTCATCTAGAAGACCTCGTGAGTATGCGATGCTACCTGTGTGTGCAGGAGTTGCACGTTGCGTTAACCCGGCGTTCAACGTCATATTACGGGCCTTACTTCGTAAGACATCAGCAGACCGGTGACCTTCCATCACAGATAAAACCTGAGAGTAAACCTGAGCGTATGGAAAACACTAGGGTGCAAAGAACAAATGTCTCAATTGGTACTTACTGGCACTCTACCCTGAACGAGAAGTCATGCCATGCCGGGTAAATAGTAAAGGTATGGTGCCAAGAACCGCACCATATCTGCACAAACCCAAGCAAAGATATTGTGTGACCTGCAACGTAATTGTTTTATTCAACTCGCTCGACAGTGCCATGCCTGATACGATATAACTTGCCAGTGATTGTGATGAAATGCAACCTTTGCAGGACAATTGGTCGGCATTGCTGAATGCCTCCAAAGAGGGATATACGGACATTGTTGCGGAGCTGGTTTTGCACAATGCCGACATCGAGCATCGTGACATGGTGAGATCCCTTGGGCCATGGCTACAGTTTTTGGTGTGCAGTTGAATTAAAAGAGAGCAAAACCATATGCACACACTCCGATATATATTCCCAGAATTTGTTCTAAAAATGGCCTGAAGAATGCCTTACGAATTTTATCAGAAAGTAGCTAAAATAAATCTAAAGGGTCCTCCCCCCCCCCCCGGCATGACATATCTTTCATTGTTAGCGTTCGTTACGACCTCTTACTATGAGATGCTACTTTGGTTTGCTACAGTAGCTGAGGCCTGCACAGTGTGTTGTAGTGGAAGACAGTGCAATATAGTCAACACAGATATCTCAACCAGCCTTTACGGGCTCATGTAGGGAATTGCATAAGGGGGGGGGGGGGGGGGGGGGGAATCTTAAGAACAAGAAGGTGGCAGAAATAGGGAACTCATCTGTAAACAGTATGCGGAGGATTTGGTGCAGTTAAACTGTTGAGTATTTAATGTAACAGAATGCATGTGCACTAAGCTCAACGTTTTTATAGCTATTCCCTCTGTTCAATACTCACTTAGGCAAAGCAGCGCAAATAATTACTGCTCCTCATTAGCCATTACTTGATAAATTGTTTGGGGCAAAGGTGTCATGGAAAATTTCTGTTTTCTATTTCTCCATGGCACTTAACATATGCTAGACTCCATTTTTTACCTTTGAAAGCACTTAGCAACTACCGTATTTCCCGGGCTAGAGTCCGTGGGCTATAATGTTTGAAAGTCAAAAGTTTAGGCTGTGCGGACTATCTATGCGTGCGGACTATAGAGGATTTTTGTTTTTCAATATCATTGATTATGATGAGACGAGACGGATTTTGTGAATGAAAGAGTGTGTTAATGATGATTTATTTATATTATAGGCTTCTTCGTGAGCTAAGAAAGCAGACATTTCTCTAAGTGTGCCATCCATGAGAAGATTTTTGTGTCGACTAAGCACCAGGTGCGGACTATGCACCGGGTGCGGACTGTCTAAGCAAAAGCTTTCATTTTGAACCCCAAATTTGCCCCTGCGAACTATACACCGGGTGCGGACTATAGTCCAGCAAATATGGTAGTTGAATTTGTACGTCAGAGCCCCACAAAAAGTGGTAGTTTCTTTGTTTGGATGAATTCCAACTGCAGATTTTCAAGGTCTGTTATCGATGCAGGAAAATGTTGTGATTCCATTTGGGACCTTGTGGACTTTTACAAATAACCACAAAACTATCTTATCAATTTTCCAGGAGTATTTCCAGCTTATCAAAGGCTAGGATGCAGCCTTTTGATAAGCTTCATTGTAGTGAGGACACTGTTGTTATCCATAATCAGCACCTATAGGACTACAGTCTTTTGCTGTGGTATAACACAGGGTAATTGTTTTTCATTGATAAAACATTAGATGACAGGATAACCACCATAAATAGTTGGCTAATGAACTAAGATTTGTTAATGAACTTTTTAATTAGTGGTTTTATGGACCATGCTGCAATGGCAGTTTTGAAGGTAGTCCTTATTATGGGCTAAACCAATTTATATAATTTTTAAAAAGGAAACAAACAGGCTTTGAGATATTGATAGATCATTTTTTGTATCCCGATTCCGAAACTGAGCCCCAAAAAAGCGTCACAAGCCCTGCCCACAATGATGCGTTTAAGAGTGACATATTTGTGATTGGCAGATTGTCATTATCTCAGTAGCGTGTCACTAGTTGGAGCACCAGTGACACCCGAGGCATGGCATAAACGTTTCAACCACTGTATAATGAGATTAAAAAATCTACATATGCACTTAAGTGCAGAAATTTTTATTGAAGGTATATTTTAGTTGTCGGCTTTATTTCGTGAAATTTTACGGCATAGCTTCATTCGTGTAAAATTGAGAACAGAATCCCTGGAAATTGGAACGGAAAATTGAGACATAATGAGCGACGGGCCAGTTTGCTACTGTAATCCAGAGGTTGGGCCACCTTAATTCCTTCATGGTCTTGTGCTTAGATGTTCATTCATGATGCTAAAATGTTGAAAGGCTGCCTTGCTAAACTCGAAAACAAACATTTCATATTTGTTCGTAAACCAGGATAGAGAAATCGTTCCAAACTCGAGTGCAGCAGCATGAACACAAAAATTTTATTACAATAAATGCAGCTCCGAGAAATGAGTGTTTCTCTGGTTAACCATAAATTTATGCAAGCACTTTTTTCACTCTTCCCGCCAGTGTTTATAGAGTCTCGAGAATATCTCGAAGTACAAATAGAATGGCATCCTAAAAACACCTTTTCACTGCGTAGCAAAACCACATATTCGCGTGGGCAAGTCTGAAGTTCCTTTGCCCCATGGACGTTTGTACTAGTAACCTCGATGAGCAGCTGTGGCACTTATGCTGACTCTTCTACACGAGCCCAGTTTGACTGTTTGCCGTTTCCTTGCGTATCAGGGTGGCTGGACAGCCCTCATGTGGGCCTGCTACAAGGGCCACACAGAAACGGCCAAGTTCCTGCTGGAGCAAGGTGCTTTTCCCAATGTGCATGACCTCAACCACATGTCCTGCCTCATTTGGGCCGCGGGACGAGGCCACCACGACATTGTGGCCGATCTGCTCAGCTACGGAGCCAAAGTTAACTCAGGAGACAAGGTGGGTGCTCCTGCCTGGGCTGGGCTACTGGGCTTGCTGACACACCGGAGAACCAGACTGCTTGCTGACCAATAACTTTTGAAAGTTGTGAAACAGCTTTCTCATCTTGCAGCCAATTTAATGTCCATCAATTCAGCTATAAAATGCTTCCGATCATGCAAGTATTAGCCTTTGGCTGGAAGGGGTTCGGTACACCGGGAAGAAGAAAATGCAAACTCGACAGTGCCTAACAAGGTTGACAGGTAGCGTAAACATTAGGAGTGCTCATCACAAAGGTAAACATTTTGAGGTGAAAAACGTGGGGCGTTCATTCTTTGTTTTTAGTTGCGTTGCTTTTCTGACATGTACTCAACCAACCTGCTGTTCACTGACAAAAAGTGAGGTTCTTAATGAACTCATATTTTGCAGTATGGCACGACCCCCCTTGTCTGGGCGTGCCGCAGGGGGTTCACAGGAATCGTTGAGATGCTACTAGAGGCCGGCGCCAATGTGGACACTGCTGGAATGGTCTGTATTAAAGACGCTGAATCTCACTGATGGAACATTGCTCTCTCTCTCTCGCATGTTCATGGATTCAAAACTTTTGTTCTTTCAGTATTCATGGACAGCCTTGATTATTGCCACTAAGGGGAACTTCTCGGACATTGTGAGCATGTTGCTCGAGTACAAACCCAACGTCAATGCTGTTGACGCGGTAAGCCCCTCGTTCGCGGGTCTCTGTGAACAGAGTGCCTGGTTACTTTCGTAATGTTGGTAGTATCCTCTGTCCTCCCAACTTGTCCCAAGCGGAGCGGTTCACTCGTCTTCCTTGTTGAGCCCAATTGTTTTTGTTTTACAGGATGGATATGCGGCTCTGGCGATTGCCTGCAGAGAGGGATTCACAGACATTGCGGTGTCCCTTTTGAACGCGGGGGCGTATGTCAATATGCACGATCGCAGCGGAGATACCAACCTGATTCATGCCGCTAAAGGCGGGAACTTCTCAATCGTGGATGTGCTTCTCAAAAAGTATGCCGATGTGGATGTGCAGGGCATGGTGGGTGTTTCCTGCCGATTACGCAGAATTCCATCTCTCCGTCATTTTGTGTCGGCCTGTTGCATGGACGTTTTTCACGCTGTGACAGGACAGAAAAACTGCTTTGTACTGGGCTGTGGAGAAAGGCTACAACGACATTGTGCGCACCATTCTGAATGCCAATCCAAACTTGGAGCTAGCCACAAAGGTGAGTTCTTTCCTTTTCTAGCTGTTTTTGTGCCCTTTGCAAAGTCAGAGTCACTCAGTTTTCTTCTCTTCCCTAAGGATGGAGACACGCCGCTTATGAAAGCCACTCGAAACCGTAACATGGATATCGTCCAAATGTTGATCGACAAAAAGGCCAAAGTCTCGGCAACAGACAAGGTACTTTTTTTTTTATTTGTGCTTTTCTTAGATCAATTGCAGAAAACTTTTTTTGGCATCTTTGTTAAGTTTAAATTGAATTAAAATTTAGCAGTGTGAGCTTCACCTATTCATAATATTATATATATTACTCTTAATTGCATTTTTCCTAGTTTTCATTAAAAGAACTAAAACATGTTTCTTGGCATAAAAGCAAAAACAATTTTTATATATTGTTGATTTCTAAAGAGCTTGTCTTTCAAAGTTTTGAAGCTAAATGTGGAATGCAGCTGTGCTGAAAGCAGTTGTATACGTCGGAACACTCAGCCTATTGGTTAAAAGGCCCAAACATTAACAACGGTTTCAAAGGCTGCAGATATTAATTATTGTGCAGGTACATTCTGTGCCATGTACACGAGTCGTTCTGGTGTATGAAGCGTCACAATATCCAGTTTTTTTATTGGACATTCTCATTTCATTGGCTTTACTTATGAAACACTCTGTTTATTTAAAAGCCAACCTGCAAAATCGTTATCTGCCTGACAAAAACCCTTTTCCAGTGCCCTTCTCTCCATTCCCTCTGGCACTCTCTCTTCCTTGGCCAAAAGGAGTGTGTCACCCCCCCGCTCTCCACACTTCAAGTTATGGACATCCTATACTTCGTCTCACCCTAGCATGGACTAACCGCGAAGGCTGTGCTAGTGCGAGTGGCCAACCTTAACTGCTTTGACGAGAGAACTTGCTGCACGAGCGCTCGTGCAGCCGCTGCGGCTTCATTCAAAGCGGCTAGCTCGCGCTTTTAGCACGCGCGGCTAACAATAGTCCATACTAACGTGAGACGAAGTATAGTCACCTCAGCCCCCCAGAAAAAAATTCCTGTCTACGACTCTGCTTTGTGGCTATGAATCAGTCTTTACGGGGAATTTCTTTAACGAGTGTGAGCCATTATCAGACTTCAGTGCTTTTCCATGTTATTTTCCATCCCCCTCAACATTAATTTTTCACTCGTGGAAAAATCTTGTTCAATTCAGCTGGAAAAGTGCTTAAAAAAGAAACGTGGACACGAGAAAGAAGGGACAGGACCACGCGCTTGGTCCTGTCCCCTCTTTCTCATGTCCACAAAATTTTTAGGTGCTTTTCCAGTTAAACATGTACCACCTAGCCCACTTAGCCATTTTACTTGTTCCATTTGTGGCTTGATGCAAGTGTCTACTATTTGGTAAGCCTCATGTTTGACTAATTCTTTGCTTTGTTTTCTGCCGCTGTGTCAGAGGGGGGACACTGCGTTGCACATAGCCATGCGGGCTCGCAGCAAGGGCATAGTGGAGATATTGCTTCGCAACCCCAAGAACAGTCAACTTTTGTATCGGCCCAACCGGAGTAATGAGACGCCTTACAACATTGACACAAGCCACCAGAAGAGCATCCTGGCTCAGATCTTTGGTGCACGTGAGTCCCTGCTCCAAAGCTGGCTTTTCATTCTGCTCCGACCGGCCTGATTGGTTAAGTGAACTTGATAGGACTCGGTAAAGGTTTGAAAATACCGGCCTAGTCATGGCCACATGGTGGCATCCCAACTGTGTTCCTTTGACCCCTACCGACGAGGGCCATGTTCCTTACTGGTGAAGGCGAGCGGGTTGAACATGAATACATAAAATTGAAAGAATAAAACACAGGGCAAGCACAGGAACGTGAAAGAAAGTGGTTGTCCTGTGCTTGTTCTCTGTGTTTTATTCTTTCAATTTTATGTATTCATGTTCCTTAATTGACTCAATCTTACTTCAGGGCGAAGGGTTTGTACCTTGGCGTTGGAACACCTACCCGCGTCCAGCATTGCTCTATCTGTGTTGTCCCGTGACGCGACCCGCCGAAGTAACTCGGATCTTTTTGGGTAACGTTTGGAACACGGCCCATATGTCACTGCTTCAGGTCGCCTTAACACCAACGAAGACAACGAGAACATGCTCGGCTACGACCTGTACAGCAGTGCTCTAGCAGACATTTTGAGTGAACCTTCCCTCTCGATGCCTATCTCCGTGGGACTCTATGCACGCTGGGGCAGCGGCAAATCCTTTCTGCTTGGCAAGCTCGAAGGTGAGCCCGACGCTCCATCGTCCCCATAATTTTCAGGCTGCCGTCCCTTCCACACATTATTAATGCAGAATGTGTTTTACGAGTCGTTTTCTATGAGTAAGTCGTCATGGGACGAGCATCGTAGACGAACGTCAAAACCAAATGTCAAGAACAAGTGTCATGATCGACCAACACGCAGGGAGCTTTGCACGACGTTAAGGTTACATACAGGGTGGACTTTTTCAGGCTTTACAGATTTGTTTTAAAAAAAATTTGTGAATGCTACACTACTGAGGTCTGTACGGGTGAGTTATACGGCTAGGGGGACAAAATATAGTCGGCTGATCGTCACAATAAGTCGAATAATTAACAAAAGATTTGTTAATTAACTTTCTAAATTTTGAAAATAATCATGGTTCCAATTAGAAGCTTGATCAGCATCATCCAGAAACAACTAAATCGGTAATTTTTAGAAAGACTTGGAGCATGTGGGGAGTGCCGTAGTGCACTAAAGTTACCACTTGTGCAACAGGCACAAGGCTAGCAGTGAGAAAACGCGAATTAAAAGAGACAAAAAACTGGTCGGGCGCATTATCTCACCGGTAGCCTTGCGCCTACTGCACAAGTGGTACCGTATTTACTAGAGTAATAGCCGCACTGTTTATGAAAAAAACCTGAGGGTTCGCTTTTCCGCGGAGAATGCGGCTTGCCAATCACTGTGATTGGTAGCATGAATCCAGCAGTTTACAGGTTTACAGGACAGAGATAACGTCTTCGCGCAAAGATACCATCTGCGAAGATTGCGTTTGTATGGAGAATCGTGTTCTCGATCTAGTTATTCGCTATGTTATTTATGCGCAACGCAATGATTGGCTGTATATGTGCTCTGCGGGAAAGCAGATGCAAGGGCCTTGTTCATAAATAGTGCGGCTATTACTCGAGTCAATACGGTAACTTGAGCGGCCCGCCGTCTTTCCCACATGCTCGAAGCCTTTCTAAAATTGACTAATTTTGTTAGTTTTCGATGGCACTTAGCAAACTGGTATTTCGAACCATATGTTTATTTTTACTACTTGAAAAGTTAAAACATATTTTAGTTAATCATCCAACTTAACGTGACAATTAGCCCCTTATATTATGTCCCTCAGGTCGTATAACTCACCTGCCAAGACTGTGTTAGTGTAGCTTATACAGCTTTTTTTTAAACAAATCTGTAAAGCCTAAAAAAACACCCTGTGTGAAGCTTACAAAGGCCCATGTAAAATCAACATAAGAAGGCCCCCCCCCCCCCCCCCCTTCAGCGGGGCTCAGGCCTGGGTCTGTGCGGTGGCAGTTGGATACTATAGCCTTTCAGTTGCCTAGTAAAGCTGCTGTGGAAGAGTAAACAATTTTATTTGCATGAAAACTTGCCGGCAATGAATATAATAAATAAATAAAGAAGTGAATATAGATAATAGTCATGTGTGAATAGTGGATTTTGAGTTTGAAGCAAATTTGAAGCGAATAGTGGTTTTGGCTGAATATTTTCGAGTCGAATATCAAATAGTTTCTCTGCTTAAACAAGAACTCAGCTGAACTTGTGAAAGTGGTTGCCAAGCTTCCACTTTTCCATTTATAAGCTAAGTTTATTTTAATATATTTATATATTTATTGACTGTGGCCTCCTCAAGTCCAACGCCTACATTAGGATGGCAAGTAAACAACGCATTTGACATGAAATTAAACCATAGAGATTCCCAGCTATACCGAATCATGAGGATTTTTAAATATCCTTGCTATGTGCAAATATTTTTTCCTTCAATCACGTATGATTAACACAGGTTGTCAGGGCATCTATGCATATACTCGTGCATGCCAGTTAAATTTGTAAAACTTTACTGCAATGTAGATATCAACATTCACGAAGTTTCCGTTTCTTTTTAAATACACCAGGCGTGCACATGCACCATCCGGCTTTGGAAATGAGCTTTTCTCCTGAGCACGCGGCTACAATATTTGTACTTTCGAAGCATTGATCGCGGCGGGTTATCCCCATTGAGTGTGCTTCTTACTAAGAACCGGTGCACCGCAGAGAAACCACACCAGTGGAAGCAAGCTCCACGGGCGTTGCTTCCCCGCATTGCAACAGTGCTCTGTAAGAAGCGCACTCAACGGGGCTCCGTTGAGTGCGCTTCTTTGTCCTTACCCTCTCGTTCACACCCTCCACCATTCCCGGTTTCCCTCCCACCTTTTCGCCTTCTCTTTAACACCCCTTCATCGAGGTGATCTCAGGCACAGCGCATATTTTTGTTTCTGTAATCAGACGTCTTTGCTAAATGAAAGAGTGTTGTTGTCTCATACTCGTCCTTCATGTTTTTATTCTTTAAATTTAAGTATTGATTGGGCTAACCTGCTGCAATCAACACTTAGAAAGATATTAATATTGTAGTTCATCTCAAAGCGAATATCAAATAGCATAGTACTCAAAACTACTGTTCATAAATTTGACCATTCTCGCAACACTGATAAATAAATAAAACATTGAATAAAGGAAAAAAAAAAAAAAATAAATAAAATATTCATTAAAAAAATTGGTTACTTAAACAATTACACTGACTTCTTTGAAGTTGGGCTGTCAAATTTTGCTACTTCGACATGAGCCGAGCACAAAGCATTGGTGTGGGTGCAGTAATAAAACAATACACAATTTACAGGCTTGAGGGGCATCATTGTGATGTAAGAGGTGACAGTAGATATAGCTATACGCCGTAGCACTTTACGATGAACTGCAGTGGACAGTGCAAGTCGTCCTAACCAATCCAGTGCTGCGAATGTATCCTGTGACTATGCACCCCGCGTGTTGCTGCTCCCCTCTCTCGGGTCGTGCGAAACTCGCACTGCACTGGGTTGGTTTTGTTGGCTCATAGCACCCACTGCGCTCTATCCGAAGGTGAAACTGAGTATAGAGTATTGCTGCCTGTTTTTCCCACAGAGGACATGCGGAGCTTTGCAGTCCAATGGATGGAGCCAACGTTCTCCTTCACCTGGGTGCTGTTTTGCTTGGTGTCGTTCTGTTCGTGCATGCTCGGCTATGGAGTGCTTTTGGCCACGGGGCAATGGCTGCTGGGGCTCAGCCTGGGATGTGGCGCTTTCGTGCTCACCTACTGCGTTCTCTGTAAGCCCGGGTTTTGTTCATTGGGGGGAAAGTGCTACTCGCCACCTTCTCTGGTAACGAGTTCTCATCACCAGCACTCGTAGCTCATTCATTGAGTGGTGCTTGCTAGTGAGTGGTGTAGAAAACAATCACGAAGGAAATCTGATTTATCTGATTTAATTAGATTTGTATACCGTGACATCCCGAGAGGTAGCCCACTTAATAACAAGAGCAAATCGGGTGAAAATATGGAGTGGGCTAAACTTTCAGTGTATTATCAAGGAAAGTTGAAAAAAGGCTAATTTTAGGTAACTTGTCCCTTCCGGGGTGTCGAACCGAAATTTTTGTCGGTTCGGTTCAGGTTCACGATTTTCGGTTCAGTTCCAGTTCAGCTCCGGGGAGCAAAAACAACGGTTCAAACCGGTTTGAACCGCTAAATTGAGAATATAATTTCCACATTGTTTTGGCAGTAGGCACTATTTCTACCTTGAAACGAGTAAATATATAGTTTTTTTATCCTTCGTACAATCCACTTTTATTTTCAGGTACCAAAAATAAGAAATTGCGTTATTTAATTTTGAGGCAATAGTAAAAGAAAATTTAGATTTACATACAAAACGTCATGCTTATATGACTCAACATCCATTTGTTTACCTCAGTCACATATATTTTATTTGAATCGAAAGGTTGTCACAATATCTGGTAGGTCACCTAAAATAGTTGTGATTGGTACAGCTTCGCAGTATTAAAAGCTGAATCATACTTGTCCTCTTCTACTAAGGAATTGATTGCAGAGCATAAAATCATGGAATGGGTATCTCCTCGCCATATATATCATAAAATATAGTTTACGAATAACATTTTGCAATACACAGGGTGCGGCCGTAAGGACCATCATATTTAACACACCTTGCAAAATTGCAATTCCAAACGTACATACCTAAAATTGGGCAAGCGAACATAGTTTCGCATAAAGTTTTACATCAAGTATTTTTTTTTTTAGAGCTCAATTCTGAGGTGGTGAAGTATTAAAAATAAAGCAAAATCAGAGTCGGTGCATTTCCCATGTCCAATGCCAGCCTGTTTGTCGTCTGCACACTGGTTTATGAGCTCTCTCCCGGATGGCTTGCTGAACGCAGAAACGCTAAAAACTAATGGCAGAGGCTGGCATGAGCAAGATAATCACGATAATTAGCACTTTTAACGAAATATATGAAAAATGACCATCTGCGAGCAAGCTCACAAACCAGTGTGAAGAGGACAGACATCTTGTATAGGGCATAGAAATGTGCGATCATCAGTTTTGTTCTATTTTTAAAATTTTACTATCTGACTTTAGCTCTGAAAAAAAAAAAAGTCATAAAACTTTTTGCAAAACCATGTTTGTGTACCCAATTTCAGGTATGTATGTTTTGAATTTGAATTTTGCAACGAGTGCCAAATGTGTTAGTCCTTACGGCCGTGCCCTGTATATGATCAACTGAGCTAAAAGCAATAATATTTTCAAAATATTGCGAAATTTTAGGACAAACCCTTTCAGTCTACCTTTTATAGAAACACTGAGCATCAATCACAATACTTGTTTTCCTAACCAACATTGTTTACCCTCAGCACTGTAATGCAGGCAAAGAATCGTGCAAAGAGAAGTGATCAAAATTGTTCACACTAATTTATACACACCTTCATACTTGGATCGAATCTGGCCTAAAATCCCAACGTCAATCCCAGCACTACTATTACTAGGAGTGGGCTATCGTTCGGTGTTTAAGAAATATAGCAAATCAAGCCAAACATAGGGGTGGGCTATCTTTCAGGGGTGGGGCATCTCTCGGAATTTTACAGTAGATCGATATTTGTGTCATGTCACATTTGCAAAGTTTTCTGTTACACTACCGTGGTAGAGAAGCTCAAGTCCGTGCTAAGAAAAATTTTCAACTGCACTGTAAATATAAAACATATATCAATTTATATCGTTGCATAAGATTAGAGATATCATTTCATTCATTGCCATCTGTGCTCTGAAATAAAGGGTGCAAAAGGCAGGTTATATGTTAGGAAATTTGTTGGGAATCGTGGGTGAAATGAAAAGTATGGTTAAGATTCAAACGTGAATGAAAATCATTGATTGAAATCCCAATCTTAGTCACCTTTATTTTATTATGATAGCATTTAGAAGGTCGTGTTGCAGAAAACCTGGCAGCGTCGGTGCGACCAAAAATATTCCGTAATGCAACACAGACAGCCACGTGTGACGTCGTGACCCTATCAACCCGCTAAATTTGTCGGGAAAAGTTTCCGGTGCATTTAGTGAAAAATTTTCTCACCAAATTTAGCTGAAACTTTTCCACTAAATTTAGCGGGTCAATAGGGTTATGACGTCATAGCCACGTATGACGTCACGTGATGCTACCTTGCACGGCTTTTGAACGAGTGCGGGTTTATATTAGAAGGCTTTGCAAATGAGGCCCAATAACGCTGTCGCATTCCACTCTTAAAGGTGAAGCTTAAACGTCCCATTAGTTTTTTTGGCACCCTGGTATGCGAGGTGTTTCACTAAGGACTGAGTATACTCAAACAGGGACATAAAAGAAACAAAACAAAAACACAAAATAAATAAGAAACAAAACAAAAGCACAAAATAAATTTAACAAAAAAAACATATTTTTGGGGGATAATGTTATCTACTGTGGGGGACGTCTGCAGCAGACGTCCGCCACAGCAGATAACATTATTTGCTACTTATCACTTTACAAACTCTAGCTAACGGTCTGCTAGAGTTTGTAAAGTGAAAAGTAGTGAATTAATTACCTAAAATCTATTAATTTGTTTTCGAAATATTCACCTTAGCTGGCAGATTCCCATTAGCCATTTGTTGCCCATCATTAAAGGGGTACAGAAACTAAAATCAAAATACAGTTGAACCTCGATTTAACGAAGTGACCGGGACCCGCTAATTACTTCGTGAAATCGGGAACTTCATAAAATCGAGGAAGGGAGACCTTGCGCATAGGCTGCGCAAGGAATCCGAATTTGTTCGTTAAATCGGGAAATTGGTAAAATCGGGTTTCGTTAAATCGAGGTTCTACTGTATACGCAAACCTTTCCGATATCGGTGAAATATGACCTATGATATCCGTAAATGACAATCGCACATTCATATTTTGAGCAGATGGATATTTTTCGTTTCAAACGTCCGATTCTAGCGAGCGCTTCGGAATCGACCATCGAGGCGTGCAATGCATCATGGGGACTCCATCGCAATTGTGACGTTAGGCTCCTCAGCACAGCCAAAGGCTGGCGTGATTATGAGCGCCGCCACGCGGTGGCTTTTGCGTGTTACAATCTCACGTTTCGGAGTGGCGGAGGACTGCACAGCTGCATGACAGTTGTCGTGACGTGTTCATTTCGGCCCCTGTAGTCCGCGGTGCGTTCCGCTATGATTTGTGAACTCGAGAGCGACGAGGATTTCGACTACCAAGGGGACTCTGAAGATGTCAGCGAGGACGATTAGTCGCTCTCGCACATGGTGACGGATAGGCGATTCGAGCTAGAGCCGTACGAACCATCCGACAGACTGACCGTCCATCCGACAAAATCTGAAGGGGGTCGGGGTCGCCAAGAAATGCCTCCCATTTAATACTGATTAGCCAACTTGGAAGTATGCGCTATTAGGTGTTTTATTAACAGCGTGCTTACTTACCAGTTTGCTTCGCTTTTTGTGTGGTTCGCTGAGCTCTTCTGCTTTTCTTTTCTTAGAAAAAAAAATAGTCGGCCCAACCCCTGGTAGCAACCAGATATTCTTGGCAGGAAGACCCAGGTTCCTGAGGACAGTGGGTCGCCTTTCATAGTCCCAGGGATGGAACTGCTGCACCAATTGCGCCATTGTGTGCCTATTGACTTTTGATGCGCCACACTGGTACAAAAGTATAAGTAAGAACGAAATTGCCCCAAGGTGCCCCCAAACTGAAATTATAAACGATCCTTGTCGAAATTAGCCGTTTTGCAGTTTCTGTTGGCGACATTGACATCGGAACTTCCGGCCCAAAGGGAGCGCCAGTGGATCCGAATCCGAATCCCAAGCTCTGTATCCAAAAGTCTCTGCCACAGTGGTCGCTGCCATGGTTAGACTTCGTTTCAGCTTATAACAGTTGTTACAGCATCCCTAATTGCGATGCTTCTGCTACCAGGGGCCCTAAACTCGTCAAACACAAAGCTGGAGCAGAAAGTGCGCAGAACGCGCTGATTGGACGTTGGCAACAAAAATGCAAAGTCATCGTCGTGACCGTTCGATCGGTGCACTCTGTCAACTTCGGCCCCAACTTTGTGTTTGAAGCGTTTAGGGCCCCAGACCTCTTTGAAGCCATTCGCTGTTGCTCTGCTTCATCTGTGCTACAAGCACAAGCTCCGGTTGTTCAGCATCCCCGCCAAGAATGTGCGCTCGTGCACTGCGAGCCCTGTTCAAGGCCACATTCTGGTGCTTGTAGCATTGGCTGCGTCTCGACATAAGCTGAAACGAAGTACAGCCGCCATTGCTGTGTGCTTTTCTAGAGTCCTGGAGTCACTTCATCTGAATAGTGGAGGAAACAACGCTGCCATATTGCGATAAACTCCAATGTATTTAAGTTGCCGCACCTCCTTCTTGGCTGTACTTCCACTGTTTACAAAAATCACAGTCCACACGCAGTGTCCACACGTGCAAAATCAGTCCAGCCAGCGCTCGCTCGCAATTGCGGCCAGCCAGAAACTGCGCATGCATAAAACAAACACAGCAATGAACGCGCCCTAATACGCTTTTATGGAAAGGTGTATTGCAAGCCCCCGCGGCCCGCGTTTGCCCGCCCTGAGGCCCTGTGCACAAAACTTGGGAACATAAGAAAGGCGAGCGAGGAGTGAGACGTATGATGGAGCAAGGTACGAGCTGAAAGCTATTTCTGCCTTTTTGTTTATATTTACCTCGTTGCAAGTCGGTTCCATCATGTGTCACACTGTCGTGCAGTTTTGCTTAATGTATTTTGTGTAATTTTCACGCAATTTGTTTAAAATTCTTTTAAATAAAATGTTAATTGAAACTACCGTTCACATGAAGTTATCTGCATGCCATATTTCCTTGAGTTTTGAAAACTAGGTGACATTTGGCTGCTATTTTAGCATTCTTAAAACTTTTATGCTGCTCCCAACGTGCTCCAAGACCTCGTTTTTCCTGCTCCCAGCCTGCTCCAAACTGCAGTTTTTTCCGCTCCCAAGATTGCTCCAAAGATGCTTTGCCCACTTCCATCCCTGTAGTCAGTCCTCATCGCGAAGATGGTCACTGTACAGGCGATCGGTTTTCATTGGAGCCCGAGAGACGACGGACGCACGAGACGGATCTACCCGCTTCGGAATTTCTCATAGTTCGGAAACCCGTGGGTCGGCGTCCTGCAGTTCAGCATGCTGTTACTGCAGCCCTCTCCCACGCAATAGCACGGCATCCTTCATGCAAACGTGATGAATAATCACAGAAACAACTTGGCGGTACCAAAACAATCACGTGCCGTGCGAAGCAGCACGATTGCGTCATTGCGTTCACATACTTGGGTATCTATAGGCGCACGGTGTAGTGCCAAGGGTGGCGCCACTGCGGGAGGAGCAACAGGTCGCAAACCCCCAACAAAGCTTTGGCCCCCCAATTACCAGGTGCAAGTGGGAAATCGTTTTATTAGTTTTAAAATGAGTTTTTTTGCGTTTACAAACGAAAGACTGATATGTCTCGGGTGTTGATGCATTGTGGTATATACCTAAGCAATAAAAGGAGCCCTAAAATTTCACTTCCGCATCCCGTTTATGCCACAGCCGTTGTTAGAATTCAGTCCGCCATACCGAAACTAAGGGAAAAAGTGTGCCAAACGCTGCTAGCCCGAGGCGACAGCAGTAAACAGTGCACCTTTTACACAACCACGACCCTAACTCACGATGACTCGCTATCCGCATTCACTGCTCTGGCTGATGTTGCTTTTATGTGGGACTTCCACACTCTTTCTGCATTTGGTTTCGGTAACTTGTCTCCCCACAACTTAAATTTTCAGAGAGTAGTGCAAAGCAGAATTTTGTTGTCTGAATTCTAACAACAGCTATATTTTGATGGCAGGCAACCCATCTTTTATTGGAGTGTGCTAGCTAAAGTAAATATTTCATGACTTAGTTATGGCGAATTCCACTGGTCGTTTTGGAGCGCGCCGGGATCGACTTTTCTGGAGGACTGGGCGATCGGGATCGAGACGGACGTGTTCCACTGGTCGTTTTGGATTAGCTCCCGCTCCAGATCTCAATCTGGATCCGAGAAAAGTCGCTTCGACGATTTCGGCAGATTCAACCGGAAGCCAGCCGGGCCAGCCCTCGGTGCACACACATGACTTCCTTTCTCGCGGGGCATCTCGCCTCAGAAGAATTCGTAATGGCTGCTTGCTTACCCCTTGGCTCAACAGCCGGTTAGTTTTTCAGGAAGGAGAAGAGAAGGTTCTGCTGGCGCTACGGGCATTCCGGCAATCTTTGCTAGAAGCTCCTGAGCCATTCCTGCCGCTCGTGCGTCGAACACGTGTTAGTGCCGCGATTGCAAAAATGTCTTTGAAACGACCGCGGCGGCCGCGGAAAGGGGATTCCCAGGCAGTTGAATGACGGGAAGGCATCCTCCAATCCCGGAGCAGTGGTCATGTTCCACTGGGGATCCGTAGGCGGTTCGGATCAAACGCTCAGTGGTATTCGCCATTAGATAATACAGTTGCTAATTATCACTTTACACTCGTAGCCTGATGTCTATGGGGGTCAATAACATTATCTTGAAGCAAATGATTTGTTAATTTCAAATTTCCTTTTGTTAAAAATTGTATTCAGTTGCTGGTGAAATACTTTGTATGGGTATCATAAAGGTACAGTGCTATTGCTCCACTTTATTCAGAATGCAAATGTATGGCTTTTGATTAAAATTTTAATTTTAATTAAAATAATTTCCAATTTTGTTTTCTGTTTCAGAAAAAGTATGGCTTTTGATATGAGAATCCCCCTGATTTGAATTGTCTTAATCTTTTCTCTCCACCTAAGAAAGACACTAACCTCTGAGCGATTGTACCTAGTTTCTCTACTCTGTGCTCTTGCTGCCACATTAGCTGATCAAAAATGTGAATTGTTTTGATGTCACTGCAGTGCCTAGAGGCGATTTAGAAATTCTCACTGTTTTACTGCCAACAGAGATTCAACTACATTGAATGGTACATGTTTCTCCAGATACATGCTGTGTATTTATGTTTTTTAACAGGAGCTAAGTGATTTCACTGAAGGCCGGATTTTCGAGGAGTGGTGAAGCTTTTTTTCTGTTTTGAGGGCTTTGCGTTTGATTGGTCTAATTTCAGTTCAACTTTTAGTTGATATCTTAGCAGGATTTAGTGCCACAGTGTTTGCTGGTACACTCCAGAAATGGTTAACTTCAGTGAATGGTATTGGGCCTTGTAGATGTAACGAGTCCCATACTAGTGCATTAAGTTGTGTCTTTTGATATTGGCAGACATTGTTAGATATGGCAGCACTCACCACGACTGGAACTGGGCGTACAAGTTCTGCATACAAATGGAGAACATGCTGAGCTCTTGTAAGACTGTGCTGCAGGTGATGTTTTGCCATCCACCAGCCACCAACAAAGATTTTGGCTCCAGTCCTGTCAGGTAATCTACTAATGGCATTCTGCTCTTAAAATTTGTTTGGTTCTCATAAGCTCTTGATCGTATATTGGATTGCTCCCTTTCATTCTTTGTCTCGACTAGGAAAATGTCTGCAGTTATGACCTAGTTATAGTTGTTATACAATAGGGACACATCATAGTTATATAACACATAGTAGTTATATAATAGTGAGACATAGTAGTTCTAGAAGAGTGACACCAATACTAGGTGTCAGTCTCAAGCTTTTGCAATGCAGTCAATCACACTCAAACGCAAATCTGTAAACCAGCCTTTTGTCTTTGCGAGAGGGACGGTTATATCGTCAACTGTGCTTTCAAGGTTGCCTTGCCGGTTTCTGTATTTGAAGTTTATAAAAACTAGATGAAGTTTTTTGTGATAAAGGTGAGATTTGGCTTGAGACTACTTGTGTGCCCCTAGTAAGCCCGGGCTTGGTCAGATGGCACAGGATTGAACGGATGTTAATGCTTGCTTTTGTGGCCCTTATTTGGGTAACAAACTGGCGTTATAGGTTTAGATCTGAAGGGCCTTTTGTCTTAAAAAATATTGAGTGAATTGTGTTTTTAATTTAGGTTTGGATGGTTGCAGGTTTATCTTCACAGAACAGAATAAAGTGAGCAGCTCTGGCGTTGGCGATGCCTCTATTGCATACATCATCATTTCCTTATTCTCTGCCATCGAAGACGAGTTTGGGTTTTTCACTACAAGGTTTTATCGAGTCTTCCAGCCTAAACCAGGTATGCACATAATTTACGGTCAATATAACTTGTTTCATGTTGTCTGAATATTGAAGCTAGGGTATACAAAAGATTGCATGATGTAAGCTGCAAGCACCCAATGCATTTTGTACGGGAAGTTTTTAATTTGCATAACCTTGAACACATGATTTGAGTACTTTCTACTTTCTCTTATCCAAAAGGGGAGGTGTTTGTTATAAAATATGTTAAATTTTCTAAAGCATAGTAGTATCTTTAAGAGGAGACATGGGTTTTTGGAACCAAAAAATACCTAAAAACCGTTTTTCTTTTTAAATAGTGATGCTAAAATCTACAGCTGTTTTTCTTTTGATCTGCCAATTTTCTTAATTTGAAGCTTAATATTTGAGCCATAATACCACTTTATAATACCTATGTGGGCTGCAATTGCACTGAGGCTGACAACACTTTCTCAAAACACAAATTTTGGGCTCCTTGCAAATTTTCAGGGTGGATATCTTATCACCTAAGACAGACAGAAATGTATCTTTTTTTAGCAACATGTAGCTAAATGTGCAAAGCATGCAATGTTGGAAGCAGGTTTTTCAATATAGCTGTAGGAAAAGTTTTAACTGAACTATTGTTTTATTGCTTGGTAGCACACATTGAGCACTGAACTTCAATGTGTTGTAATGTCACTAATAATGGTTCAATCTAAAAAGTACTTCCAACATTTTATTTTTCACAATTTGTAGTACCTGACCATGTGTTAAAACATTCTTTAAAAAAAATGATTTTTCACTATTGTTTCTGGAAACAAAGTCTGGTTAATTTTAATTATCCTGGAAATTAACCTAATAATTAAAAAAATAGCAGATATTTGAAATCAGCACAAAAGTGTAAACAAGCCTGTGCTGCTTCATTGAACTTGTCCAAAAGAATAAGGAAGAAAGCTCCAAGACTTTTGAGTGTGTGTGTTGTTACCTGCAGTCTCGGGGTTTTTGAATCATGTTTAATATACACCAGCTCGTTTGTGCCCTTATATTTATTTTAAGACCAGTATTCCCCCTGAAAAGAAAAAAAAATTTTTTTTTTTTTTAAACAGTCTGGTTGGGACATTTGTGTCACAATAAAATTTTCGAAAAAAAACAAAAACTTTTAGAGCGATAATGACGGCACGAGACGCAATTTAATTGGTAGTCGATTCCTTTCCACTTGTTTTCTCTCTCAGCATTTCAAGCACGTGAAGGAGAGAAGCTGTGGCCATTATGTAGAGGTGGAGAGAGTGTATGACCATCTCGTTGAGGTGGAAAGTGTGTATGACCATTCCGTGACGTCATGGACTTTGCATGCATAATTCAGACACTATCTCGCGCCGTCAATATTGCTCAAAAAAAAATTTTTTTTTTTTTCGTGTAAAATTAGTTTTTTGACACGCATGTCCCACCCAGACTGTTTAAAAAAAACTTTTTTTTCTTTTTAGTGGCCTTTTAAGCACTTAATTCTTGTAGAAAAATGGAAATTGAGTGATATTTTTCAAAACAAATTTAGTTTCTTGCTTTCATTAAAGTGAAACTATTTGACAAAATAAGTTGACTAATTCAAGAGCTAATTCAGAAATTTAACCAGAAACATTTCGGTGGTATTCTCTCTTAGTAACTTGTTTCTCTTGACTACAACATATATTTGAGCTTTCATTGAGGTACAATTTGTTTTACCTTAAAATATGTGTTAGAGTAAATGTACCAGCTCATTCAATAGCTAATTCAAATATACTCTCTCAGTAACTATTGTTTGTACTGATTGCAACATATTCTTGCGTTTTTATTAACGTAGGACTTGTTTTACCTTAGAGAAGAGCTTCGGCAGTTTATTGAAGTACCTAAACTTACTACATAGGTGTACATAATCTTTTTGTAATGTACCTTTGGTGTAAAGATAAGTGCGGACAATGATAGCAAAACTTGAAGTAACAAAATAAAATAAAACGCGGTTGCATAAAGACGGCGCTCTTGCTGCCGAAGGATGTCGTCTGCTTGTCGTCTGCTTTCTTTCGCTGGTCGGCTACATCTTCCGGCGCTTCTCCCGACACCATCTATCAATACGTGCAGCAGCCGCGCCCCGCCCCGCAACTGGACTCAATCATCTGCATTGCTGTCCGCTGTTGATCCTGGCAAGTTTTTTAGCCCTATTTCTTACAGAAGGGGAGCTACGCCTTGTAACTTTACAAGGTAAAACCCACCTGTGAAATAAACCTTTGGTGAAAGGTTCAGATTGCTACTTGCAGGCGCCGATTTTTATGGCCCATTTTAGATTGAGCCTCGGCATTTCAGACACCCTATATATCTGCTGCCATGCCACTGCCAGGATCGCGGCAGGAAACAGCATGACAGAAGCGTGATGTCTGGCAGAAATCGAGGGACCACATTTGAGGATGCAGTAAACGTAGCAGTTGAAGTTGTGTTCCAGGCCCACACCAAATTGCAACATTTGTGGCCACTTTTTCAGTGTTGCTGCCAGTAGAGCTTTTCAGTTCAACGGTGAGGCCTAAAATTTGCGAGGTCACAGGTCGCAATTTGAGCAGTGTGCTGTAGAGCTCCTTCTGAAAAGGCACTGTAATCTTTTTGCACAGTTTCCTCTACCAGTTGGACCTGGCGGCGCCTCTGCTGCCTGCCCAACTTCATAATTTTTCTACTGACTCTGGCATGCCTGATGGCGGCGGTGGCTCTGGCGGTGCAGTCGCGCGTGTTTTCGGAGGAGGGGAACCGGCAAGAGAGCCCCCTGCAGCCCGTGCTGATTGCGCTGGCCAGCGTGGTGGCTGTGGTGTTTCTCACCAACCTCTACACCTGGGTGCGCATGATGCTCGCGCTGTGCCGTTCACACCATCGCCGGATTCACAGCTACCTGGCCCACGTGGATGCCACCAATACCGGGGGTTACATGGAGGCGCTCAAGGGAGAAATCGAGCTCATAAGCGCCATGGTGCGTCCCTGTCTTTCCTCGGTCTCGTCATACATTTTATGTAGAGTTTTTCGTGCCTCTTTTTATAAAGATTTCACAATCTCGGATCAGTTATTGGTTCTCTCGTCTACTCGGAGGGAAAAAGAATATGCGCGAGGTTTGGTGGTTAAAAGCTCAACCTATTTCTGAGTAATAAGTTGGCATAATTTTCTGCTATGCATGTATTAGTACCATAATTTCTGTGTATTTTCCGGTGTATAAGACGCACCTGTGTATAGAACGCTCCCCTCACTTATTGCAAGTTTCGAAGTAAAAATTAGTATATAAGATGCACCTGTGTATAAGACGCACCGCCAAAATTAGTAAAAAAAAAGTGTCTAATGTATGAGACGCATATAAAACGCACCCCCCCCCCCTTTTTGCAAGTTTCTAAGTAAAAATTACTATATAAGACGCACCTGTGTATAAGATGCATTGCCGAAAATTTCGGAAAAAAGGTGCATCCTATACACCGGAAAATATGGTACATATGCTGTGCCTTATATAAACCAGCACACTGTTTACAAACAAGTCGACGTTAGCCCACACCAGGTGTGGGTATTGCTTGTGCGCAGAAGCTAGATTAGCGTGACGTGTAGCATTTACGCATGTGACGTGCCAACAGCAGCATCACCGCAGCTGCGTGACGTCAGAACTGCGTGTTTGTGTAGTCCAACAGGCAGTTCTGACTAGTTGGAGTTCACCTAATTCCAAAAATAGAAAAAACAGGCAGATAGCACTTTCCAAAAACATGGTTGAGAAATATTTGGCACACTATGTTGTAGATATGTAGGATTAGTGTTGGGGCGGTCTCGATAACATCTGGAAACATTTAGCATCTTACTTGGTTCATGGCATGTCAGAGATCGCATAGGCTTCTGAAGATCTTGAGTGTCAGAGCCACATATCTGTGTATGAATAGCGGGGCCAGCCATAACTTTTACAGCAGAGCTGTTAAGGGCTAGGTTTCCCAGGATCGTGTCAGGTATGTCGACACAAACCTACCTGGACAGCTACCGTCATCTATAAGCGACGGCGGCAGGCACACAACCAGTCTGGTTTCCGCCGTCGCTCATAGATTACGGCAACCTTTCCAGCTATCATAGAAGAATTGATAGTTGGGCGCGTTGATGGGGATTCATCGTAGGGAACAGCGCGAAAAACAGATGACGACGAAGAAGAAGCACACGTAACGAGTGTAGCGCTCGTCACGTTTGTTTCTTCGTCCTCGTCTGTTTTGCGCACTGTTTCCTACGCTCTTACGCTCTTATCAGTTTCGGTTTGGACGCACGATGGGTCGGCTGCGGAAGGAGCGGCGACGTACGCAGCAGCGCGAATGGGTCCGCAACCGCCACAAAGCCGCTGTCGCCTCGACTTCCACTGCGTCCAGCGCTTCAGATTCTCTTGCCAAAGAGTAGATCGCTCGCCTGGAAAGCCGCCGCCGAAAACAGAACCAGCAATGTAATCGTCGTCCGTGGCGCCGGCAGGCCAACGCCACGGACGACGATTGTGCCACGTAGGACAAGCGGAAGCGCGAGGCCCAGCAACGGCTGCACTCCACGCCGGCTGAACAGTTCCCGGTTGCAACGGCGAGGTTCTGGAGGAAGTTTGTGGAGAACCCGTTTGGCGTCACGTGCGCTGTGTGCGACCGACTGGTTTGCCGGAGACGTATCCACGATCGGCGGCATGTCGGACGAGAAGAAGCGGGAATCGGGCGCGTGTGTGGAGTACAGCTCCGCTGGTCTTCCTTCTTCACAAGAACGGAAAGGCTGAACCTTTTTTTTACAGTCAAACCTGTTCATGACGAACAGCAGTAAACGCTGCTATCAGTTCGATATAGCAAGTAGTTCGATATAGCAAAAACCATTTACAATGAACTTCCAGGATGCGTTCCTTGTAAGGCGAGAGCTTCTTTTTCTTTCTCATCTCTTCCGCCTTGTAACAGTGCGCTGTAATGTTGTGTTTTTTTTTTCTGTTTTTTTTTTTTGCATGCGTGCAGTTTGTTTTTTTAGCTTGTCTCCCCTTCTGAATCGGTTCTCTTTGTAGGCAAACACTTTGGGATGAAATTTTTTTTTTCTGTGCATGCATGCAGAGTGTGTTTTTTAGCTTCTCCCCTTCTGAATCGTTTCTCTTCGCTCAGTTTTGTTTCCAACTTGAGCTTTTGGAATTTTCTTTCTTTCCTACTTCTTTTTGAAGGAAGGGACAGGCTAGAAGACGATTGTTTGTGCGTTTTTGGAAGCTTTCCCGGTGGAAAAAGTTTGATATAGCCAATATGTTGTTCGTTATAAAAAGTACTTTTTACACACATTTTTATTTAAAATGTCTGCGAGTTCGATATCAACAATAATTCGCTGTACGTGGGTTCATTCTAAACGGGTTTCACTGTACTTTGAGCTGCTGATTATATGCTTTGAACAAAAATGTAGCGGTGCTTTTTTCCAAGACATGGCAGTAATTACTGTGGTTTGACATTTTGTGGTTAGGTGCATTGTCTGGACGCATTTGTGGGGAAGCAGACACGGCTGGTGCTAATAGTGGATGGCTTGGACAGTTGCGAGCAGGATAAAGTTCTGCGCGTCCTCGATGCTGTCTACGTCCTTTTCTCCGACCCGGGTCATCCATTTGTCACTATTTTGGCCCTGGATCCTCACATCATTATCAAGGTAAGTCCTTCTCGCTCGGGTTCTACCTTGAATGTCAAGTTCCTGTACGAAGCAGCCTTATTCTCTTCAAAGATGGGGTGAAATAAAGGTGCACAAAGGCCATGAGATTCCGAGAAAACGAATTCCTGGCTACGCCACTGACATGCGGTTATGATGTGATTCGACGGTGCCTTTACATACATTCGTTAACCCCTTTTTTTCTTATGGGCTGCAGGCCATCGAAGCCAACCTACATCGGGCCTTCCAGAACACGACCGTGCGGGGGCATGATTACCTGCGCAACATTGTCCACATGCCCTTCTACCTGCAGAACAGTGGGCTGCGCAAAGTGCGTGCTGCCCAACAGACGGCAGTGGGGCTCAAGCGCAGCGGCAGCCACTGGTGTGAGAAGGAGGAAGTGGAGAAGTCGGCCCAGGGCATCGTTGGCACTGGCCAGGACAGGGTAGGCTGCTAATCATTCCAGCTGTTGTATGTACGTGCCTTCCTTGTAGCATGTTTTTAGACGCTGTGCACAATCATGAGCAGCTAGGGAAAATGTGCTTTTTGTTGCCCTGCCTGTAGCGTGAACTCATGTGCAGCTGAGTTGAGTTGACAGCCCATGTGTGCTCACGCTGGAGGTTGGGCCTTCCGATCTCCGACCTGAGAATGAGTTGGGTCTTGTTTGTGTCCAATGCAGCCGGGAAACCGTCGGGTGTCCAACTCCAGCATGTCTATCCCCGAGTCGTTCCGCAAACCTTCTCAGCAGCGCAAGGGCAACCAGAAGCTGAAAGCGAGCGAGAGCGTGGCTTCCAGCATGAGCAACCTTCACCGGGGGGTCACCGGGGCCCAGGACCTAACCAAGGTTCTTCTCACAGACGACTACTTCAGCGACATCAACCCCCGTTCCATGCGCCGGCTCATGAATATCGTCTATGTCACCGGTGCGTTTTAGAGAGCTGTTTTCACCCATGATCTATTTGAATGTTCTCTGTTACCTGCGACTTCTTCTGAAGCTTTGTGCTTTGTGCATGTGTGCAGGTCGACTCCTCAAGGCTTTCAACATTGACTTTAACTGGTACCACCTGGCATCTTGGGTCAACATTACGGAGCAGTGGCCTTACCACACATCATGGATCATCCTGTATTACGAGTTGCACGAGAATGAGATTGACGATGCCACTTCTCTGAGGTCTATTTTCGACAAGTAAGTGCAAGCTTATTTTAGGTATATGATATGACGTCAGTTTCTGGGTTTTCTCTTCATTTCTTAAACTACTGGTTCATTCCTTTAAACTACTTCTTGACATTTGTGCGTCTTGTCTTGTTGATTTTGTTTCTTTATAAGTGGCCTGCGTGACATATGACATTCCTTTTATTGAAAAGACTTAAAGGGACACTGACAGGGTATTAATGCTCGCCAAGGTTTTTATTTGTACATGATATATAAGAGCCCAACTACCCAGAACACAATTTGCGGATCGAATTTCGTTTTCTTTCCGCCCGAAAACCACCGATCGAGAACTGGCCGGTTTGAGTCACGCTTGCTCTCTTCTCCGTGGTCACGAGCCGTTTTCTATGGTTTAGACACAACCACCAAATGTAATCAAAGTCGTTGGTCATTGAAGGGACACACACAATATTAAAAATAGAAAGTAATATGGTACCCATTTTTGCGGCTTCTAAAAAGCTGCAAATACGTTGATTGGAGAGAAAAAAGCGGCACAGCCATATGACTTCCACCAACCCTCTCCTCCTCTATATTTCTTCTTCCTCCCCAGTCCGGTTTCGGTTTCGAGCAGTTGCATTTTTTTACTTTATTAAAAATATATGTGACACTGTAGCAAAATATTGACTGGGTAGTCTTCTGACACCGTAATGAATCGCCTGGCAAAAAAATAAAAAATAAATTTTGGGGGATGTCAGCGTCCCTTTAAATGCTTTTATTAACATTGGAAGAGTTTTCAACATTATATACTATTAAAAATGTATTCTATATTGCACAGTCCGTGCACTGCTGGATTGTATGAGTGTGAATGTTTGAGTTGGGTTCGAACCACAGTGCCCAGAGGTATGTCTCAATTTTGAGCAGAAATAAAAGTTGAAGATCTAACTATGATACATACCTGATCTGCTTTGGGGCTTTGCTTGTGGTGCACAGAAGCTTGCGTGTATGCTTGTTTTATTGATAGCTGTACATCCTGTTAGCTAGTGCCAGACTGCCAAGCTTTTCAACCACACAACTGTCATTTTACGTTGCAGAATCAAAGGGAAAGTTCCCATGGGCAGAGACTTGCAGCCTCTTTATGACGTGGACCACGACGTTCGAAAGTTTGAGATCTTTCTCAGTTTCCACTCGGCATCTTTGCTCGTCAGCGATCTTAAGATATTTGTACCATTCACAATCAACCTCGACCCCTACATCCGAAGAGTCATTCAAGGTCAGTAATGATTGGTCCTTTAAGTACAAACAACAAAGTGGAGAAGGTCCACAAATAATGTTTGTGCAACTTGGCTAAGATCTGACCTTGACGTGCTTGCTCTTCTCTCTAGAGAGGCACCAGAACCAGCCGGACACGGATAGGTTTGCAATGAGGTCTGGGTCCGGGCCTTTTATGCCTGCACAATCGGCGATGGGACAGCCCGCGGTGGCGGCGAGTCCATGCATGCCGTGGACACCTATGAAAACGGAGTCCCTGTACCCGCAAGCCCCTCCAACCCCGGTCATGTCCACAGAGCCCTACCAGCAACCCTACCATGTCTGGTGGTCAGTGGGATCACCAGGAACATCAACCACTATCCCTGTGGCCTCTTTGCCCCCCAGGGTCAAAGTGTGGAACGTGAGTTTGGCATTGTTAGTTTGTCCAGTAGCACGAAGAATATATGTGAAGTCACGGTGCCATACAGCAGTTAATTTTTTGAAAGATGCATTCTGACCCAGAGGAGAAAAGTCGTTGCTCTCCTGGATTCTAGCAACTAGAATTTTGGGTGGGTACAGTAATAGGTTCGTTTAAGAATTAATTGAGTCCAGTGGCATAGCCAGGGGGAGGCTTATGGCGCTTCAGCCACCCACCCCTGAAATCTAGTCGACCCAATAATATACACATGCATTTTGAACCCCCCCCCTATTCCGTGCCCGAAGTCATGGACATCCCAGCCACCTCAGCCCCCCTTGAAAAACAATTCCTGGCTATGCCACTGATCGAGGCGTTCACTACGGTGGGGTTGCCAGCAATGCTTCTGTGCTGCCACTACTCTTGATGAAGACACATGTTGAATTCTTAAAACCAGAACTGACATAGTTGGTTTATAGTGTCTCCTCTCTTACCGCTGATACTGCCACATAATTTTTTTGCCCTCTTACCCTCTCTTCTTACCTTTCACTTCCACATACAGGTTGACTTCACTTTGATGCATTTTTGGAAATACTAAATGTTGTTGCTCGTTGAAAGAGATACCGTAAAATACCGCAAAAGCACCCACTTCGTTCAAGTGCCCACTGTTAACATTTCCCAAACTTGGGAATTGTGCAAATTATATGTTAAGTGCCCGATTTGACCAGACAAGCGCTCATGTCTAGATTAATCCAGTTTTCAGAGAAAGTGGGGTGGGCGCTCCCTCGGCATTTTACGGTATGCGTTTTATCCCTTGTTCTGTTTTTGTTATTTGTTCTTCGTACCCTTAGTGCAAATAATGTGTGAATGAATGTTTTTATCTATTTGCTACTTTCGAGATCTAAATTAGGGTGGTTTGTAATTTTCCCAGTTACTTTCAAGTCATGAGCCGTTGTAGTACATGCCATTACCAAATGTAGAACCACAGTTTACACTGGTAAAAGGAAGCCAATGCGATTGTTATGAGGAATGACCCACAATTGTTTTAGTTCAACATCATTTCACCTTGTTTATCCCTTCTGTAGTTCCTAACTTTTACGGTGAATTCGTGAATAAAAGATTGATAACGTCCTAATGATTGTCTTTTTGCCTCCTGGTTTCCTTTTCCTTTTGTAGGAGACCTTCACAGCACGCTTAAGTTCTCTCACTGTCGAAGGAGTGTCCCACTTCTTGGAGGGATTGGAAGGAATAGACAAGTCTCGGGTGGCGGGCTACCAGAGCACACTGACTCAGCACAACATTCATGGTCAGGTGCTGCTGACTTGCAGTATTTCTGAGCTGCGGGACGTGTTGTCAATGACATTTGGCGACTGGGAGATCTTCAAGATGGCCATTTTGTCCCTTCGTGAACAAGAGTTTCAACGGACGCAGCCAAGTAGCTGCATTGATGACCTCCCCCCAGTGCCTTTTTCGAGGGAGCGAGTGCACTCAGTCTCAGCCAGCATCTCTGGTGAGTGGTGTCGTTTTTGCCGCTCTGGTAGCTATTTTCGAAGATGTGCTTTTTCCTCTGCTTTTTGTCGTTGTAAATGTCGCTCTCTGCACAAATCATGCGTGTACCAACTGAAACTCTTGTAGAGAAAATGAATCAAAATGTGGATCGGGGACAGCCGTGCAAGTAGAGGAGCAAAGAAGATGTGCCGAGTACTATAGACCAGTGTCTGCTCTGTTTCATGGGCGCCGCCATGTGTTTACGCTGACGTCATGACACAGTAGGGGGGCTGCGCTTTTTGCAAGACTCCATCTTTTTGTTTTTTTAGAAACCTTTACAGATATCGTAGTGCAAGAAGGTCAGAAATCATGGTCACAAAGCTCTAAGAACAGCACCGATGCCAAGAGTGCTAAAAAAGCAAAAATATTGTTTTATGCTCAGCCCCTCTCTTTGACAGAGCGTGCTTTTGAGGTTATTTCACATTTTTATCGCTGGGATCTAGGATCTGTGACACTGGTCTATATTAAGAAGGAAAACATTTTGTGTCTTTTTGAAGATGGTACTATTTGAGGATTATGGTACTACTCACAATGATAAAGGTTGAGGCATCTACAAAGTTGCAGAAGAATTTTGCAGGGAGGCACTTCTGCTACACAGAGTGCATCTGTTTTTTTGTTTTTTTTTCACATCTACATTAGATACACAATTTAGCACCTCCATTAGATATCAGATCAGCAGTGCCTGAACAGCATCCAACCTTGATTTCATTTCCATTGCAATTTTTCCCTTAAAAAAAATAAAATTTGACGACCGCTCGAATTTAGTTTTTATCCATGATTGGAAATGCCCAATGCTGTTTGACTTGAATGCTTGTCAAAGCCAGACTATTTGACCAATCATTTTCTTAATTGAAGTCAAGTCATATGAAAGAGTTGCAAACACAATAACATGAACATATTAGGAAAAAATCAACTCCTTAACTGCTATTCCTGAAACCTTTCAGTCGACCCTTGTATGTGTGCGGATGCACATCGGTACGTCAGACACATGTTCTGTGCCTGATGTAGCGATGTGATTACAGCTATACCTGTGGATATGTTTTGCCATCTTTTGAAAAATTGTTTTTCTGATAATGTACATGAAAACTTGCGTGTAGGCGACACAGAATCCAAGCCCAAGGAAAAAGTAGCAGATCCTGGGGAGAGAGCACAAGAGAAAGGGATGATGTCATCACATTCACAAAGTTCGTCAAGGCGGCCTAACACTTCTCTAGAAAAACAGGCAAGTGTTGAAAATTTGACTTCATTATACTGTTTTGAGATAACTATCTATGTTGTAAGCTATACAGGTACTACCTGGTTATCATAGGTTTGAATGTTGGCTATGTAAGAAATGCTTAGAAATCTGTGTGATGACTTGCATGTTAGATAAACAGTGTGATTGCTGCTTTCTTATATGGTCAGTAGTGCATTTTACTTGCTCTATCATTCATTTTGCATTGTGTAGATGAAAGTTAGAACGATCATTACGGGTCTATGGGGACATTCTGTATCAAGTACTTTTTTGCATTACACCTTTCTGATTCTAAAAATAAATACACATATTACAGAAAGGGAACATTTTTTTCTCTTTTGACGTTGCATAGCATGTACTGTTAGGCTTGCAGTTCCCTGCACCTCCTCTAAAACATCCTGTCTTAGTTTAGTACCTCTGTTCCTTTGCTATGTTGCTATATATATAATAGAGCTAGGACTGTTTTATCTTGTATATTACACTTGTTTAGGTACTATGGCCTTGTATAATTATAACAAGTTGCTTTTGTGGTGGTGTTAAGAAGGGAGTACTTGTTCCTATGCATTTTTCAGTGATTTCGCGTAACAGTGCCGGAAACGTGGTTTCTCGTAGGTGACGATGGAAGAGAGCCTGATCGTTGGAGCGCTCGAGACCTTGAGCGAAGAAGCGATGGAGGACACATTGGACGAGAGTATGGCACCGCATGTCGGCTTCCACCACTCTCAGGTGCTGAGCCCCATCTTGTCGGACCCGGGAGAGGGGGAAGATAGCTCTTCGGTGGGACGTTCGAACCAGCCCAGAGACAATGAAGTAGATGTGGTCTACCTCAAGATGCCTCACGGCTCGCCCAAGTACAGGTGAGACTTTTGGACTTCATCTGAACAGGGCGGCGGGGCTCGCAATTCATGAAGCTGAGACTAGAGCTTGTGCTCTGAAACCAGAGCTTGTGCTCTGAAACCAGAGCTTGTGCTCTGAAACCAAGCGTCTCATGGCAAAAGCTGCTGGTGAACTTGAAGTGATCTGAAAATTCTTCACGTTCATATAATTTTAGTGCAGTGCTTGTACCTCGGCAGCGGAGTATGAATCAAAAAATAATTTAACCCCTTAACCGTTTTTAGTTTTGCAAATTTCTGACACTCAACTACTTAAATGGGCCTAAATTTAAAATTGTTTTGAAAAAAATGTTCATTTTTCAGTTTTTAAGTTTTTGGTTTTAGAAACTAATTATACACCCTTACACTAAATTTGATAACCATATGCCAAATAGTTACGTTGATATAAAATATTTTCAGCACACTGTGAGGCAGTAACGATGTAAATAAGTTCAATGTTCGAATGAATCTTTTTCAGTTCCCCTTTTTACTGGGAATTTCATACAAAGGAATCTTTTGTTTGAAGGTAAAAGTATTCTGATACCACAAGCAAGATGTTTATGAACTGAAATTTACTGGGGAATCGGGCTATCTACTTTATTTTGTTTTAAGTTGAAGTCCTCATTGGGAAAAAAGTATGTTTTCAGAAATTCACATAGGACAGATATGCATCTTATATTTTGAGGTAATAACTTTTCCTAAAATATTTACATTTGAGTTACAAAAACTAGATAGCCCAAAGTTTCACATCCCCCACTTTATATTCAAGCAGTCAAAATGGTGCTTAATAGCTTCATTTGCATATCATAGATTTCTTAACAAAGAATGACACATATTTTTAAGACTGGAATGTCAAATTGTCTTAGAAAGCTGAAAGTTTGCGCAATACACATACGTCTGATGTTAAATCTTCCCTGCAAATTTCATTCCGATCACTTGAGTAGTTCAGAAGTTCAGAAGTTAAATTTTTAGCCAGTGTATTCCCTTAATTCTTGTCTTTAAAATTGCTGCATTTGTTGCCTTCAAAATCAAGTTTCTAGCCACAAATGGAATGGGAGCAAAATTTAAAAAAAATGTAGTGCTGCCATCTGTTGGCACGGCCACAAGCTAAGGCATGAGCGAGCCTGGTTCGTCCAGAACGGTTGAGTGCGTGAACCGGGGAAAGCAGACAGCTATACTCATCCTGAACGGTTTGGGGACGGCTCCACGTTGACGAACTAGGCTCCTCCAAAACGGTTAAGGGGTTAAACTACTTTGAAATTCGCCAGTGGATTATGCCATTAGTTATTTCTTGCTTAATCTTCGTCAAAGTTTATTGAACTGGCTACTAGGCAAAAGCATAGAGGTGGGAGAGCGAGGGCACATCTAAAAGACCTGCTTCAAGCCATAATAATTCATTTCACCTCTTTGTCAGATGCGCAGCATGGCCTGTGTTGCTTTCTGAGCCATAAAACAACTAATCATTATGATCCTTGTCAGATATGGCAGTCTTTTGGTCGTTTTGTTGTTAGTCATCAATTTGAACTCATGCCAGGTCTGGCTATATGATAAACTGATCCACTAATCATCCAAGGTTGTTGTTGCTATGGTAGAGTGCTGCAGCATGGACTTGGCAAGCTTAGACCTTAATTTAAAGACAGTGTAAGCTGTAGCGCTCTAGTGGTTCACAAACAGCACCTGACAAGATAGTATTCTCAGGTGTTAGCGCACAAAAGGTTAGGGCACAAACGAGCTGGTGGTGGTTAAACATTTGACTAAAAACCCCGAGACTGGGACGAGAAGGGACGGGCAAACTCAAAGTCTCAAACACAACTGAAATTTATTTGACAACGAAGGGGCTTATATAGACATGAAATTCTGTGCAAAACACTAGACAAGAGAAAGAGAGAGAGAGAGAAATTGGGAATCCCATGCCACAAGCAGTACAACAAAGCAACCTTTATAATAGAACTGAGAAGCAGTGACCTAATTTATAAAACACAAAAGAAAAAGATAAATTTTTTTAACACTGTTCACTTTGGCAGTACCCCCAAAAAACCCAAAAAGAAAGAAGTTTCAAGGATCCTCGGAACTCTAGAAAAGGAAGGACGCAACAAACCAAACGACCAGGAACCTGATCGTTTGGTTTGTTGCGTCCTTCCTTTTCTAAAGTTCTGACTTTCGCCAGAAAAGTGTATGTTTGAGGCTTTGTGTTTGTCCGTCCCTTCTCGTCCCAGTCTCTGGATTTTTAGTCAAATATGTTAAAGCTCCTTTATGTTTGATCAAGTCACGTGCCACCACTTTGTCCAGAGTGCTGCTGCTAATATAGGGTTATTAGGTGCATAGGGCTTAGGTCCAGTAGAGCCTAAAACAATCCGGAAAGTGCTGTCTTGTGAACTGTGCAGCTATTCGCCCCTGTCAGCCTCGGTACCAGACTACGAGTGGGGAGTCCAGAGTCCTAGCCCTACGGTGTACTGCGGCACGGATCTGCCACTGGAGAGCTACGGCGTGTCTGCGCCGCCCTCCATTGCTTCCAGCCCCAGCGTGCCACCGACCTTATCTTTCGACAGCATGCCTTTTATGGGGAAGAGCGACGCTGCGAGTCAGAAGCCCCGCAACAAGCACCTAGACCTGGTGGTGGCCCAAGAGGGGATGTCACGGCGAAATAGCATTTCCAAAGAGGCAGCCGAGAGCGGTTTGCTAGACCACTGGAAGGGCCTAGGTGGCAGCGAATTCCAAAACGAACGCCACTGTCTCGAACCCTTGGCCTCTCCCAGTTATGCGAGCGAAGAGGAGAATGCACCTCTGATCGAAGTTACACGTCCCATGTTCCTCTCTACGCTGTCCTCAAAGGATGCGGAAAGCTCGTCGCGCAGAGAAAGGGAGTTCATTCAGCCTCTCAAGTCTGGCCGAGACGTTAGGAGGTATACCTTTGAGCGCCAGCTCTCTGTGGACGAACGGTCCGACACCGACTTTGAGGAGCGCCAGGCACCGTCTGAAGGGGACAAGTCATCCTCAACGTTGTCTCTCGCAATGGCCAAAAGCGGTGTGGACGGGGCAACGGAGTCGTCGAGCAATGCTACTGTGTTAACCCCGCTGTCCTCCTCGTCCGGGAAATCGCCTCCGGAAACTGCCGGACGCAGAAACTCTGCCCCATTGGAGCTAGGGAAGGACTCCTACGAGGGTGTGGTGCCATCACACAGTACTCCTTTCAAATTACCCGAACTCTCGAGCCGGACATTTCTCAGGCCATCGACCGAGGAGCCCTCCGAGCAGAAAGGTCCCGAAACCTCTCACGGTGCCGCGACAATGTCGGACACCGTCGTGGTTGCCGGTAGGGTCACCGATCCCAAGCATCTGTACTCAAGCTCGGAAACCATCATCTAGAGGGCAGGTACCTGACTGAGCTGCCAAAGTATCGGACCACTTTTTGTGTTTTTTTATACGGTCAAAGCAGAGACCTTAAACCAGTGAACGTGTTTCTATAGGTCGTTTGTTAATGTAGATCTTGGGTGCATTTTATGAAGTTGCCTAGTCATGGGTAGGGTTCCGTGTTTTTGGAGTTAGGTAATTTCTTTCCTAGATATTGTGTTTTTTTGCATCCACGTTTGGTGTTGAACAGAAAATCACGATTTATGGGGGCTTAAGATGAGTCACGGCCGTGGGATTTCCTTACTTCCAGAGAATGTGCGCATGATTCAAATACTTTAAGAATGTCCTGGTATGGACAAGAGAAGGAAACAAGACGGAGTGCGAGTGCTGAAGAAAGAAGTGGCCTTACGGACACTTGGTGTAGGCCGTGTTCCGGGTTAACACAAAGTAAAGGTGTAGGTGAAGATTTCTTTTCCGTGAAGCTTGGCTTTTTCTTATTCAAGGACACCTCTGGTTCAGTTTTTTTTTTTTTTTTTTTTTGATAAAACCAGCTCGAGACTTACTTTTCGGAGTTTGCTGTATACTGAAAACATGGAACCCTAGTTATAAGTTAGATATTGGACATTGCCTGGATTTTCTTTTCTTACCGGTGTTTATCATAAGTGATCATTAGTGACAGACATTCATCAGCATACGAAAATAGGTTATTGCTAGAGGCGGATGGTGTTTGGGTAAACATGCAATTTCATTCAACAATTGTACCTTGAAAAGAGTCATTGGGAATTTAGGTGAAACAACTTTTTGCCGAATTAGACAAGCCAACTTTCTGTAGTTGATCTCGTTGGTGCTAGAAATTTTTGTAGCTTCTGTGCTGTGTAGGGCCACTATTGAAAAATGTTTTCAAATAGCTGCTTCTGAAAAACTAGCTGTGGGATTGGTTAGGCTTCTGGGTAAGAATTTTTCATTATATTCCATTTGTTTCGATTTTATATATCATATCTCTTAGTTTTTATAGTAAAGAATACAAACGAGTTCAGATAAAACCCGGTGTCTATATTTTCAAATTTCAAAATGTATAAAACTTTGTTTTCAGCCCTAGCTATTACTAATTTGCTATAAACTTATGGTTTTAGTAAAGGCTACCGGTGAAGATAAACTCGGGGTACTATTTTTCTGGTTACATAATAGCCAACCTATTTTTGTTAGTCTATCAGTATTATGAAGCATTTGTGCTGTAATCCAGTACATTCTGACTGGGACCAAGTGCACCTGTTTGCTCTTCCCTTTTTGTAGTTTTATGTTAGTGTCGTTGTATGATGTTAAAGGCATGTTCAGCATGAAAATGATGAACCCTATTTGGACTCTCAGAAGAATGGTGCTTGGAAAATGTTTCCATCCGTTTTTTGGAAAGCCAAGGTAGTGACCATCTCCATACATATTAGTACCAGCACATTGATCCTACGACGTTTGTCTCTCATAATTTGTTGTTTTGTTACAGTTGTGGACGGCATGAAAGTATCGTGGAAATAATTGTTGTGTACAAAAGTCACTTTATTCGCAACATTAGACTGCCGCAAGAAATTGTTCGCAGCGTGGTGTAAAACACATGCATTTTAAATTGCAGAAAACCACACAATGTGTGTTCGTTGGCACTGAGCGCTTGTTCTCAATGTTTCTAGAGCACCACACTGTCTTGCCAGACAAAATGCATTTGCACAGTTGTATATGAATGGTTTTGTATACATAATGGACATTGAAGATGGGGAAACTGGTATGAATCACTTGCATACACCAGTGCAAATTATTATATGCACTACTATTAACATGAATACTGACTAGGCATAAAATGATCTTCATAATGAATCCTTAAAAAATCTATATGGATATAACAATTTTGATCTTTAACAACATTCACAATTCTAGTCCAAAGTGCATGTTCATGCAAGCATTAAGGTTTGTATTTGTACCGGTGTTTTTTTATGTGCATCCCTTTCACCGGCAGAGTATCTGTAAAACAGAATCTAGTGAGCAATATATCAAGGGGCAGCAGGAGCTCATGCCATAGTAGAGCGCAGGCATTCTGTACAATTGTGGACGGACATGATAAGGCACTTGACTCCTTCAATGGTTGTGTAAAAGTAGAATCTATGAAAAATATACTACTGTACAGAAGCTGCAATCTTTTAGAGGAGGAACATGGGATGGGCAGCTGCCCCATTGGAATGTTGGCATTTACACGTGTGAAGTGCTTGATGTATGCAACAGGCATCAATAATCCGCACCTGAAATAGTAGGAATGTACCAGCACTTTAAATACCACTTTGATTCTTACGATGCACACCAGCATACCTAAATGTCCAACCTTTTGTTCCTACGCTGTTGGCTACGAAAATTAAAAATAATTTTGCCCTGCACGAATAAAGCTTTCTTTCTGCAATGCTCACACATTGTGACAAGACAGGGCAACAGAATTCCTTTCATAACAGGGCAGTGAAAATTGTAGAACTATGCATTGGATGCACAAAATAATCACACACTCTTTCAAAACATGCTCTCCTATCGGAGTATGGCCTCTGTTGTGTTTTGAGATCAGTCAGCGCTGCAATGATTGTTGCATGCTAAGCTGTTGTCACTGAACCAGCAGCAACACGAGTTGCCATTTCTATGGGACTACCATCAGAGCCTCGCTGTCCAAGTTTCACCGGGGGTGGGGTCACCGAACAGTGAAGGTCTTTGTGACCTGGGCATGCTTCGTCACAGCAACGCCACATCTCCAAATGTTCCTGGAGAGCCTGACGAATGTGCCTCTTGCGAGAGTCTCGACATACACTCGAAGGAAGGTTCTTAGGATGCCTTAGCTATCACTGCGGTGACTACATAGCTGTCTCCAGAGGCTGTCGCCTGTAGTAGTTCCCATTGTTGCTGTAAGAGTCTGGTTGTGGCTGTGGATATGGGTCAAGGCCACGGAATGTGTTGTCTGTAGGGTCCATTGCAGCAGCCCGCGGCGTCTCCAGCGACCGCTTCATGTCGAGAGTCGAATCGGTTCCCGAGCTCCAGTCCCGCGACGCATCGAGCGAGTCGTCGTAGCCGCCAACAGAGCGGTCGGTGTACCCGCGGTTTTCGTAGGTCAGGTCAAAAGTTGGCTGCTGGGGGTTCACTGCAATCTTAATTTCTGCGGGTGCAGGCATGGGGAACTTCTCTTCAATCTCGCTGCTGTAATCGAGCACCGGGTTGCGCACCTCTTGAAGCGTGTCGTCATAGCTCCGGCTATCCTCGAGGTCGTAGGTGTACTGCTTGGACACGGAGTCTGTGCTTCCGTTGTGCTTAGTGGGGTGGACGTCGTCCAAGTGGGGCTGGGAGCCAGCCTCACGGATTGCACGCTCGATGCGGCGCTTGTAGCCAAGGTCCGCGAACAGTGCCTCGTGGTCGAGGGAGCGGTTCGAGGCAGAGCGGATGGATGCCCGAATGGAGTTTTGGCGCTGCAGGTGCTGCTTGTGCCGCTCCTGGGACTTGCACCACCAGAAGCCCAGGCAGATGAGGACGCAGATGAGCAGCACTCCCACCAGCGACATGGCGGTAATGGACACTGGCTCCTGGTACCAGTAGTCGCTCCGCACGACTATCTCTTGCGCTGCGCAAACGTTTGGGCATTCTGTATTACTGCATGCTCAGAGACCAGTGCCTAAAGAAAGGCAATTGAGTGACAACTAGTAAATGGCGAGCTGTAGCTATGTATGCTTGTTTACAGAGTACTATAGGTACCGTAACCTTTGCTCTCAAACTCGCTTTGTTCTCTCTCTAACAGCAAACTCCATAGTGGTAAATATCACCACAGAAAATGGAAGGTAAAATTTTGTTCCACAGCCTCGCCACAAATGAAAACTGGGAAAGCTGCTGATATATCTCTGGGCACCACAAATATATCCGTTATGCCCAATGCTAAAAGATGAAAGGTAATGGCAAAACACTAATGACAGACCAGACCCAAAGACGTCAGATTTTTTTTCCTTGAAGCTGGAGAATGCTGGAGTGTGAAAACTTTGTTCTGTGAAGTTCTAGCAGTTTTGGAGATTAGTTTTCCAAATAATGAGGAGTTGCAAATCTGCATTTCTTTTCAAACTTTTTTTTTTTTTTTTGTGCCTGGGATGTTTGTTTTTGTTTCTTTCTGACAGCTCCGTTTCAGTGTTGCGAGAAAGTCATTTTTATGGCCACCTAGGAGGAACTGCTCAATCACCTGGCAAAACAAACGTTCATCACTTCATACCTCTCTCGCAGAGAAATGGTAGCCGATCATTGCAGTCGTGTGCCCACACGCTTCCACGGTAGAGGACGGCACACTGGTCCAACGGGATGTCCAGAGATTGCACCCAGATCCTCTCGTATGACCAGTCGAAGTCCTCCTGCCAAGTGCTGATGTATTGCATCAGCTTTGACAGCTTCTGCTTCAGGTAGGGCATAGACGAGGCATCCAGCTGTGGTGTGCAAGTACCAAACATGTCAGGGCCATTCTAACACCACCGAGTTCAAGGAACTGTGTGCGCTATACAGGGTGTGTCACCGACTGCGAACTAAGAAATGATTCCTTTGGAATAAAGCTACTGACCGCGGTGGACGTCCGGCTACGAGTTGATAATGATAAATTCATTTTCGAAAATCCACCAATTAGCCTTAGCTGGCACATTACAATTAGACATGTGTTGCCCTTTGTCAAAATATGCCATAGCGGTTGTTGGAGTTCAAACAACTATTAGATAGCGAGCTGTAGCTGTGTATGCTTGTTTACAGAGTACTATAGATATCGTAACCTTTGCTCTCTAACTCTCTAATAGCAAACTCCATAGGGGTAAATATCACCTTGAAAATGGAAGGTAAACTTCTGCTCCATGCTATTGGAGAGTTTTAATAGATCGTGTTTTCAGGCCACGCTAATCGTAGCGGGAGCTCGCGCTGCCACTTCGATGCATGCTCTGAAGCGCGCGCTCGTAGCGGTAGCGGGCCTTTGAAAACAATCTACTAAAACTCCCTAATCTCTGGCAAATTTATGCTGTAAAGAGACCGAGATACGCATACCAAAATTACGCAAAGCAGTGGCGGAAAGCCAACGTCTCTTCCGGGCAGGACGCCCGGAAGCGACGTTGGTCTTCACAGCGGGTGCGAGTAGCGAGTCGTAGCGAGCCGATCTGACAGCGTCTCATTATTTAAGGGTCACATGGTCATAGAAAGGTCTGGCCACCCTCAGCTGTTTCCTCGGTGACGCAACTTTCGGCAATATTTTTCCCATAGTTTCGATATGGCAGACTTTGGACAGCATAACTTTGCCAGAGAGTAGTCCAGATTACAATTTGATTGTCTGAATTTGATCAACAGCTATAGCATATTTTGATGACGGGCATCAACTTTCTAACTGGAATGAGCCAGCTAAGGCAAATATTTTAAAAGGTTACTAGGGAATTCTAGGTCAAATTTGGGGGTTTTACGTGCCAAACCAACGAAAGGCACCTGGCACGTGCCAGCGGAGGACTGAGGATTCATTTTAACCACGTGCAATCGTGACGTGCAATCGAAAGCTCGGTTACACGACGCCTTCTCCACAACATGCCTCCGTCGTATGGAGAGCCCCTCGACCGGGATTCAAACCCAGCGCCTGGGTATCCGTAGGCCAGCGCGATGCCTCGGAGCCATCGAGGCAGCAAGGGAATTCCAGGTTAATTGATTTGCTAATTATCGGTACACACTCTACCTAACATTTGCTGAAGTCGATAACGTCCTGAAGGAATCGTTTCTTTATTTCAACTGCCCTCTTATTTAAGAATTACTATAAGTCATTAGTAAGACAGCCTCATATGCAGTCTGCATATCTGCTCGTTCCTCAAAGAATAGAGTGTACAAATGATCCCATCACCTGGCAGAACCTTTTGGCTTCATCGTGAGTCATTGGGCCTGGGATGTATAGAAAGCATGTATCTTCAATCATTTCCCATCCTCCCATGCAGTTTCCTGAAAGAAGATAGAAGATGGGAAGTTAAGACCTTTCGATAGCCCAGGAATCAAGCACATTATGCTGCAGGTGCTTGTTGACCAGTTGAAGCTAAACTTGGCACAGAGCTCTGAAGAAGCTCACGTTTGCTAATATATGTTTAGTGCGGTACATCATTTTATTATGCGGAGTAACCTCGGTTTTTGCACAAGAAGCAGCAACAAAAAGGAAATGTGTCTTAATCCTACTGATAAAGTCAGAAAACAGTGTGTATTTTCCTCTTTATAATTAATGAATTATTCATTTTACTTCATTAGTTGGGCTTACTAAATTTAGTGGGACGGAAGTCCACTGAATTTACCGGCCGTGTGGCGGTTTTTCGTGATGCTCTTTCGGCACATTGCGCCAATCTTATGGAAGCCAGCGTTATAACACTCGGTGTTGAAAACTTACCACTGATAACGGTGTCATTGTGTGCAAGGTGGGGTTGGAACCGAACTTCGAGCAACTCTGGTTGGTCACTCCTGTCGTAGATTCTTCCCACAACGGCCGAAGTTTCTTTGAATCCCCACCAGTTCTTTTCGGCTTCCACATAGCTGTTGTTTTCTTGCCTGCATTTAAATGATGGCCAGTGTGAGTGTACAAGGCAGTAGTCAAGGGGGTGGCTTGTGGAGCTTCAGCACCCCCCAAATTGTGGTGGACCCCATATGCATGGGTCATTTCCTTCACACCCGGCCCCTCCCCACTACCCAAGTCCTGGAGACCCCAGTCCCCACCCCTGAAAACCAATTCCTGGCTATGCCACTTTCATTGGATGCTAATTGCAATACTCATTTTTTGTTTCTTTTTCACATGGTGAACAACACGGAATACTTAGTTAAAAGTAATCGAGGAATTAATAAAAATCATTAGTCATGTGCACATAGTGGATAATTAGTTCAAAGCGAATAGCGGTTTTGGCCTAATATTTTCTAATCAAATAAATACACAGAATGTCCCCCCAAAATTTTTTTTTTTTTTTTTTTGCCGCAAAAATTAATTATGCATGGCCTAACGCTCATTCTCCACCCAAATCTAGCGCTAGAGGTCCGAACCAGACCCCAAAGTTTCGGCACTAACCGTTGTCTTATTAAAAAGTTATAAGTGATTTTCTGAAAATTTAAATGGGAAAACGGTGACCAGAAACTGAAAACTGGCAAAAATGCACCCCATTTTTCCATTGAAATTTTCAGAAAATCACTCGTAAATTTTGGATAAGATATTGGTTCGTCCTGAAAATTTGGCATCTGGATTGGACCTCTAGTGCTAGATTTGGGCAAAGAATGAGCGTTCGGCAATGCATATTTTATTTTTGCAGATAAAAAGAACACTAAATTTTTCAGGGTAACACCCTGTAGAATAGTTTCTCCAACCGTTTCACTAGTGTTGCACCATACTTAAAGAAAAACCTAACTGAACTCGTGAAGGTTGTTCTCAAGCTTGCACTTGTTCATTTATAAGCTAATTTTAATCTAACTATATGAATTGTGACCTCAGAAAGTCTGATGCCTTGGGATGGCAAGTAAATGACGGATTTAATATAAAATTAAACCTATTGAGATGCTCAGCTATACATAATTGAGTGGATTTACAAATCTCGCTATATGCAAATATTCCTTCAATCTTGAACTTAAAAAAAAAAGGATCACAAATGGTTAATGCAGGTTGTCAGGGCATACCTACCAAACATATACTCTTCCATAACAGCCACAGTTTAATGTTGAAAATTTTACTGCAATCTAGATATCAAAATTCACAAATTACCGTTTATTTTTACATACACCAGGCGCGCGCGTTCACCATTCCGCTTTGAAAGTGTACTTTTCTGCCAAGCACGCAATGCGATATTCATACCTTTCCAAGTGTTGACCGTGGCGGGTTACCCCGTTGAGTGCGCTTTTTACCGAGCACCGGTGCACTGCGGAGAAGCAACACCCGCGGAGCTTGCTTCCGCGGCTGTTTCTTCTCCGCAGTGCACCCGTGCTTGGTAAGAAGCACGCTCAACGGGACTAACCCACCGCCGATCAACACTTCGAAAAACATAATGCAGTTCGTTTCGAAGTATTTGAATTATTGAATGTTCGCAGAACACTAAAATTCATGGATGCCTTGGTTATCACACAAAAACATAGGAGGACACATTTTTGAAAATGTACAGCATGGAGCCTGTCAAGCGATTTCCGACAGCTGTTTTGGCAGGCCTTCCAAGCTTGTCATGCTACAATTACTTTGGCGCTTAATTAAGTGCAACAAAAACAGTGAATTTTAAGATTTAGCAAAGTTTTTTTGCTGTGCTATTCAACATTGGGTGTCTTACAGGTGAATTTAAAAAAACAAAAAAACTCCAACTAATAGGTCGCTAACCGAATTGGTGGCCGAGGCGCGAAGCTACCGTCTCGCCTCCCACGTAGGATGGAGGGAAGTATGATGAACGTGCACTGCGCATCTCGGCCACCAGGGAGCAGGACCACTAGCGCAAGAATGCGCTCCGACAGGAAACGGAAACCTAAACATTCGTCCAAAATGAGCATTTTCTTTTTTTGGAGTGCTATAAAATGCTGTCCCTGCCTTATATACGAGGATAGAGGAAAGCAGCATGAACGGCAATGCCAGTTGGAAAGATGTTTTGTCCTGTCCCTGTCCTGTCTTTTTTCCATTCTTGCTGCTTTCCTCTATCCCCGTAACTTTACCAGCATGCTTCAGTTTGTCAAGCCCACCTTATATCTTTTTAAAATTAGTTCATTTAGTGGATTTCAATGATGCTAAGCAAGTTTCTTATTGGAACCAATGTTTATCTTCACTAATTAAAAGTTATTTAGTAAATTTTCGTTCATTATCTAGCTAATTAGCTTCTTTTTTTTTTTTTACTATCCTTAGCGTCCGCTGTGGCTGGCAATTTGTTCCTGGAAAGAGTTTTTTTTTTTTTTCCCATTCACCATACTTAGGAATTTTTTGAAAGCCTTCGCTGAAACACCGGGTATAGCTTGGAAGTCTAACTGCATACAAATGTTTTGTAAAGTATAAAGAGCATGTTTTGTACTCTGTGGTAATCTTACTTACTCTGTGTTGTTTGCTGTAATCATTTCGAAGTAGTTGAACCTGTTGAGAAAGTAGTTGTCGTTGAACCTCTGTCCCGAGCTTGCAGCCAGCAGAGTTGCCTTGAGGTATGGCTGTGTTGCATCGTTATCCCAGATCCAGTTACGGTACACCAACTGGCCTGTAGACTGTGTTCGTTCAAAGCCCAGAACACTCATTTGCCGGAAGCCCTTGCACTCGACAACCATATTTTCACTGAAGTTGAAGTTCACTTTCTCAAACACGAGGTTGTCCCTGAACGCAGCATCATCTCTTGCAAAGTAGTTGCGGTGCACATGCAGGTATTGGTAAATTCCACTCTCTCCACTGCGAACATACAGGCTTTCTCTGTTGGTGTTCTCGGTGAAGAGATTGTTGTGCAGGTAGCCCTTCAGTGCAGACACATAGTTGGTGGAACCGACAAATATCCGTACACCTCCCTGGTTGCGAAGGAACAGGTTCCTCAGCACATGCATTTCCATGGAGTTCTGGATGTCAAAGAACACCGCAGCTTCTGAAGAGCTGAAGTTCCCAAACAGAGCATCACCATTTTGTTCGAAGCGGTTGCTATGCAGCGTCAATATGGGAGTTATTTCACCAGCGCTGCGATATGTCACTGCTCCTCTTCTGTTCTTGAGAAAGTAAGATGCAGTGATGTTGTGTTTGCTGTCTCGAGCTGTTGAAAGAGGGAAGAAAAAGATTTGGGTCTGTACAGGTTTGCTCATTCTGCTCTGTACAAAGGTCTTACTCGTAGCAGAAAGCAAAAATGTCTGTCTAGTAAACAGAAGGCACCTTACCTGTGATTGTTTGTAGTGGGATGGCAACCACCTCTGCGATGAATCCATTCATCCCACTAGCTCCAGTTGCATGCAGCTTGACGCTGAGCGTGGTTTCACGTGATCTGTAGAAGGTTATCTGGGAGACGTTTTCTTTCAGTTGGTCTCCCACTGTAATGTGTCCAATTCTGCGGACTGTGATATTGAAGATGTCTCCGTCAAAGATGCTTATGCTATCTGGTTGAGGCGAGAACTCTGTTGAGTTGAACAGGTTGAACTGCAGCATCCTAAAGCCAATCTTTTGAAGAAGCCGAGACTTGCTGGTGAAGATTTTGACACATTCCACTGGACGGTTGTCATACTTGTAGTACAGCAGCACTCGGCCATCCACTGGAAACTCCTTGTTGTTGTCGCAGATGTCAACTAAGCCAAACACATTGTATGGCAGATCTACCGGTCCCAGTGGTGCATAATTGAGCCTGTCTGCAGTTGAGGTTTGTCCGTTGAGTGTGAGGAAGTTGACTCCTGTTCCCCGATTGTGGGTAATGTTGACAGCATGTATGTACTGGTATCCTGGAGATGCTATGATGTCGATGCCATTTGACGCACACTCTGTAATGTTGAGGTGATCAAGAGCAACGTCTCTGAGTACAACTTGGATGGCAGGACCTTTCTCATTGTGGAGTATTCCTGCCTTTCGAATATGCACCTCAGAAAGCGAAGAAGTTGGAGGGGAGTAAAAGCGACTGCTAGAATGAGCGCTTCCAATGTTTGTTCGAGGCTTGTGCTCTGGCACCGAAAACCGGATTCCACCCCAGAAATCTTCTTCGACTGAGAGCTCCTCACCACAATGAATGTAGACAAAGTTCTTGTCAAAGGGTGCACAGGCATAGCTATGATGACCGTAGCCATTCAACCTGAACTCGCAGCGTGCTAGAGCTGTTTCATGGCCAGTGCACTCTAGTGGATGTGGCCAAGACTGAACGGTGGACAGCTCGCTGGGCCCAAGCTCGTGTCTGAAACCTCGGTCGAGCCAAACATCGAGGGTTCCAAAGCCAAGCTCACGGCAAACAACCTCGGCATTGCGCTCCGTAAACCGTTGGTCACAAACGGGAACCCACTGCAAAGTTGTTTCATTATAGAACTCGAGGAATCCATCTCTCCTGTTTTGATTGCAAGCTTGGCCAACGCAGAGTCGCACCTGTTGTTTTACTGAAGCCCTTCTCGAACGGGTGTTGGCATAAAGCTTTTTGACCGGGCCCATTCTGATGGGGGCCCAAGATCTTCCCAGTGCCACGAGGTCACCAAGGACAAGAATGCCAACACTGGGATAGAACTGGAGTTCTGCTCCTTCCAGAATGGTCATAGTTGCATTTGGGAGGATGGTGAGGTCACTCTTGATGATGTATGGTGCGCTGCGTCCATACAGTGTCAGGGATCTGAAGACCCGTCCACCGAAAGGTTTGGACATATCTATTCTGGAACCCCACTCGTCCGATCCGTCATACGTCAAGAGAGGGCCCCCAACCTCGGCTCGTGCGAGGTACGGCGAGAAATCGGCTGCTGCATAGCCATTCCAGTCATCGAAGTCGAAGATCCGAGCCTTGATGTCGGAAGCATTCAAGGATCCCCACCAGTTGAAGGCAACATTGACGGCGTTGTTGAGAGAACTTGTGACCACGCCTGCCAGAAATTCGTACTGAAGATGCGGGTTGACGAGGATGTTCTGTGTGACGTTGATTCGCTGCACTCCTCGAATGCTAAGAGCATAGCTGCTTGGCTCGTAGTGGTCTAATCTGGCTTCTGGGCCTTCTTCGGGACGATTGTATTCAAGGATGTTACGATGGAAGTTGGCATCGACAATGCTGAAACGTTCAGAGTGACTCTCCAGGTGAAACTCTACGACGTACCTAGAAAGGAAAATAATACGCATTGGAAAAGTGGTCCCATGCAGTTTAGCTTGGAGATAATTTCTTGCATCGCTTGCAGAGACCACTTTATCATATGTAACAGACATCACTCGGTGCTGATAAGCTTAAATACATTTCTCATAACTTTAGGTCTTAAAAATTAAAAGAAGATTGAATGTCTAGATTTTTATTTGATGCCCATTATTGTCTTAGTGCTGTAAAATACAAGATAATCGTGATAAAAAATTGGAGAGTGGGCACTCGCTCGAGCCAAATTTATATGTATCCTGTACTCTGATCATTTCTAAAATGTACTATACTGAAAAGCCAAATGCTTGCTGAAGTATGGGTGCATGTCTGGTGTTTTACAACATATGTATTTCTAGTACTACACGAGGCCACACTGTTGATTAGAAAAACTACTAAACTGAATGCAAAAAATGAAAAAACTAGTGCCTTGATACTCACTTTCCTCGGTTGTTGAGAAAGAAGTTATCCTGGATGAGCATTTCCTTTTCCATACCAGCTACCGTGAACACTCCACCTCCTGACTGGCAGTCATTGTTCTCAAAGCGATTTCCGGTTGCATTGAAGCGGGCAAAATGGCCGTCGATGCGTGCTCCAAAGTTCTGGTTGCCTCGGAACGTACCGTTGGAAATCACAACACTGTGCGTGTAGTTTTCATTGTAGTTCCAGACATATGGCAGCCTCAGGTCCAAACCACCCCTGTTGTTAGTAAACTTGGTGGTGTTCACAATCCAGTGGAAAAGGTTGTTGGAGCTGCGCAGGTCCCGGCTGTAATGGCGGATTCCACCACCGTTGTTTTCTATTACGTTTCCTGCGGACGAGAAAAAGAATTTAAGTTCATCCGTCCTGATTAATAGTACCGCGGGAAAGAAAAGGAAGGGGAGCGGAAGAAGACGACGAGTCTGTGCAAAAGGCGGAGATCTCATATGGACAACCACTGCAACAGTCTCGAAACAGTCATAATTTTTAGGAATGCGCGAATAGTGGGTTGGGAATCCGAAGTCAATTCGAAGCAAATGGTGGTTTGGCCAAATATTTTCTGATTGAACAGTTTCCACTGCTGAAGTTGGGACCCAACTGAACTTGCGAAGGAGGTCGTTGCCAAGCTTCCACTTGTCCATTTCTAAGATAAGTTCATTTTAATCTAACTATACTTTGGCCTCCAGAAGTCTAATGCCTACATTGGGATGGCAAGTACCCCTAAATGACAGATTTGACATACAAATAAAGCTATAGAGATGCCCAGCTATACCTAATCAAGGGGATTTATTAATATTTTTGCTATACTCAAATGTCTTTTCTTCAATCACGTATGATTAACACAGGTTGTCAGAGCATCTCTACTTAACATATACTCATGCATGCTAGTTTAATTTTGAAAATTTGACTGCAATTTAAATACCAAGTTTTACCAAGTGCCAGTGCACTGCGGAGAAGCCACACCCGCGGAAGCGAGCTTCGCGGGTGTTGCTTTCTCGCAGTTCATCTCAAAGCAAATATTGAATAATGTATTATTCAAAACTACTATTAGAATATTTGCACAACACTATGGACCATTTTACATTGTAAAAACGACGTTTAAACCATCTCGCAGGTCAGGTCAGCACGTTCCCCTAAATTTGTGCGACTTCATACCCGCAATCCTGCTTTGGAGCTTCATAGTGGATGCGCAACTACCCAGCACCTCCGCCACTCGTGTTGTGTGATGGTTTAATGTTGTTTTTAGAATGTAAAATGGATGACTGTTTTGAGGGTATCGTGGCAGCTGTCCAGTTGAGATCTCTGCCTCGGGCACTGGCTCGTCGTCTTCCTTCGCTCCCCTTCCTTCTCTTCCTCACAGTATGTAGATATGTGTGAGGCGTGATTAGGGGGAATTAACTCAATGTTAACTGAATTGTCATCCTATTTTAATAATTCTAAATGCCTAATAGAGTAAGAAAGAGGCTGTTAATAGTGGGTAATTCTTTTACACCTAAATAAGAACACACTGTTTTAATGATGCATCGAAGTTAGCTAATTTAGTTTGTGTAAGCCTCTATTATTTATGGCAGATCAATTTGAGATAAAAGTGGGAAAATAATTACAATCTGAATTGGAAATAATTTCATTATATCTCAATATCATGTGACTTGCCTGAAAAATAAAGTGGTACTCTTAGTGCTTGCTGCAGCACTTCAAAACAATTAAGAATGTCTGACACAGAATGGTAGTGGCACTTTTTTAAAACATTCTATCATTTTTGGTATTCTCGACTCAAGAAAGTTTCAGGTTTAAGTTTGTTTTAGTAAGTGATGTGCATATGCACAAATCCTCCTGAGAAAAGTGCTTCTCCCTCAGCACACTGTCGCACTGTGGGGAAGGTACATTGTCACCTTGGGTTTTCCTTTGTTGCAGTGCATGTATGCCACAGGGGAAGCGCACCCCACAGAGCCGAACCATCTGATCTAGCAAATTGTGAAACTTCAAGAAATCCAAAATATTATCATTTGATTCGTAAGCAGAAAATTTTAATATAGAATTTCAAGGTAATACAGAATGCATGGCTACTCGACTCTAATTCTAAAGTTTGATACCAAGACGCTTTAGATCCAAAAATAACTAAGTTATCTGAGATGTAACTTACTTGCTGCCATAACAACATGCATCTTTATTCCTTTTTTACTGTGCAAAAAGTCTTTTTAGAATTATTTTTAAAGACAAAAGTGACATGTGAACCTTAGGTTGGGCTTCCTCGAATTTGAGCCGTTCAAATACGTATACCAGGGGTCTCAAACACGTGGCCCGCGACTCGCTGAGACGCGGCCCGCACGCAACCGCCTACGATTCCCAGTTCGTATGCCTCGATCGCTAGAAATAGCATGCTCCACAGTGATCTGATCTCGTATATTCATTCTCGCTCAAAACGTAGCTGCTCTTCAATTCAATTCAATGTTTTATTCAGACAACATACTACATATTAACATATTTAACACATAAACATATTTTATACTTATCTGTGTTCACTTGCCCTTTGTTTTGCTTTTAACACATAAACATATTTTATACTTATCTGTGTTCACTTGCCCTTTGTTTCGCTTTATTTTTTGCTTCCCAGCTTTTTGTAATGTAAAACGATTGCGCTACTAGGCTGCAAACGCGAGCTATTCGAGGATGCATCTCGGCTGCGCGAAGTCTCGATCAGCAAGAGCAACTGCCAAAGATAAAGCTACGAGCTCGGAATTCTCGCCTTCAAAAAATTGTCACCTTTAAAATACAAGTATTTGTTCAGAGTGTTGTAATAAAAGTCATCAGGAAAGCAACAGCTGTCAAATTCACTGAATGTTTTTAAGAGACATCTTGGGCTTGGTTAATTCTTGTGTGAATTGAGCAACAAGAGCGACAGTGTATTTGATATCTTGTTCCATTAAAAATGCCAGCACGTTGGCGGTGCGGTGCCATTTTAATTCTCGTTGCCAAACTAGGTCAGTGCCCAAAAGTAGTCCTATAAACAAATCAAAGCTAAAGATGTCACTGGCAAAACTGTGAGTTTACAAAAAAGCATAGAGCAGGAGGTCCTTATTTTTTATCTTTAAAGGCCGACGTACAACCTCGGTTTTCTGCAGGGAAGATAATCCTCTTAGCGCTTCCCTCTCCAAAGCTGCGAGGGGAGCCCAGTTGGGCCAAGGTAAAACATGGAGAGGATATAGGAAAGGAGGAAGCGGGCAAAAGTGGAAAGTGAGAAGTGTGCGTCGGCCTTTAACCTCCTACCCCCCCTCCCCCCTACCCGTTTTACGTTGGCCCTCAATCTTTCCGATGTGGGCTATTTGGGCCCCACGCTCATTTGAGTTTGAGACCACTGACGTATACTTAGTGTCAGCTGTTCAGTACTCCTACATGGCTTGACAGTAAATATCCTAATGTCATGTTTGCCTGTATGCTTGTGAAAAAAAATAGTGGCTTGATGATCTTTTGAGTTTTGCATTGTTATGCAGTTCTAAGCAAGCAGCTTGCGCGTGCTGTTATGTATGCTCTTGGGTTAATACTCACTGAAACCGAAGGCACGGACATTCATCTGGTGCACTGCTCAGAAGGGGTGATGATGTAAGAATACAAAACATTGTTCACATGCCACTTGTTTTGACTTGTGCAGAGTCAAAAGCATGACTATCGTGCTGCTACCTCGTTCAATGGTGGATTAAAAATTGCAAGTGGATTATTTCATAAATTAGAATTCTTACCAGTAAGATTGTAGACAATCTCAGCCAATGAAGAGGTCAGAGGGTCCCAGAGGGGCGATGACACAAAGACAGCACTTTGTATAGACGATGCAATCCTGTTCTCAAGGAGGACAATGGTCTCGTTGCTGTAGCGGTGGTAGTAAGCGCTTTGGTCGGGACCAATGTCCCTGTTGTAGTGGTTGCTTCCAAAGCCCCATTTGCACTCTGTTATCACGTTTCTTTCAATGTGCAGATTAGGTTTGTACTCCAGCCACTGTCCTTGGCCTGCAAAGAACATAACAGAAGCCTTATGCTTTTGCAGTGCAGTCAGTCATAAAGATAACACTTTGTATGGCTTACAGTTGCAACACATTTTAATATGTTAGCATAGTGTGTTCTCCAGAAGTGATGTTTTGGGGACCCCTTGCTGACCCATGCATGGCAACATTGGGGTAGGGTGTTGATGACAACAGGACAAATGTCCGTATTTACACAAATATAGGTTGACTAGGAATATAAGTCTACCCCTATACAGGAGAGCTTGACCTGAATACAAAATATAGGTGAATATAGATTGACTCTGCTACCTAGAGTGGAAGGGAAGGAAAATCATTTTAAAAAAGCTGTGGCGCTGCACCAGTAGCGTCAAGTTTCGCCGCTTCTTAGCAGTGTGGTCGGACAAGTGACTGATACATGGGAGCATCCCAGTTCGCTGCACATGTAGGAAATTTCGCTCACTAAAAGGTCGACCACTAATTTTAAAAAACAGTGTCAGTGGGGAAAAAAATGTTGGCCTATATTCAAATAAATATGGTAATTGCCATATACTCCATTTCACTTTAAGTTCGAGCATATTAGAAGCTACAAGAGCGAGTGCCAGGCTTTCAGCGTCCCTCCCAAGCATGCGTGCTTGTGCAGTGCATGCATTATTGGGGGCAACATGCTCGTGCTCGTAGCTTTGCTTCAATCGTTCTTGAAGTGAAATAGAGTGTAAACTTGTTTTATTAACATATACAAAAGAAACGTCACAGAAATGTGATGTTTCATCTGTGTACGAGAAAAATAAAACTTTATTGATGAGCTTGACTAACGAGTGTTGCCCCTAATAACCCCCATTTGATGAACACTCCGTTAGTATAGAAATTAAGGAGTAAGTGCAGGATTTAAATTGTGAGGGTTCTTCACATCTTGAAAGGATAAATCACTATGGATTAAGTAATTAGTCTAGGTTTTAAATTGAGAGCCCCAAAAATACTATAACTTCAGAAGAAAACAAATTACATTCTATTGTGGCATATAATGAAGTAATATAGCTAAACGTCCTGCAGAATTTTATCATGCACAAGCAAACAGACAGGCATGCACATTTAAAGGACAAAAAGAAGCAACAGTAAGCTCCAAACCTTGGTTCTTGCAGATATACGGATCACACTTCTTTCGACGTATACCTAAAGCATGTAACAAACAGACATGAAGGACATGACCATTAGCAACGGACAAGACGAGAACATGAGACAAATAGTACTACAGGAGTAAGCTCAACTGTGTGCAGTACAGAAAATATAGTCTATCCTTGTCTGCTTACCAAGAGGTTGAACAGCTGACATCATGAGCAGGATGCCTCCTTTTGGCATTGGTCCACTTTGGTACCTTAGGGTCACAATGAATCCAGTTTCTCTGAGTGGAAAAGATGTTAAGTTCTGCCTGACATCCCAGAGAGGAGCGGATTCTTCCAAAAAGTTTGGACCTCGCCGCATGAGCAAAACCTCAGTCGAGTCGTCCCTGAAAGGATCGACCACCATGATTCCAATGGTGCGCTTCTCTTCACAATTCACTTGGAATTCTTCCATGACATTTGGAGTGGTGCTTTCAATCCGAATATACCGCCTCTCCTCCGGATTCAGTCTTAGCGTGCCCGAAAGTGTTGTAACCTTGTCACCAACCCATCGTATTGCGTCGCGGTGCTCGCTCTTTGTGAAGACAGGATCATACCATATGCCACCCCCGCCATTTTTCGAGATGGAATTGTCTATGATGTCCACACCTTGTGATCTAGTCAAAATACCATGGTTACGATTGTTCTGGATTCGAGAAAACTTGAGCGATGGGTTTCGGATATCCTTGAAGATGTCATTCCACATCAGGCCAATCCCAGTGTCTATGTTGTCTCGGACAATCAGTTTTTCCAAGATGTGGTTGTTGAAGTCAACCTGCAGGGCAGGCTTGAACGCATGTGTAGCAAAGTCCAGCTGTCCGGCTTTTTCAATCAAGCTGTTCTTGAGGATGCTGCTCTCCGCATGAACGCCCAAACGGATCCCCGACCATGATGGTGAAACACAACGGATTCCAACTTCTGAGGCACAGGAGTCTTCGAAATCTTCCCCTAGGACTTCGTGCTTGCATTTGAGAAAATCTGTGTCGAGTTCATTGCAGCGCACATTGCTGAAAAGCACGCGACCAGTCCCACCACTCGACGCCTGGGATGCTGCTTCCATCAGCCAGTCTTGAGGACTCAGCACCATTCCAAGTTGCTGGCACACGAGTGCCGCATCTTCCACCGAGAAACCGTATGTGCATACTCCACCCGTCGTGCCATTGTCTGTCACTTGTATCGTGCCCTCATTGCCAGCAGACAGCTTCAACTTTCCAAACCCTAGTGGTTCTACATCCTCTGCATCAGCCATGTCAACTATGTCAGACATGGCAGGCATCATCACGCCAGAGGTGTATGTAATTTGGCCCTCAGTTCCATCACTTTCAAGCCTTCCTTGCACCATCATCCCGATCGACTGTTCAAAGCGAAGTGTAGTTCCCGGTTTGATGAGGAGCCTCGATCCAGGTCTGACAAAGATGTCCTTTTTCACGGTGTACTCCCCTGACTCTAGGTTGACCTCACCAAACACCTCACCTCCTATTTCAAAGCTTCCAACTTGCCGGAATCGCATGATCTTGTCTCGTTCGAAATTAAACGATATCTGTTCTTTTGCATCTAAGTCTGAACCCGTCAACAAGTATTGCAAAAACTGAACAGGGGCTAGATTGTAGCGATCCTTACGATCAAAGATTCTGTTGTAGATTTTGAGGGACACATCATCCTCTCCGTAGTCCAGTCCCCAATAGTTGAGAGAAGCATCAATGATGCTGTTGTGATCTTCTAGCTGTGACCCGAGCTCATACTGTGAATTAGGGTTCCTGAATAAGTTTCTCGTCACAACAGTATTGTTAGATGTCACAACCACCACGGCTGCAACCTTCGACCGAGGCTTCAAGTGTGCAAATGGTTGTTGGATCACATTTTCCTCCAATTTGTTGTGGTGGAATCTCAAGCTCTGAACCTTGCTGCCCTGGACTACACCAATCCTTGCCACGAATATACCACTGTTGCCCACAAAATTATTCTCTGCAACCTCAACTTCAGCTACCCTCTCTGAATAAGACTCCAGGAACTCCTCACAATCCTTGTTTTCAATCCAGATTACCCCAGACTTGTGGTTCTTGAAACTGTTGTGCATAATTGAAGCTCTCACATTTAGTGCTGGTTTCATGGAAATTGCCAGCTTGTTGCAGCCTCCATCTCCTTCTGGACATTCAAAGTAATTGTTTGAAATCAGTAATGTGTCCAATGATCTAGAGTTGGCTTTACTTTTGTTCCAGCAGGACTGATACAAAATAGCCGCATCACCATTGTTCTCAAATCTATTCAAACTGACATTCCAGAATGCATCAGCTCTGCACACATTCCCGAAGAGGACACCCACATCACCATTCAACGAAACCACCGATTTGACAATGTGTGTTGTGAAGTTGAACGGGATCCGGGTGGATGTCTCATTGAACCAAAATGCTATTCCCCTCCTTGAGTTGCGATTAATTTGTGTCCTCTCAATGTGCTTGTATCCTCCTGCATATGTGACATTGATTCCGTCGCCTTGGTTCATGCTTATATCGCTAACATTGATGAGGACATCCCCAACACCACCGTCTACATGCACACCAGCAACGTGTGAGTTGTGGAGAATAGTTGTGTCCAGAATGCTAATGCCTGCAATCGCATCACGCAGCCAGACTCCTCTACCATTGTTGCCGCTCACAATACAGTCGGTCATGTTGAGGTCGTATGCCTTTCCTGGAAAGACAAAACAGTAAAGTGAATCAGCAGACACCTCTGGATATGTTGACGAAAAGCTCCTATGCTCAAAAACGTTCTGCACATATGACTGCACTTACCTTGGTGTGATTAGTTAAAAATGTATATATGTGTTGTTACTCCTTAAAAAAAAAAAGAACAAAGTGCAGTACTCACCAACAGTCAGTACTGCCTCCATGACGAAAGACATCTCTGGAGCAACTGTGGTGTAGGGGTATGGAATTACAAGAGGCTGGAAATCAACGGTAAGGCTCGCTCCTTGGCTGGAACTGACACTTTGTGGCCGTGTAGAGTTGTCGATGTCGAATTTTGCCAGGAGATACTGCTCCTCTCTGATTTCTCCATTCCAAACTGTCACTGTGCCCCCTTTCAGTCTGTTTGGCCCATCATACCTCATCATGTTTTTGAAGTGAACAGTGACTGTCAAGTCTGGCCTGGGGGCTTTCAGCACCTGAGTCCAACGTGAAAGAGTAATGTTAGCTTACGGTTGTGACTATCTTTTTAGCCAAAATTGGAGTCTCAACTCACCCTGAGGCAATTTGTCTTTGAATTTCGCTTGTCATAGACAAAGACTTGAGGGTAGCGGACGTCGGAACTTTGAGAGGAGTCGCAAAGAAGCATGTTGCTGCCAAGCTTGATCTCATGCTGTGCATAGACAATGCCTTCTGCACCGTTGTTCATGACTGTGACTCCTGACAGGTGGATTTGACCCTTACTTGAGTTGACAAAGATACCATATCCTGCATGAGTGAAATAATGTATAGTATTAATAGTTAAACTTTCCTCAAACCTATCCTCATATGTTACTCTGGAACAGCAATATTTTTTATCAAAAGAGTAGAAAGATAGACCGGTTGGTATAGATTCATTGTTTAAAAAAGTGTGATGAGTAAAAAAGAGACACAAGCCACAGACACCTGTAGCTACACTCAAGTATGCTCAAGCTAAGCTATGATAAAAACAAAGCTACCATAAGCTGAATCAGACTGATCTTCGTCACATATCTTTTTCTGTCATTACTGAACTTAGACGTGCATTCTCCAGTTATGTCTGCTAAAACCATTACAGAAATCGCCCCTGTAGTGATTTAAAGCTCAATTAACTCGGGGATGGACAGTATTATGATACAAAGGTGTGTCGAAATGTTTTAACAGTATTTTGTATATATATCTTGAAATACAGTTTTGAATGTATTCCTCGTAATATTATGTGAATATTCGAATTTTCCAATACCAACAGTTTCGATATACGCTTCGAGGTGAATGCGATATTCATATTTTTGTAAGTGTTGATCGCGGTTGGTTAGCACCGCTGCACTGCGGAGAAGCAAGACACACGGAGCTTGCACCCGCGGGTGCTGCTTCACCCCGGTGCACCGGTGCTTAGTAAGAAGCGCGCTGAACGAGGCTAATCTGCCACGACCAACACTTCAAAAAGTACAAATATCTGGCCATCTCTATAGCTTTAATTTTACGCCAAATGCACCATTTACGTTCCATCCTAATGTGGGCATTGGACTTTCTGAGGTCGCAGTTCATAAATATATAAGATTAAAATTAGCTTAGAAATGTACAAGTGGAAGCTCAGGAACAATCTTCATAAGTTTTGCTGCGTTTTCGTTTGATCATAGTGCATAGTGAAAAGCTTAGAAAAACTATTCAATATGAAAATATTCGGCCAAAATCACTATTAGCTTCTAATTCTCTTCGAACTCAAAATCCGCTATTTGCACACGCCTAATTCCTTGTAATCTACTCTTCCATGATTAAAAACATTTATACCGGTTTGACAGTTTTAACCATGAACTCTCCCGGCTTTCGGAACATGTTTGCATATACTATTACAATTCAGGCGGGTGTATTTTATCACAAATATCTTTAAAATATGAAGTCTACCACCCTCCAAAATATTTTAAGGCACTTCAATTTAGTGTTTTAAAACACTAAGCCTTCCTTCACTGTTTGTTATCCTCAAGATGTATTATACATTCTTTCTAGCTTATTTTCAGATCTATTTTTGGATTTTAGTATCAAAATAATTTATGAACGTCAGTATTCCTATTAGACTTATTTTTGCTACACATTGCAGTATTGGTATTTATGAATACTTCACAGGGTATTAACCCTGCAGGGTATCTACCCATGGTTGCATTCATTCTTTGCAAATCATATTCTGGAATAATTTTGACACTGAGGCTTCTCATACCTATCTTTCTGAAAAGTTGTAAATCAGCACCTGACTGCTAATGAACCTTTCCCTAAGATGTAATCATTCTGCTGCAACAATCCCACTAACAGATTGGCAATAATTATATTTCATTAACGATTCAGCTTTTAACACATAGCTGGGTCATGGAGAAGCATCCAGAATATTTGCGACTCTAGCGAACTACAGGGGGCGTGCTGGTCAGGCAAAATGGCAAAAGAAAAGGAGGTCGTTTTCGTCATTCAGCGTGCGGACCACCATAAATTTCTTGCACTGCAGCGTAAAATCGGTGTTATATATTAAAGCAAGGCAATTTTTCGACGGTAAAAACCTTCTAGTCAGTACATAGGAATAACACGGCTGAGGTATAAAAATAATTACTGGAAACGCTGTTTCCAGTAATTATTTTTCTGCCACGAGAACCAAGCAGTGATAGCAGACGACCGAGTCGAAACGACCTCCTCTCTTGAGGTTCTCAGCATTGCCGCTACGCGGTGTTGATTTCGCTGTAGTTGCCAATGACACATGATTTGGACACCTTGTACAGTTTTTTGGAACTTTTTAAGATAGCCCCTTAGGTTCAATAAAGTCGTGAAATAAAGGCAAACACTTGGGTGTTGTCAAACAGTTGTAAAAGGAAGCACCAACCCCTGTTCTCCTTGAAGGTGCTCTGATGTATCTCAAAGGGTTCATTGGGCATGGTGACATTGAGGCCGTGGTAGGCTGACCATCGCACCTCGAGGTAGCGCATCACAGGAGGCATCCCATAGACTTGTATGGCAGCTGTTGCATTGCCATCACGCTGCCGGCCCGCATACTCCATTTTCACGTGCTCGAGGATGGACTGAGACACTTGGGTGTTCACTCGGCCGTTGAACATCATCTCCGGCAGAGTCTTGGCGAGGTCGAATTGTAGGCCCCGCCAATGTCGGTTGGCTTGTTCTTGAAGTGTTTGCTCGCAGGAAATCTCAATGTCCAGCTGAAAGTCTGGTAGACAGAAATGGATGTGTGATGAGTGCATGAGAAGAGCAACTTGAACCCCTCGTCCACAGCTAGCAGCTTTTGCTTTTAGACTTCGGCAATGGGCAGAATTGAGGCACATGGTGGGGAAGGGAGGTGGGAGCCTGACAATATTTTACTGCAGAGATGCAACAGAAACTAGCGTGATGTTTGCACACATCTCCTACGAGCTTGAAACTGTGCAAATAGGCCGACGATTCTCAAAATTTAGGAGTTGCATACCTGCTGTAGAATCTCTCTGCACTCGAGTACCTCCGTGATTATGTGCAATGGTTTGCATGTTTAGCCTTTCTGACATTATGTGTAGTGTACTAAAGCTTTGGAATACTTCATCTTGTGGTTGAAAAAGCAGCCTTGTCCTCGAAAAGCTACGAGACTTATTGGGTACCAGGTCACGCATTGGGTATGATGTCGTACTTTGGGAACCGTTAAAAAAGATCATTGTACCCCTCATTAGAAGCTTTAATACCCAGAGGGTGTGAGTGCCAGAGCTAGGGAACTGCTTTCATAAAAAAATCATAAGGGAGAGAACAGGGCCCTTCATTTGCTATCTATACAGTGCAAACCACGTTGCTTCTCCGAATTATTTATATATTCGTAACAATCAAAATCTTTTTCTTCTACCACCCTAGGTAACGAAGCCATGCAGCATCACATTGTGTTGCATACGTTCTATTATCTTTGCTTTATCGCATATACTAGTCTCCAATTCTTGTTACTTGCAATAAACCCAAACTTATGCCACTGAATTGGAGGAAAATAAACAGTGAACTGGAAGCTCTACGTATAGCATCCTTTGTAGTGACACGTGCGAGCTATGTGCTAACTCAAGCAAGAGAAGTTTTGCATTGAAATGGCTAGGGTTCTCGGGCGGAGATTGTGGAGTCCTCTCATTGCAATTGTGGCACTCACCGCATATGCCGCTGCCAACTTGTTTGTGCGTCCATCCCGGGCACTGGTCTAGTCTTTGTTCTTGTCCTGTACACTCTGGGCTGGCAAACATGAACTGGCGCGAGTCGTTGTGTCTTGGCAACCAGCCTTGCAGCAGGCCGCCGGAAAAGCCCAACTGCCGGCAGACCACATGCACGTCGTGCTCTGTCCAGCTGTTTAGAATCGGAACACAAGAAGGGGAATCAGGGAGTCCACAGACACCAGTTATGCAAAATTAGAGGTTTTCTATGCAATATATTTGAATTCCTTGTACTGTAACAGTGCATTGAAGCTCCACCTTTGTCCTGCTAAAATCGGTCACTTTTTTCTTGTGTGCCTTTAAAAATTTGAGGACTTGAATGGCAAAGATTTTAACAGTTGTGATTTTGCACTCCATTTGCAACGGGGGATATGGCCTCAGAATTCAAATTTTTCAGAAAGAACGTTTTTTTTCAAAAATTATGTTTATGTTTATTACTTCCAAAGAATGATTTCAGATAAACATGCACAATTTATCTCACAATAAACTATTTTCGACATGTCGGCAGCTCTCCAAGTCAACAGGGAGCAAATGTTTTGCATTTTTTATTTAGTGAAGTTTCATAGTTGTTTAACACAGTCAGAACATCTCACCCTCATTGGAAGCGGCATTTACTCTAGATTTGGCCCGTAGAAGCTTTCCAAGTTTAAAAGTATCAATGGCCAGTAGAACCCTATACATCCAAACAGAAAAAAATCCTGAAAATTTGGTATGAGCAATCTTATTGGTTGAGACCCAAAAGAGTGTTTACAATTGGTCCTGCCCCGTAACGTGATATTGTGCCATCTTCAGTAACACCCTTTCACTGTATCTTCCACTTTAGATCATATTTCTACTTTGCTGCTCTTCCTTAGTATCATTTGCCTCTTAATTCTTGCCAGTTTATCTGCCAAGGAATGCCTGCTACAAAAGTTAGCTCGCCCACAAACAACACAAACTGGTAGCTATTGCCAGGGGAACAACGAAGTCTCAAAGAGGAATATGCTAACAATGTTCCAGGTGAAGTTTGCCTACCTCGAACTCGTAGAAGAAAAAAAACCTAAAATCTAAGTGCATTTTTCTCAGTTTCAATTTTTGGCAGAAAATGTGGTATGGCTATCATTTGACATTTTGAAAGTGTAAAGACTTCATTCAGTGGTGTCCTAGACTGAAATTTCCTGAGGAACAAGTTATAATCTGAAAAATCTCAATTCTTCATGACAAAAACTGAATATTTTAAAACACAGAAATGTATTAAAATCTTTTGCTCTTGTTGGACTCTAGAATTGCATTTTCTACAATTAATTTTTACCTTAACTTATGGGTATTCTACTTCACATTAAACCAAACATTTTGTGGATTGCAATTATTATTTTTTTAATATTTCACAATAAAGTAACTTTTTTTGGAGCTTGTTAAGCATGTATGTTGTAGATTATAATACAATTAAATGCAAAGGTGCAAGAATTGGCCTACAAGACTGGAACTTTAATTGTCATTAATCCTAATGGGATTTAATTCACCCCAAAAGTTTGAATCAATTAGAAGAAATGGATCAAAAGTTGACCCTCCCAGGCCATGTCCCCCTTTAATAAGGGTTCGTGGTTCATAAAGTCACCTGCACGCAATGAAAAGCAGCGTAACTGTCAGCATTCCCTCCAAGCTATTAAATAGCCAAGATGACTTCAAACAGTTAAAAATGCTTGCTAGGATACAACTTGTGTAAGACAAGAATCTAAATAAAGATCAAACACCACTATTTGTTACTGCCTGCTTGAGAAGACTTTTCCTTCTTTTCTTTTTTCCCGAGTGGCACGGGTCACGTCTATTTCTGCATAATATGCAGCCAATATATGTATCTTCAATGATGTCAAAAAATAAACAATTATTGCATATATTATACTTGCTCACAGTATCTTAGCTAGCATTGCTCGGACATTTGTGTTTCTGCAGAAAATTAATTGGGTGACCAGCGACATGATTTCTGCGCCAAACTGCGCCAAATGTGCTTCCTACTACACCAATGCGCCACAAGTGCTGAAACTCTACTGCTCAGGCCCTTCTACACTGCGGCATTGTTGTGATAGGCTTGTGTGCAATTTCAGAACTTTCGATTATCGATTGGAATAACATACTATTCGGTTTAATCTTCATATCGAACATTGACAGTACTCGGAAATTCCGCAATTATTTCTCCCGTTCTGTTCGGGCGGGAGCTCCGTTCAGAGTGCTTCCCACCGCGCACCGGTGTATTGCGGAGAAGCGGCACCCAGCCGAGTGCTAAGGGGAAAATCACTTCTCCGAGTCGTCAAAGCTACACAAATGTGGTCTGCGCAAGTTCGTTATGCGACCAGGCGGACGTTGTGTTCAAGAGAGAATGCAGCTAATAGATGAATAATTCGCGAAAATTCTTCAATTACTTTTTTTTTTTAATTAGACGTTATAAAACACATATTTATATATATTAAAAAAAAAAAAAATGGAGGCAATCAATGTTGAAGGCCAGCCCGGTTTTGACAAGTCCTGGATCGAGCACGCATTACGAGTTATTAATTGTCAAATTTTGTTCTGGAAATCTGTCGATGCCGAAACCAAACGCGCGACGCCCGTCGGAAGCGTTCGAGCCGGAGGGTCACGTGTTAATGACGAAATTTGTGTTCCTGGCGAACTAAAGCGATAAGCCACCTTGTCGGTCGCGACCACGGTGGTCGCGACAAGTTGCTTTGCTGCGCGATATCACTGAAAAACGTTTTAGTCGTGGGCGCGAGTAAGGTTAAAAGACCAACCTGACCATACTCAACAAAAAGTGAATGCTTCGACGCGCTGTGACGCAAATTTCGTCCTAAACACGTGACCCTCCGGCGTCAAACGAGGGTTGTCCCTCCGGCGGGCATCGCGCGCGTTTGGTTTTGGTATCGACAGATTTCTAGAATAAAATTTTACAATGAATAACTCGAACTGCGCGCTCGATCCAGGATTTCTAAAAACTGGTCGACCCTTCAACATGGATTGCCTCCATTTTTTTTTTCAATATAAACATCTGCCCTAAAACGTCTAATTAAAGAAGTAATTAATGAATTTTCCTTAATTCATCATCTATTAGTTGCATTATCTCTCGAACATCATGTCCGCCTGGCCGTATACGGCACTTGCGCAGACCGCATTTGTGTAGCTTTGACGGAGAAGTGCTTTTCCCTTTAGCACTCGGCTACGTTCCGTTCGAAGAATTTTCCAAATATCAACGATACTCTGGGACGAGCATCTATTCCCCTGCGTTGCCAGAAAACGCACGATTCCGGACGCACTTGGCTACTTCGTCTGCGTATTAGTAGCATCTGGATGCCCCGAAGCGCACTTCACTGCCTCACCCCCGAGCGCGTATGCAGAGAGCGTGATCACGTGATGTAAGACCGATGCCTGACCAGTCCAACAGACACGCAACTTTCACCGCATTATACCCACTCGGCTGGGAGAGGCAGGAAGAGCTTAGCCGTGAGCCCGCAAACGAAAGCCTTGCACTTCGCGACGCGGCGATGCGGCTGATGTGGGTCGAAGTTGCATTTGTCAAGGAAGCGCGCGCCCCAAAGCTTTCCAACAGTCATTAACTTAATTGCATTATATCGTCCCCGGAAATTTCATAAGCTATGCATTTATTTTAAACATCTAATTAAGATAATCGTATTAATTAATTAAATCGTGAAATATTTCGGGCGGCCCTGTCTCAGCTTCTTTTCCAATCCCCAATCATTTTTGCATCGAGACAGGGGCTGCTCAATGCAAGAACAGTAAACTCCGTCAACAATCTTTTTTTTTTTTTTTTTTTTCTCTCTCTCTTTACGCTGTATAGTATTTTCCCTCGGTGCTGCAGCCCCGCACTGCTGCGCGAGCCGTTGCGTCCTCTTGAGTCTCGTTCGCGTACGCTCGCCAAGTTAGCTTTGACAACGCTGCGGCAGCTCCGTTAAAATTGACAAGGGTGCACACACACACCACAAAAAAAAAAAAAGAAAAAGCTTTTTTTTTTTTTTTTTTTCACTATTGTGGCAAAGACAATGGTAACACAGAACGTATTACGTGTTGCTTTCGCGGAGATATGTTGCAGCACAGATGAACCTGGTGCCCATTGTGTGAGGCGCGATCATCGTCGGTGGCGCGAACATCGTCGTGCGTGGTGTTTCTGAAAGAAAGCCCGCCAAAGCTAGCGCTCTAGCGGGAGTGAAACTCGGAACTCCCTTCTGTTGCGGTCGCACACGCCAGCATTGACCCTGCAATTTCGCGTTTCCCAGTTTCCTCCGAATCACGTGCTGTGCCCTCGCCTCCTGCACACTTTCCCACCAACGCGCCAACGCTCTCCCTCAACAACTAGATGACAAGGTGATGGTGAGGTCAGAATCAGATGCCTGGGTTGGTACCGGTCATACCTCGGCAAACCTCACTCACCCTCATCTTCACAGGTGAGGCAAGGGTGGGTAAGTTAGGGTAAGTTTCTGAACCCCGGAAATTCATGAGCGTGAGGATGAGTGAGGGCTGTGAGGACCGTGAGGGGCGTGAGGTGAGGGCCATAAGGTGAGGGCAATGAGTGCGTGAGGGCCGTGACGTTCAGAGAGGGTGAGTGAAGGGCTGAAGGCGAGTGTGAGTTTGAGTGAGGACCGTGAGTGCGTGAGGGATGTGAGTGAAGAGCTGAAGGTCAGTGTGACTGTGAAGGGCTGAGGGTGAGTGTGAGGGTGAGTGAGGACCGCGAGGGATGTGAGGTGAGAGCCATGAGTGCGCGAGGGGCGTAAGGGCCGTGAGGTTTAGAGAGGGTGAGTGAAGGGCGGAAGGTGAGTGTGACTGTGAGGGGCTGAGGGTGAGTGTAGCTACGAGGGTGAGTGTGGCTGTGATGGTGAGGGTCAGTGAGGGCGACCTAAAATGCCGACCTTTGATCCCGGTTGGCAGGACCGGCCCTAGGGGTGGGCGACCTGACCGGTCGCCCAGGGTGCCCTTTTAAAATTTAGTAGTTTTTTGTTCCTTTTTTTTTTTTCCTTTCTGAACACGGCGATTGACACGACGCTATGGGCTCGATCGCCGTGCGGTTTTGGAATGCGGTTCTCGTCTGACAAGACGCTCGTGGCGTATAACAAGGGAAGGGAGGGGGGGGGGGGTTAAAAAGGAAGCAGAAAATTAAAGGCGTAAAAGTCCTAAACATTTACACATTATTTTATTCGAAAGGTATGAAACGGCACTGTTCACGAAACACCGAAGTTCATCCTCTACAAGCAAAAATCCAGGCGTGTTTCCCGTAGCAAACAAAGAAGCGCTTTTTTGACCTTGGATTCTTGCCTGCCCCCCCCCCCCCCCCGCCCTCCCCCAAACTTTTCCACTTAATTTTTTTTTACGAAGTAGTATATTTGTCGATTACATTCTCTATTCGCTTTTGTGACAAGTTATAGAGTCCTGTGTTTCATATGCAATACAGGATCTTCTGTGTAAATGTCATGTTAAACAAAAAAACAAAAAACGTTTGGTAGTTAAGTTGGCAGCGCGTCATGGTCATAACCTGAAGGTCTTCAGTTCGATCCTCACCGGGGGCAGGCAGTAACATTTTTAGGTTCGGTGGCCAAATGTGTTGGTTGGTGAACGGCAGCTCGGAGCACGCGGTTAGAGTGAAAGCTCGCGCCAATCCTGGGTTAGACTTCGATACCCGCCTTTATGCTGGTTTCGATCTGGATGAGCATCGTACTGGCGTGCCTTGTGGCCACTGCTCTATTGTGCTGCTCATCCCAAGGACCACCGAGAGCCTTTTACGTGACCGGTAATGCGTGCATGCTAGCGTGTTTTCGAGCTCAAATATTTCTTTTCTACGTCACCTGCTGAATTTTCGGCGCCACCTAAAGAAGGCCAATGCGGGGCACAGATTGGATACGAATGCGGCGCACAGATTGGATACGAATGCGGCCTCACCGTTCGGCCGGAACGCGTGTTCAATCAGCGAGAACGCGAATCCCAGCCGACCGCTCACGCAGTACAATATGTACTCTGCGTCGGACCTTCCTTTCAGCCTTACAGTACCGTATCCTCGGAGGTGATGGCTGGTGTCCGGTGGTAACACAGAAAAGAATCTCGAAAGCACGGTTGCATGCATCGGTAACCGGTTCTCCTCTGTGGTGGTCTTGGCGATGGTCGTTGGGACGAACACACAAAAGCAAAGGTCCATTGTGTGGACGCAAGCCGGTATACGATATCATCCAGATCGAAACGCGCAGGGGCGGGGATCGAACCCAGGTTCTGCAGCGCGAGCTTTTGCTCCACCACGTGCTCCCGAGCTGCTCGGCCACTGGACCCGCCAAAAGAATAGACCGCCTGCCCCGGGTGAGGATCGAACTCACGACCTTCAGATTATGAGACTGACGCGCTGCCTACTGCGCTACCGAGGCGGTATATCCCAACGGCAAAGGTGCTTCGTTCCTGCGACGAGCAACACAGAGGAAAAGAGGCCACAAAAGGAGCACGGAATAGTGCCGTGTTTGTAGTGTTCGAATACCGGGCGTAGAAATTTACAATCTCCGCTTCCTCACCTCTTTAAAGCTCTCTATTAATCATCTCCTCCCTCCCCTCCCCTCCCCCCCCCCCCCCCCCCCCTTCCCCCAGCGCAGAGTAACCAACCGGGACCCTGGCTGACATGATGTGATTGGTCCGATTCATTTTGGAACAAAACAAAAAAAAAAAAAAAACTCTTTCTGTTTGTTTGTTTTTTTTGTTTCTTTTTAACGTTTTTGTGGATTTAATTTTCAGCATCCATTGCACACCAGGGAGTCTAACCCCTGCGAACACTCAACTAGTTGTTTAGTCGTGTATAAAGCGCCACCATGACACGGCAACAAAATTTGTTTTTTCGTATATTACTTTGTAGGGCTGGCTGTGTAGGAAAAGAACGACATAAAAAAAAGCGACCGACACCACTCACGTGACCGCCCTTTTGCTAAATTTGGCAGTCGAAACATCGCCCGCCAAATATAGTGGAACGACCCTAGAGCGTACTATATAGGAATTTTGCCAGGGGTGACCAGTCTTTGTTTCGTTTTTCTTTTTAGGCCAATATTCTGAAATAAGTGCTAGTTAAAGAACGTAACATGCACATCTGTAAAATTACTACGAAGGGTAATTTTACAGATTACTACTTAATTAAAATAATTACTACTTAATTAAACTAACTTAACTAATTAAAAGATTACTACTTAATTAAAAAATTAAATAAAAAATTACTACAAGCCCAAGTAATAAACGTTAATTTAATCCATCCACTACTTTATGTATGGCATCAAGATTAAACCTAAACGTATATTCCACTGAAATTAGAATAGAGTCCCTTTCAGTAAAGAATTTGATGTTTTGTTGAAGCTCTTACAACAAAACTGTGCAGTTCTTAATTCCGTTAGAAAACTGATAGCAATGCACCATTTCATTATGCGCATCACTAGAAATTAGCACGTAGAGTTGATGCTAAATCAACCTGTGGGAACTTAATATCCCAAGCTTTCATTTGTTCATCGCTAAAACTGATTTAGTTTCAGTTCTAACTTTACTGACTGTGCCCCCGAACATTTGGAGGCCAATCGTTTTTTACATTGCAGTGTATGTATATACTTGAGCCGTGGTTCTACTTTGAAATTTGTATAGCTAGCAAGGTAAAGGAGGTATCGCATCACGATTCATCAAGTTTACTTAATAATTTCTTCAAAATATCCGACGCGTGCTCTGGAGTAATGTAGTAGGACGCGGCTGGCGCTGCGGTGAAGCGAGATATGCAGGATCGTGGCGAGCACTTTGTGAGTGTTACTTCTTGGCAGCGCTCCTGTGCGCTGTACGAAGCCGAACGGACCGAATAATGAGAAATATTGTGGTATCTACGGGGTTGTGACTATTTGATACGAAGATGAAATCAAATGGTACGTTATTCAAAACAATAGTCAAACACTTTTTTTATCTTTTTTTGTACAAGTTACTTTTGATTTGGCAGTGTAGGGCCGGTATTGGTATGTTGGTATTGAGAAAGTAAAACCGACACAGTGCTGGCGCAAATTCTTCACCTCTTTAGGGGGGTCAAATGTAGCAGGATGCAGCAGGGAAATAACTTTTTATAAGCACTTTGGCGTAGTCTGGAGCAAATAGCGCAGCAATTCCATCACTGCGCGGCGCACCGAATTCCTCCGTGTGCAACATCACCGCGAGCGCAACGCACAATACAAGCTGTGTCAACACAGCCTTTGCCACGATAGTGCGGGAAAATGGCTTTTTTTTTTTTTTTTTTTATTAGACTTATTTGCATCGTTGTAGTCACGCTCTCTGAGAACGAGCCAAAGGCCCGACAGGTATTATTTCTCCAACTCGGAAGACTCGGGTCACCGCAGAAGTTCGCGGGTCCGACTGTCGAGTGCCAAAGCCTTTTCGTGGGCTTCAAGGAAGCCCCATAACGGCGCGGTCGTCGACACCCCGGCGAAATCTGGCGCGACCCTCGTCTCTCAGCGTGACGTCATTAACCCGGACAGCCCGCGTCCTTGCTACCGTTTTCAATCGGACGTCGGCGAGCGTTTTACGGGTTTCCGTCGCGCTCGACTCCTGTCATGGGCGGCGCGGGGCCGGTTTCCTGGACGTGCGTCAGCCGCCCTTGGACTTGACTCGGCCGCCCGTCTCGATTGTTGGTGCACGCGCGGTGGACCGCGGCGTCAGTGGCGTTCCGCGCGGGGGCTGGCTGCACCCCCTCCAAGCCCGAGGCACTTCCGCCTTGCGATGACGACGGCCGCGAGCGTGAACAATGCGTCTTCAAGACCGCGTCTTGACCGTGGCGCGCCATTCGTGATCTCGCGGTTTGGGGGTCGCCGACAAAAAGGGCGGCTCCTCGTGTTTATTTTCTTTTCTTTTTTTTTTCTTTTTACAAATGGATCTGTCGCTTTGCAGACCGGTGTCAACGGCCAGAGTCAATGGGTGCTTGTGCGGCCGTCGCGACGCGCTTCGATTCAGAACTGGAGCAGCGCGATCCGTCCTGGTGGTCACGGTAATTCGGTCTCCGTGGCGTGTGCGCCTCGCGGTGCTGACTCGAGCCGGGGTGAAATCTGGTCGGCTCCGTCGGCAACAGAAATGGGCGCCCACGAATTCGTTCCACTGCCCGCAAAGACCGTCGGCGGACAAAGGGACGCGTGAGCGGCCTTTTCGCTCCGTGCATTCTTTTTTCTTCTTCTCCCGTCCTAAGACACGGAGTAGATCGAGATACGGGGAATATATGTGTCAGGCAGTGATGGAGACTATTCCGACGGCCCCTTTGATACTGTCCGGGTTCAAAGGCGCTTTCATACGCGCGAGATTTTTTCGTTGTCGTTGTTTTTCTGGGGGAAAAAGGGGGGGGGGGGGGGGGGGGGGTAAGTGTTTTGTGATGGCAGCACTGCACCGGTCACGAAGCCATTTTGGGAGAGACACGAGCGACGATTGTCCGGGGTTATTTTGGTGGCGTACTCACTTTTTAGACCTCGTGCAGACGGACCACCACTTGTCCCTGTGCAAGAGCTGGAGCCTCCCGCGCAGGGGAACGTCTCCGTCGGTCAGTCGGACGGCCGGCCACTGGACGGTGATGTTTTGCTGGGTGATGGAGTGGCCCGCTCGAGCCCTGCTGCCCGACGGCTCCCAGAGCGACTCGGTCTCCTGCAGAACCGTCATGCTGATCTTCCTCGACTGCGTGCCCTGCGTGTGCGGAAGAAACGTGTCTTTAGTTTCTCGTGGGCCGCTCAGGTACTTGTAAAGTCGAGAAACCTTAAAATTCATTACAGAAAAGACAGTCTAAAGAGAACACCGAGCCTTTTGGTGATGCATAAACAGTGTGTCAGGCTTTCGGATGGAATTCCAGACTTCGGTGATGAAAAATGTTCTTAGTGCAATGCAGCCCCCCCCCCCCCCCCCCCCTCCCCCCCCCCCCCCCCCCCCCCGGTGCACATTAGTGGATGCTTTACGTATATCGTATACAGAAGGGTCGTGAAATTAATCGATTAACAGACCGATTAACCCATTTATGCATTAATCGATGACCCTTTCATGAGGTTGTCACGGGCACCAGCTTCGTCGCTGTCAAACTCAAAGTCCAGAATCGCGGCCTAACTTCTGTTTCTCTGGGAGGCCATGATTTTAAGCTATGCAAACGCGGACTTGTATCTATTATAATAATACCAACCGCTTCCTGTTATTTATTATAACCGCGAGGAACAATCGGTAGGTTCATGTTAGCCTGGCATCAAACTTATACTCAACTGCTGCCACTTTTTTTTTTTTTTTTTTTTCATTTATCTGAACACACGGTGCCTATACTCTGTTTCACCTTGTGATGTACTGCAGGAAAGGCTACAAGCGCGAGCTCCTTGCTCTAGGGCACATCTCGGTGGATGAGCTCGCGCTTCTAGCCTTCTCTGCGGTACAACATGTAAGGTGAAACGGACTATAGCTGAGAACCCCCCGAATAGATATAAACTGACCTAAAGCCATATTTATGTTCTGCTTAGCCGCCTGCTAGAGAATGTTCCTTCTTACTGGCGCTTTGTTCCGTAAAGAGCATAAGGTATCAGTAAAGCATTTTTTTGTACTAGTGTCTCACATTTTAATCAAATAGAGAAGTGTACGTTATTAACACATATTACACAGTTTTGAATCACTGAAATAGTACTCAGTAGCTGACAACTTTGTCAGTAAAAAAGTGGCATACATTTCTTTCGGTCCTCTTCTGCCATCAACTCATAACATTTAAATATATGCAAAAAAAAGCTTACTTTAAGAGACACTGTTCTTGCATCGTTAAGTCTTTACGAATTCGTGAAATTCCGTTTCTCATATCAATGTTATATTATAATTTCGCATCACTTTAACAAGTCTACCAGCATTCGCATTAACCCGACTAACCAATCGCATTAATAGATTGAAGGTAAACGATTAATTTGTTAAACAATTCTTCATCGGCGCCCCAAAGCAGTATACGGTGCCAGACATCACAGTCTGGTTATAATTGAGAGACGCAGGCCCTCGTCCAAAAGCTAACGAAGAAAAGGACGGAGAGGTCTCAGATTTTGACATAATCTCATAGAGATCGATTGCGTCGTAAACAATTAAGTAAAGCAATCAAGCAGAATGGAAGGAATATTGGACAGGGAAAGTTTCTCATTGTAGAGCGCGTTATTCCGTTATTGTTTGCACCACAGTGTTCGTAGTTTTCAGAATACGATAAACCAGAAGCAGGTAACAATCAATACTTTCCGAACTCGTTTATTAACGTTAAGGAGCTCGCGTCGCAAAAAAGTCGGCGTCGGTGGCGTTTTGACGGGAAAATCCTGATTAGTCGATAGGGTCATGAAGTCATAGCCACATGACCTCGCGCGGGGATTTCAAACAACTGGCCACAGCGCTCATGTCAAACGTGACGTCACGCGTGAAATGAAAGTAATTAAAAAAAAACATGTGATGCGAATTAAAGGTCGCCGCATGTCTCCAATGATTTCACTTTATAAAGTAATTTATTTGCCTTAAAGAAAAATTTGAAGAATTTTAGGCGGGATTGGAACAATAAAACTTTGGTTGGGCCTAGTTGGTAGATATCGATTAAAAGGCTAAAAGGCGCTAACTGAAAAAGGACGAAAAAAGACACACGTACGTGATTCGAACCCACGACCTTTCCATTGCGAGCCAGACGCGCGCCTAACTATAGGCCATGCGAATACTTTTTTTTTTCTTAGATGCATGAAGTATGTACAGTGATTAATGATACGTGGTTAAAACCATGTTCCCAGTGGCTTCTGGGTTACATGTTAAACTTCCTTAATTTTTTGAAGGTCATCAAGCATCGGAAGCCATCCTGGCATTCTTCCGCGTGACTGATACACATTTTTGAAGCGTGCAACAATTTCACGGAAGCCTAAAAGCGTACAGGTTTTGCATTCACGTCGGCGTTTCTTACAGCCATGCGGGATATCCAAATAGCATAATGCTCCAGAAGAAAAAAGATCTCGCAAGGGACGAGCTCGTGCTTCTCCTTTGGAAGAAAACGAATACCGTGGCCTGTAATACACAACTCTTTTTTCAAGGTCCGCTGGAGCACGTCCCAAAAGAAGACGGCGTCCCAGCAGTCGATAAAGACATGTTCAATAGTTTCGGGCTGTTTACAGAGCAGGCAGTTCACAGACTATGGAACAAACATGCCTTTTGACTCCAGCCACACTTTCACTGGTAACGTAGAACTATGGAGTCTGAAAAAGAAAGTCTTACCTGCTGGTGGGACGCACATCTTTTTTACTCGACAGAGGACATCTTGTCCTGGACAATTGTTATACAACATTCGGCACAAAGGTGCCGGAAATAACATATCAAGAAGGTCACGTGTTAAACGTTTTCGTGCGAAGTACCAGACAGATGTTCAATAGATCGAGAATCGTTCCTCTTTTCCTGCCTCAGTCTCGGGCTAAGAACAAAATGGTTAACATCCACCAGCTCGCCTGCGCAATCACTACATTATCAACAACCTCCCTTGGGTACCCTAGGGGTACCCACCCTATAGGGGTACCCACTTTTATTTTTATTCCTTGGCGAAATATTTCTTCGTTGTATAATGATTAAGGGCAGTACTCTTTAGAAATGGAAGCTTCGGAAACGGCATATTTCTTAATTCGAGCTTAATATCACGATATGCTCGATGTATTCCGTTTTAAGCCGGGCTCAAGGGAGTCATTGATTTGCAGTTACGCAAAAATAACAAAGGGGATTCTCGCATCAATGCATTGGTTTATATACGAGACCACCAAAAGTGATCGCAATACGGTAGGCGTTGCCGGATATCAATTGCCGGCATAATGGGAAGTCGGTGTCTATCATCTATAGTTCGGAACGGGTGCCAAGTTTCCAGCTTGAGGACAAGCGATTCACAGCCGCAAGGGGAACATATACATAACTTTCGTGTAGAGTCCGAGTGCTGTACTTATTCCGCCGTGTGCGGATTTAGCGGGACTGCAGCATATCCGGCCGCGCCGGCTACTCGAAAAGCGTGACGAGCAGGGTGCACCACAACGCGAGGCATCCGACCAGAAGACATGGCGAACCGTGTGAACGAACCGCCGGCTGACTGGCAGCTCCCATCAAGCACAGAAGCGCAATTGGGTTTTGTTTTTTCCTGCCTGTCAGGCCCGGCCTTTGTGGGTACGTCAGTCGACTGCTTATCCCCGAGAAATAATACGGGGGAGGAAGGTGGGAAATCGCTATGTGCCTGAATTGGCTTCGTGCGTACCTCCGTTTTATCGCAAACCAGAAAAAAAAAAATGGTGGTAGAGGCGAACAGATCTGGTTTCGAGGGGACGCCAATCACTGCGATCTCTCCACTGCAGGGACCGAGCGACCGAGAGATGTAATACTCTGCTCGGAAAACCTTATCTGCGCCAAGACAGTGTGTGTGTGTGAGAAGACACCATGCTCAGCGTTCCAGCTCCGCGTTCCAGCCTGAAGGTCGTTGCCCGTCATTTCGCTGCCTTTCGTACGCGTACATGGCATCCCGCGTTTCACGTGCAAGCGTGCGTTTCGTGCGCGCTGCTAAATCCGTCGCGATTCCACGTATACCCTACTCAACAAAGCGTTCAGGTCAGTGCCATTTGTAATCACTTAATTCAATCTGCATGCCCCCTCCCTCCCCTCCCTTCCCTCCCCCCTCCCGTACAGCCTCGCCACCAGTCGGTGTAGGGAATGTCACATTCCACGTGTACACCTAACAAACTTATATACTAAGTTTATCCTCACAATCAGACTTGCACACGTTACTCGAAAAAAGTAATCGATACTACTCACGATTAAAACGTATTCAATTAGATTACTCGAGAAGTGATTGGCCACTACTTGAAAAAAAAGTAGCCGTTACTTTTCCGATTATATTTCAGATTTTCAAAACGAAAAGTTTCCTGCCGGTTTAAAAACATGTCTTTCGTGCTGACCATTATTGGATGAAAATCTTCGAATTATAAGCGACCTATCTTCTTAATTCGCCGATTTTTGTTCGACAATTTCTTGGTAGGAAACCTGTAGAAACAGAGGGCGTCATTGGAAAAGGGAGGGGAAAATAGTGACGGCTACGAGTAATTTTAGTACTTCCAAGTGTAATCAAATTACTATCGCAATCACTTTCTAATAAAAGTTATCGAATGATTACAAAATTGCTCCAAAAATAATTACTACAAGTAATTTGATTCCTTGTAGTGAGTACCATCTGGAGTTCCAATGAGCCGCAGCGGTCCAATCAATGCCTCGTGGGTGCCACGTGACCTTGGGGAGGGGCGCAGTCACGTGATCCGTTCGCAGCGTTGGATTGGCTGGTAGCGTCCACTGCGGTCACAGTCAAGTTCTTTTCGCTCCCGATGTCTTATTTGAATGAATATATCGAAGTGCACGCTATTTTGTGCCCGAACGAAATGACAGCACCAGAATGAATACCACACGAACTGCGTTTACTCATTACGCCCTCGTGTATACCCTCGGGGTCACCTTTCGTCGCATTAACTTTCCGATAAAAAATAAATAAAAGGCTTCTGCTGGGGAGGCGCGTGCTATATATAACAATTGATAAAATTTCTACCTCACACGGGGCTTTACGCGGTGTTTGCCGATTGATAATTATATCACCAGTACGCACACCAGTAAGCGCAAACGTGACATAGGCGCTTTTTTTTTTT